TATTCAACCCTAGGTCAACAGTCATGAACTTGCTCCTTGTACTTGAAGAGCCAAAATTACAAGGTCAAAAGTGCCCTCCAACAGTGTGGGGTTGTACATAGTCAGGAGATACATAGTATCACTATCAGTAGTATGTACTAATCAGACAAAGCAAATCATTTAGGGTACTCAAAGTAAGTATGCACACGTACATACTTTTCGCTGCATACTTTTTTTGGCGGGGAGACCGAGGCCAAAAGTATATTTTGTTCTTATTCCCCGCCAAAAAAAAGTATGCACACAAAAGTATGTACGTGTGCATACTTACTTTGAGTACCCTAATTATATATTGTTCTCTCTCTGTGTTGTCCTCTTCCCATCTGGTGAAGACTTTGATCACCAGGTGAGATCTCAAAATAATGAATGAGGTTCCAGAAGAATGGCTCAAAGATGAATATGATTTCCAGACCTAAACTTAAAGATATCAAAAACCTATGAGATCATTCAACACAGAACCAAATTTTATGTGACAGCAATATTGTCTACTCCACTTCTATACCAAAGTTTCTACTCTTTTCCAAGTAACTTCTTACTCACATCCTCAGTCAATATTGACTTCAAGATTGCTGCAACTCCATCTTCTTTTAAGCTCCTTCAATCACAACTATTCCTTACTCAAAATTGAAATCATATGAAAGCTTCATGTGATGATCACTTGCTACTTGTTTTTCTTTCATAAAATTTGAATTTCATGAATGATCTTGGATTGAACTTGACACTATACTAACCTTGTCTTCTCATTTCTTTTGGATCCAAAACTCCAATGAAGACTCTTTTTCTCAAAATTATATTATTGAGATGATGAAAAATTCCTCTTATCAATTTTGACATGTCATCTTTTCCATCACAATATTTTTGAATTTTTGCATCAACAAAATATGAGTTGTGATTCACATTCATTAGATATTTTCTTCTTTGGGTTGGGGTTGAATGAGTCTCCATCATTCATCCAACTTTCAAGTCATGAAGTTTTTTCAAAGAATTTTAACACATCTTCTTGTGCTTCAATTAGTTCATTCATCAAAAATTCACCAATCATATTTGAATAATCAATACCACATGATTTATTCCAATAAACATTATCTCCAAATTAATTCAGTGAAACTGAATGTAATTCTTTAACTCAGAAGAAATTACCAATGAATACTGCTGCTCTTACTGCTTTCAAAGAAGGTGTAGGTGCATGGTCATCTTCTTGACCCTCAATCCTTAAACATATACAATCCATTGCTTCAAGTCATAGAGAAGAGGAAAGTAAAATCGACTTAAATACTGTCATAGCACCTAAAATTTCCTGGACTGAACCAATTGATGAGCCTGTCAAGACTGATCAATACCCAAATTTGATTACATGTTCTCATAATTTTGATAATCAGATCCAATTGACTCTTATTAACTTTGCCCAAGTTGAACCAATCAAATGACTACTCCTTAAACTCATTTCATGTGCCAATCTGTCAATACACTTCCTATCTTGATTAGATTGATGTAAATGGTTTAAAGTAATTGACACATTCCTAACTCAAATCCTATTGGTCAAATTATCTTCATGATTAGGTCTGATGAGTGCATTTAACCAACACTAAGAATACTTTTTATTGTAATACAACTTTGATCAGTTTTTCAAAATCTTGTTAATTTTGGAAGTTTATTTATACCTGAGATTGATAGCGCTTTAGGAATTCCAAGACACAAATTTCTATCTTCAAATTCAGGAATCTCATCTAATTTTTGATATGCTGATTTGAATCTAACTGATCTTATTGGACACCTTCAATGCTTTCAGCGAGTAAGAATTAATTCCAAGATCCATCTGACTAAATTGTCCTTTGGATTCAAAGTCTTGTCCAATTTTTCAGATCAGTTGGAATTGGTTCACAGTTAAATAAATTGAGGATAATTTCAGTCGGAAGGCCTTATTTGGTTCAATTGAATTCATAGGTAGATCAGATCTGGAAAAACTTGGAAATTGATTAGAATTCAAATGATTTAGTAGTTCAAAAGCCTTATGATTCATTGAGTCAAACACAAAGATACGTAAATAATTAAATCCTCTATCAACTCTACCTCATCTAATTATGATTTTGATGCATCCTTGTCCAATGAATTGTTAACCATTTGAGTAATTTGATAAAAGTGATGGTTTTGTAATTCTTCCCATGAATTGCATCCCTTGTTCCAATTTTGATGATGATTTTCGGAAATCAAGAGCAATGCTTTGATAATGTTCAAAAGAAAGGTGATATTGAATCACTTTGACCGTTCTTGAATGATCAATGACTGATCTGATTCAAATGGTTAATTGACTTGTCTGTGATTGTATTTCAAGTGAGTTCCAGATCATAGTCAATGATTGAAGTCGCAGTTGAAGTGCATTGAAGGATTGATCGAGTTGGTAATTGGATCTCATAGTCGATGATTGCTTTGTTGTCTTTCTTGATTAGTTTGAAAGGGACTACAATCTGAATGAGCGAGATTGTTAATTTAGTTGTTGAATTGAAAAGTGTATGTAAATGAGCTCACTGATTTGATGTCGATTAGATCGATCGGTTTCAATCTGGTTTGATCTGTTTTGATTTGTTTCAATCCGATTCAATTCGATTTGGTGTGATTCGTTTTGAATTCATCCAATCCGATTGAATGCAACACGATTACATGGTGAAGCTCTTGATGGCCAACCAATCCAAGAAGTTGAATTAACGTCAAGAGCGGATAACTTCAAATACAATCAGTTATGATGGTACCAACATGAACAACGCACCTCTGTTTTCCTTTTCTCGAAGTTTTGTCTTTTCCAAAAAGGCTAAGGCTAGTACTGCCGGCCATGATTTATGAATTCCTGAATAAGAATGAATCAGTCCAAGAATTTGAATCTGATTCCGTATGACTACATCGAATACTTCAAAAGTTAATTGGGCTGAATGTGATAAATCTTGATATTTAATTGGTAATGTGATTGGAGAAGACGACCTAAGAAGAAATTTGATTTATTAAGGCTTCAACACGCACAAGCCATTGGATTGGATTAAGTGATTTAATCTCAACTGGTATTGATTGAATGATTAAACTGATGTGGAAGAACTTGTGAATGACTTCTGAGGAGTGTAAAATGGTATTGTTATTGATCGATTATTTGCCCAAACTTCTACTGTTACGTATAAATCTAATAGACAACTCAAACATCAAAGAATGAAATAAGTCAAAGAAAAAGTTGATTGGTATGTCTGATTGAAAATTTCCTTTTGCCTTTAATTCTTAAACTGATTGAACATGATGATTTGTAAACTGATTGAATTCATTTGATAGACCATCCTTGAATCCACTTGGTCCGGCCATAATGAATGAGTTCCATAGGAAACATGGACCATAAGCTTGTGTCGGATTTGAAAGTCTTGCTTGAAGCCAAGATGAGGGATCATATTCAGTTGAATAATAGCATGGGCCATTTGACATTGTTTTCTTTAGTCCACTAACTGATGGAAGACTGTAGAGATCTTCATCCGAGTCATCACTATTGAGAGTATAATCTTGGTAGTGATTGTATGCAGCAGAAGTGAGACAGAAGGAATTGAGCATTAGGATTTGATGAATAGGTTCTTGGGTAGGGTCCGAATGAAGGAGATAAAGAGTGGTATGCGTGTTGATTGATACAAAGTTATCTACGCATACTCATGAGTGGAAGTCAGTTCTCACATCATTCCATGAAATTCTAGAGAAGGGTGGAATTCCGCTCACCACGATTGAGTTGAAGTGGACCAAAAAAACAGCAACATCGTGTAAGCTTGAAACAGCTTGCATTTACCGTTTTGCTCATATTGATGAACACAACCACTAACTCTGGACAATGAAGAGGTGAGTTGATGGTGGATACGACGGGTGTACACAGCAAGCGGGAGGATAGTGTGAAGACTGGTAGGTGGTAGTGAAATAATTAGATGAGAGGAATGAGGAGCCAATTTGGGGTGAAGCGCGTGGTAATCAGATTAAATGTGGTGAGCGTGTAAACCTGGAAATTGGTAGTAGGGATTGGGAGTTTAATCAGGTTTTGCCGGCAAACACGGTTTGCCTTTAACTTGTACACCACGGGGGGATCCTGGGTCAGAAGTTGGTCCTGACCGGTCTTCAACACGTCGAGTCTCAATCCGACCGGGCGCTCGCCCCTGGGTGACCCGAAGGGCAGCTTGCGCTGGCCTTCGTTGGCCGCGCCTGCGTAGTCCCAGGACAGTCTGCAGCACGAGTTGAAGACGCACCGCGCCCGCCCATAGGCGGCCTATCTGTCCTTTTACCCACTCTGGACTTGCCTCAGCCAGAGCCTGCTGAGCCAAACCATCCTCGATAATCAGTGGGCCAAACTTGAACCCCTCACATCATCTTTGTGTATCTTGTGTCGCCTTGAGTTCCATCTAACCCCCCCGTGTTTCAGATCTAATGGACCTCCATTGTTAACCTCACTCCCGAAACCATCTCATTTGATTTTTGGTTTATTTGTCTCAACCCAACCCTCGGCCCGTGTGACAGATCTTTGGTTGGTGTTTGTTGCCGCGACGCGAGTCCCAAACATGTTATACTTTCATTGGGGTTCACGTGGTGACAGATTTCTTTCTTCACGATCTTTTCCTCGATGCTCATTTATGTCTATAAATACTACGTTTGCAATCCAAGCCAGAGTACCACCCCATCCTGCTTATCAATTTGAGTCATTGCTCTCTTCGTACAAAAACATTCCCCAAGAGAATATTGAAAACCACTTCTGCTCGTTTGCACTTCTGCTCGTTTTTCAATCATCGAGTGATCAAGGGCCCATCTGGCAATTACAAAATGACGTCTTCTAATACTTGTTCGTGGCATTTTAATTCACCATATCGCGCTTAGCGACTGACAATGCCATCGACGTAGACTTTGAATCCCTCTCCGCTGATCCCTCCAACCCCAGTTGGAAATGTTTGGTTTGTGACCGGACCATGAAAAACCATTTTCGGCACTCCCAAACCCCCAAACACCTGGAGGCTGTCGCTAGGTTCGAAGCCCATGTCGCGGCACAACATGCCATTCTGCCCGGGATAAATGCCGGAAACCCACCTTCACCAGCTGCAACCAATCATCAGTTGGAACTCCTGGATGACGAAACCTCCAACCACGACTCTGACCCTCCAGAACGGCCACCGACCCCAATATCATACCTCCGCGCCCTGGAAATGGCAGAAATCACTTACGCCTCGAGTGATGAAGACTCTGACCTAGAAGCGGACGTCCACAAGATAGCAGAGGCGTTCTGGGCAATGGAGGCAGAAGACGGAGCCAGAGATGATGAGCTGCTCGATGACACGGCCCTGGAAACTCATGCCCGTGCCGTACCCGAGTCCTCTGAATGGTATCCTTTTAAAAGAAAAGAAGTGAGTCCCACCATTGGTTTGGCGAGTTCAGGTGGGGTATGAGCTCACCCATTCCATGCTTCCCAGCACGCTGTTGCTTTGTTGATCATCGGTTCAACTCGAAGTATATTGTCTCGATCTCAATACCACCGGATCCAATCCATTCTGCGAATATGTCATATTGATCTTCCCGAATGGGGAGCACTGAGGGCGTTAAGTAAGCAAATGAAGAAAAACTTTGGCCTTGAAATATCGGAACGCACAAGTCCCCACGGCCACCCACTCTTTGGTCTTAAAGTGCAGACTATCATCAGTAACGTGTGTTTTCTTTACTTACTTACTTACTGCCTGGATATCTCGAGTGTTTTTCTGAATGGTCCTTGTTTAGGAATTCGCGAACCCTCTGGTCAGCCCGCATCTGGTGTGTGTACCAGAGCTGCCCCTCAATGAGCCAATCAACCGTTTTAGCCAGTCGCGCAAATGGCGTGAAGAGTACTCTAAGAACCTCCGCGTCCAAATGGTTGTACACCGTGGGAGACACTGGTACATTTACGAGCCAGTCCGAACAATCACACAGGGACTCGTGGTCCCCGTGTTTTTCTTCCAGCAATCGGGAACCACCATGGCCCAATGCCTCCCGGCCGAACTCCACCACGATGAACCTTCAGTGCCTCGTATTCTCATTGCTGCGGAACCCCGTTTCGACTCTAATGTGTTCAAAACGGTGGAAGTCAAGGATTTCTGGAAAGCCGCGCCCGAAATCTTCCTACCCAACGGGCAGAGCCTTGCCAGTCATGATGACATATATATATATCGTCAGTACAAGATAATGCGGCAAAGCAACTGACCCACTGACATATATAATGGCCCTCAGAGGAAGCGCCCGATGGCTTCCATAGGTTTCCGATTGTCAATCCGTGGCGAACACAAGCCAAAGGACTTGTAATCAAACATGTGCCTATCGTTTTGTACTCCGATGATACCTCGGGGAATGTTTCCAAGAAGTGGAATAAACACATGAGTGTTTTTTTCACACTCGCAGGCCTACCACCGAAGTTGACCAATCTCGAATATCACATCCACTTCTTGGCCACCTCGAACTGCGCGTCTGCTCTGGAGTTGCTTGACGAGGTTGTTGATGACTTGAAGTTAGCAAATCTGTCCGACTTGTCACACATTCCCAAAACAAACCGAGGCACTGACGAGTTCGTTCAGTTCACACAGTTCTCACGGCTTCATTGCTTACGACCACAGCTCTGGCACTGAGGTTCTGGTGATGGTGGTGGTATTATGTCACCTTGGCGATGGTCCTATGCACGCCGAGATCAGTAATACCACCAACCCCGCCAATACACTCACACCTTGTCGCATTTGCGACCTCCATGTCACACGCCTGATTGAGAAAAAAAGTGCAGCCTATGTCTCTGCTTTCATTGGAATCGATAGCGCGGGTGAAGATGTAAGTGTTTCAAGTGTCCCTATCTCATGACCCTGCTGCTGTCCCTCCTAATCGATTGAGATGGGTCCCAACTACAATAGGTGATATCACCCAAACAAGACTGGGATCTTACTCGCGCAAGGACATTTGATTTATGGAATCTTGCCCAGATGCCACGCACCAAGTCGGCAGTGGACACCGAAGCGCGCCGATTCGGCCTCCGGGATCCCATGCTAGACTTTTTCATTAAGAAAGTTCAGCACGCGTACAAAACTCAAGAGGCTGACCGTGTCCAACAAATATGTCATGGTCTCACCCGCCAGCTCGCAGGGCATATGTTTAATCCGATGCTGCGACTGGAAGGTGAGCTTTCAAACATTCACATGAACCACTCCACACATGAGTCGTACACTCACCCTTCGGTTGAACGCGATGGTTCGGTTAGGCTTTGACGGCCACCGCGACACCCCCGTAGAGACGCTCCACGTAGTACTACTGGGGATCACCAAGTACCTTTTCAGAGACATGATGAAATCTTTCGGAATCATCAAGCCGGGGTCCAAACGTTATTGTGATTTGGCCGGCCGTTGGCATGCGTGCAATACGAGAGGCCTTCACATCGCACCCATCCAGCCAAACACGCTGATTCAATTTTATAACAGCCTCGTGGGCAAGGACTTCCGGACAATTCTTCAGACTGTGCCCTTCGTGTTCTTCGAATACATACCGACAAACAAGCGGCACTTGTGGACATCCTTATGCTTACTTTCTTCGTTCATCTTTCAACACGAAATTTCACACCCCATAGAGTATCTGGCCCGAATGGAGGCTTATATACTTATTTTTTACAATCAGTTGATCCAGAACACCGCTCAGTGGGTCAACAAGCCCAAATTCCATATGCTGCGCCACCTCAAAGACTCGATCACACGCTTTGGTCCGGCAACCTTATTCATGACCGAAAAGTTTGAGTGTTATAATGGAGTCTTGCGCGCGGCGTCAGTGCATTCGAACCGGATGAGCCCCGGTCGTGATATTGCCAATACATTCAACAATTATCAATGCATGCGGGCGATCCTCTCCGGCAACACATTCTTTGATAAGGACCTGGGTATACGATGTTCAGCTGGCCCTCGTGTTCAAAAACTACTTAACACTGTTCCTGAACTCTCAAAGGCTATGGGCCTCGACCCAAAGCTCGATCAAAACCCTGGGATCACCGCTGGCCGTGAGTTTGCCCCACTTGATTTGGTGATGATTTCGCCGGTGCCAAAACTCGCCGAAATCAAACTCACTGGGTTTTGATTACAGCTCGCGTCAAAGAACCTCTGCCGATCCCTGATTTTCTGACCGCCAAATCTGGTAATGCGAACTGGCTGGAGTTTGTTTCAGTCACTCTGGCCAACAAACAAACTGTGACCAAAGATGACTTTGTCAAAGTAAGTGAGATTTGGAACTAGCTAGTATTTGAAGCTCACCCGCACGCTTACCATAAACAAATCCAAATCTTTCACAGCTGAACAATAGCACGGTGATTGGGCAGGTTCTGGCCATTTGGAAACCCGATGGCGTTTCCGCCAATAGAAGTGTAATACTCCTTCGGGAGACACAACTTGGTGGTATCGATCCTTTTTACGGGATGCGCGAGGTCACCCGGACTCAACGCGAGGCATGGGTGAAGGTGACCGTAAGTTCCTCAGCTGTCAAATTTGTCAAACACACGAGTGAGTAAATAACTGGTGTACTCTGTAGGAAATCCATTGCCTCATGAATGTACAACACAATTGCAACCGAGAAGTTTGTCCCGTGGCGGACGGAGCAAAAAGAAGAGTCGAAAGAAGGGATGCTTCAAGCCGTATCAGCACGGTTGCGCACATCAACAATGACCATTTTATCTTAAATAGCGCCAGCCACTATTCGGCCGAGGCACATCGAGTGGTGGCTAATATTCAGCCGCTCCAGTTACAGCCTGCCGATTGGTTTGAATGTTTGCAACAGGGTTTGCACACGTGGCAGTCCGTCCCGGTGAAACCTCGCAAGAAAAGGATGGCGAAGGGCCAAGGAAAAAGCAAGGACCAAGACTCTTCTTCCGGGGAAGAGGATTTGGGTGAATTGCAGGGAAACTTAGATTTTGATGGTGACGACTTGGAAGTTGATGACGGTTTGTTAGAAAATTATATTTGAATTAATTGTTGTTTCTGTCAAAACAACCACTGTGAACAATTGTTTCTTTGCTTTTCCATCCTTTTTGTTTGTTCAAAGGTTGACATATCACCTTTGACCAAGAATGGTGTTCCGGGGCGGTTCCCGATGAATGCAAATCATTCAGCAATTGCACACCTTTGACTTCTGACGCGAGATTGTTGTTCGCGTCCTTACAATGTAAGCAGGAGCGTGAGAGCTCGTCAGCAGGCTTTTCGCGTTCAGGGGAAAAGCACGCTGCGACCGACGAATCAGCGGCTGCATGGCCGTCTGCACCCCTGCGTAAGATTTCTTGATGCGACAAGAGGACCCACCAACCTTTTCCCTCAGCTGGTGATGGGCTTATAAAAACTCCCCTCACCAAATCTCTCCAACTTTGTTTTCTCGCCCTTCCAAACAAAAATTGAGAAAACTTTGCAAACCCATCTTTAAAAACCGGCTCACCTCCACGTGTACTTTCACCTCAGCAACAATATGTCTTCTCAACCACAACGTGCCGCTGCGCCTTATTCCCTTTCGACTCCCTCAATGAGTTAGTTCCACATGTTACTTGTAATTCTCTTAAATCCCATCCGAAGTCTGCTCGAACCACCCTCTTTGCGAATCCTGTAGATCGAATGGATACTATGTCTATGCTCTTGGCCAACCGCGCTTTGGCTTTGACTTCACGATCGATCCGTGGCAACACCAGTAACCAGAACACTGGCGACTCTTCAGGCAAGTTATTTCTCTAATGCTCGGGCACACGAGTATACTCAAATGTTTCTCGCAGGTCTCCACGAAGGTAGCCCTATCGGGTCAAACAACAGAAGTGCGACCGGCGGTTCCGGTATTTTGAGTGTAAGCGTGATTTTTTGGGATTCATTCCGTTGGCTTTTCTTGGTCTTCACCCTATTTATCCAATCATTACGCGCTGGGGCTCAGGACGAAGAGGCGAGCACTCGTGAACTTGTTTCGGTTTCAACCGATAAAATGCTTGCGGCCATTGCGAGTCTGTCGCAAAAGCTCGAGATGTTTGACGCCAACCTCTCTGAGAAGCTGGATGACGTCACGGCTTTGCACAACCAAAGCCTTGATCAATTGAATACATTATCGAACAAGCTCGACAGGCTGACTGAGAAGATGGATATCTTTGAGGATCACCTGCTCGATCTGCCCCAGCAAGCTCGCCCGGCCGCGGGACCAGTGGCTGCTGCGACCCCAGCTGCCCCGTGGAATTATTCGGCTGAGCTGAAAGTCAGTTCTGTTTCTTGTGATGTATCTTTGAAATGGTACTGACCCAATCTCATATCGGTGAACCAGGCTCGTGTTTATGCGGCTGCATACAAGAACGTTTCCTCCTCCGAAGTCAAAGCCTACACCAAACGTGAGTCACCTGACGGTGACATGATAGGGGGTTCTTTGTTTAACATTGTTAGAGTGAGTCCCAATTGCTATGATTCGGACTCAATTCTAAACCCCTCCTCATTTTGTTCGTCTGTTTGGGCCCGTTCGTTCTAGTTTACCCTCTCCAGCTCGAAATCAACGACATCGAGGCCCCTTGGCCCGAACAGCAACTCCCTCCTCAAACCAATGGTGTTACCAATGTTGCGGCCCAGAGGTTGTACCACAAGCTCTTGAAAAACGCGGGCAAACACGCTCGCAAACGCATGCACCACCTCGTGAGTGTTTCTTTTATGTTTGCTCCGTCTCCACATTTATCTGAACCATTTCTCTGCACAGGTGCTACATAATATCCGTAACCCACGAGAACCTAACATTCCGCCCGAGGGCACCATCCCCAATATCAAGAAGCTGATATTTCGGGTAGGTCTTTAGTTGTGATCTCGGCCACATCATGAGCTGACCCTTGGTTAATAGATCGCGAACCATTGTGGGGACGAACCAGATACGCGCGATGAAGCTACTTTATGGCTTCAAACTGTGTGGCCGGATCGCGTACGGATTGCTTATTTGGTTAGTCTGACTTCTTTACCATCAGATGTTCCATGCTAACGGTGATGATCTGGGCAGCGTCGTGAAGCAATCCGAATAGTACAGGCTGTTCGGCGCGGCGAAGGCCGACCTGACATATGGGCCCGGGTGGACAAACACCTCCACAAGTTGCGTGTGGAGGGGCCTATGTATACAACGGCGTAAGCATTTACTTCCCAGCGATTCTTCTTATTCGCTATCTTGCCTGCGCACTTCAGCTGACCCCTATGACTGCCAGTTTTTATAGAGTTGTTTACAATCAGGATTTGGCCACCTTTGACGGCAAAGGCCACGTGACCGAAATTGATCCACTGGTGATGTTTGACTTGCCCTCCGAAGAGGATATTCAAACCGAGATAGCGGCTGTGGAAGTGGAGGGAATTGGAGCAGACGGAATGAACGAAGCGGCAATGAACGGAGGCTTATGAAACTTGGCTCCCTTGTGTTTTCATTCATTTTAATTCCTTGTTGTTCTTCAACGATCTCCCTGTTCACCCGTTTGTTATCACCATCATACAAGGTTGTTTTCATTCCTTTTATTTCCTTGTCCAATGGTATGCTCGTTTATCATTAAATACATCCTGTTGTCCTCTATTGAACATTCCCCCAGTAATGTACTCTCGCTGCATTACGCTCGCTATTTTCACTTCGTGACAGCAGCACGTAGTGAACCAATCAGACCACCTGAGCTGAGCACAACTGGGTTTGGCCCCGAAAAATGCGCCCATAATGGTCTGAAAGACCGTCGCGAATTGGCTCAAGGCCAGCGTGCATAGGGTTTACGGAGCGCCTGCGGGATGGCCGGCCTGGCCGCCTCAGGTTGATAGCGCGGTCGTCGCCAAACTGGCCATCCCAAGACCATCCGGTCTCCCGCAACTAGTGGCGGCCTGGGGGCCGCCGCCTGGGACAACCGTGCGGCGGTCAGGGTGCCCCCGCGGTGTATGATCCCCAGTAGGATATTAAACCTAAGGATATCATGAGATCATATGCCAGGTGTGCCACAGTTTTTCCACCCCTTTGGGACATCCCTTTCTCAACAGCCATCATAAGCCTGCCAATGCTATTGCGCAATGAATTATTTGTGGGGGATCCTTTGAGCAAATCCAATATTTGGTTTCCATCACAGCCCCTAGCCCCTCTTCCTTGATATTCTCATGAACCGGATAAATCACATGGGATTGTGCTGGGAGTCTAATTATATCCCTGAAGAAGTTATTATCTACAAGATGATTTTACACTGAATCATGCATTTGTGGTGAATGTGCAAGGGAATATGCAAACAAATGTAGAAGTCCATCACCCACCACTAGAACATTGGCTTTTTGGAATTCAAGTCGGAAATGCTCCATTATGCTCTGAATTTCAGATTGCTATTCAGGTAGTTGACTTTGCAGCAATTGACTTCAAACAAGACCCTGGACCCTACTTATTCTTGCTGGAATGCCATGAAATCTTCCAAAATCCCATGTATTAAAGTGTTCTTCTATTTCCAGACACTCTTTCACATCTATAAAAACATGATATTATTCAGACCCATCTCTTCTTAAGCCTCAAAGTCATCTCCAGCCTTTTTGATAGACTGGAAGCCATTTGTCATGTATCCAAAGTGACTTGAAGTTTCTTGTCATGAATGGTTCCAAATATGGTGTCATCAGACCAATCAAAAGGATCAGCCAATAATAACTAAAACCATCACCAGGTTGATTCCAGCTCACTTACCCTTATTTGCTTGTATATAACACATGAGCAGTCAATTAAAAAAAGCCAAGTTTTCTGTTGAGCAGTTATTCCATTGGCATTTGGTGCCAGATACTTGACAAATCCTTCTATAATTCCAACCACCCAGAGACTCTCTACTTGATTACATTGATTTGATGGTTCTAAATAATCCTCAGTAAGCCAAAAACATTGGGCCACAAGATCTCCATTGCATTGGAGCCACCTTGCCCAGGACTCAACGGACACCTTCACAGATTAGGAAACATAGCGCCTAGGCCACAAGCCTACAGGACAAGAACACTTGGACGGCCTAAGTGACCTCAAGAAACACAAAGTAGCTACACTCACACAGCTACGCTCCACGCATATCCCTCTGAACTCTTATCATTGTTGTTTTGCACAAATTGCTAATACCACCTGCAGATTTCAGGAAGGTCTCAAGAATGTTGATCACTTCTTATTTATATGCCAGGACTACGCACAGGTATGAGCGGAATCTTAACACAACATTGAGCAGCAAGGCCTCCTTCAACAAAAGACATTCAGAATAGAAAACTCTCTATCAACACCAAGTGCTATCAAAGCAGAACAGTCACTTATTGCAACAAAACTTGGTGATTCTCCAACAGATGGGTTTGGGCACACATCACAGATGAACCCCGTCCAATCAACCTCACCAAAACCCTGGATTAATTCCTCCCCACAATCCATTGCCCTACTTCATGTTTCTTCCTCCCACATATGTATACTTAGATGAAATAGCTAACAGCCAACTTTCCCCTGATATAGCCATAGTTTTACCAGTGCTGGAACATACATATAGTGTTTGATAGCCTAATGGCTCAAAAAACACGTAAAGCAATGCATAAAAAAGTGTGCTTATCAGCTCTACCACTTAATTGCGAGCCAGATGTTTGATCTTCCCATTCGTGCTTCAGCAGTTGTCACCTTTGATCCTACCAAAGAAAACTGCGTACGGTGTTGGATCAGAAATTAAGGCTGAATGATAATGCGAGTCAAAACTGGACCGGTTGACAAGTCCGTGCTCAGAAAATTCATGACTCTGAGTATCGGTTCTCAGGCAGCTTTCTGGACTGGCCAAACCGAGGACAAAGTATGGTACAAAGGTTCCACCAAAGTGTAGAAAACTCATTAGGCGCATCTTCATGAGTTGTTTTGCAATGGTTCCCAGAAGTAGGACTGACGCTGACAACTCGTAATTGCATCAAGTCCTCCGCGCAGCTATAAAACCTGGAGACGTCTGAAGCACTTTGCACAGTCGAGATATAATCATGAGTGTTGCCGGGTTACTCTAACAGTCCATCTATGAAATTTTGAAAGTTTTAGGAGATACGTATTCACACTCTCTTCCTTGCTTATTTGTCCATGACCGCATGAAATCTCTAGGTAATGCTCTGAATTGAGCCCGATATGTAGAAGCCTTGGTTCGCAAAAGAGTCCCGCGAGATAAAAGGTGTGTTTTATAGAGATATCATGGTAAATAAAGTAGAAAGATATCCAGAGCACTGCAACCCTCAAGTTTTGAGGCTAACCTTCATTGTGATTTTCAAAGCCGAGGGCAATGGAGGGTCGAAAACTTTCCGAGAAAGATCAATATTGACATCAAATTATCTTAATGTTCATTCACTAAAGCTGTTGTGATTTGCCAAGCTTTGTTCTAGATGGGAAGAAACCGGGCTTTGATATTAGAAGCAAAAGAACAGGAGTCGCCCAGGCAAATGACATCTCAGGGTTTGCCTCGCAAATTCTAAAAAGATGCATACAAGTACGACGACACTTTCAGAAGCAGTGCATATCATGAACACGACACTAAAACCAATTGATTAATTTTGTACAAAACCTCGAGCGAAATTGACAAAGCATAACCATTTACACATTTCTTTTACACAATCAAACTACTGAAAGAAAATGATGGAAACTTCCTTGATATAAGGGCATCGAAATAGAAAATCTTTTACTCGTCAAAGTGACCAAGTTGATCAGGTTCTTGAGCTGTTTTCTCTTCATATGCTTCATATTTTGCATCATCTACATGTTCATCATCATTTGGTCTACGTAACTTCCATAATTCTGAAAAGACCGCAGATGGATCAGGATCAGTTTCTGCAGCAGGTTGAACCTCTGCAGTTATTTCTCTGAGAAAAATCAAAAGCAAGTGAACAATTAGAGTCGATCTCTGCTTCAATTAGTCCATGTAAAACTTTACTCACTGAGGATCAAATTCTATGGTCACACCATCACTAAAAAATCAAACGTCAATTTGATTAGCAAAAGGAAATAGAAAGACAACCAGTCAAATTTAGTCATACCCCGTGGAATCATTATCAGTTGTAATAACTACCACGTCAGTTTCTTGAGCTTGAGCTTGAGCTTGATCTTGGACAGCAGGATCCGCTACAGTATTCTGTGGAATTGGTGTAGTTGAGATAATTCCAACAAGAATAGAACATAATACAAATGAGAAACGCATAATTGTTTATTTGTTTTTGAGTTATCGAAAGTTCGAAATAGTAAAGAGAAATATTATCACAGATTGTTTTATCTTTTTGGTTGAAAAAAATTGGATCAAATTATGAAACAGATGAAAATGTAATATGTTCAAGTAAGATGGTAAAGATAAAGTCCAAAGGTTGAATCGTAGACGGGAATGAATTTCAATGAATATCAGTTAGGCTTTGAAGCTTTATATATGGAATGGTTTGGTATTGCTACAAGATTTGTATTGGACCCCTTAGCGAATGATGCCAAGGTAGAATGGTGTTTGGTGTAAACCGTAACCTTTCTCGAGTTAATCGTAGCGATAGTGGAAAGATTTTCAGAGTCAACGTAGGCCCTGACACAAGCAATGGTACACCAACAGTGCCGTGCCGCCTCGGATCAACAAACCAATGTGAGTCGCATACAACCCATGGGTTTGGAGATTTACTCAAGGTGTGCCCTAACTTAAAGTCAGCCCCCTGGAACCGCGGCGCCTCCGCAGGCTCCGGGGGACGTCTCTGCAGACAATGGGGCTTATGATAAGCTAGAGGTGTACCAACGGTGCTTATTTGGATCAAGCGCGCAGCTTATCGAAGACTTCACAACTCAAGCCTTGAATGTCATGAAAACGACTTGTGATGGTCTTGTTTCATAAGTCCGTTAAGCTTACATAACTAAGCCCCTCATGCGCGCGTTTGCCGCGCCCTCGAATAGGAGCTTACGGCAGACTCGGATTTTTTGGCGGAGGAGCTCCAAGGATCAAGTCCTCTTATATACTTTTTCCGAAATTTCCACTTCCCCTCTCCACAAAAAGTTCCAAAAATTTGATATGTTGGTCTCGATATCTTTCTACATATTTCGGTAGCTCACAGGCTGGTTCAGGTTGAAAGGAGTTTTTGGGTTTTGTGATGCAAAATTGTCATTTTATAAGCCTCCAATGAAATTTGGAGGCATATCCAGAAGACTTAGGCTGCCTTAGGCCATTGCAAGAGGATGTAAGGTACATTTTTTACTCAGCTCTCAAGCTGTGCCGAGCGGTCTGTTTCACACGAGATGCACACTAGAGTATGTAGCAAGATACACCAAGGTGGATGTATTTGAATCACAGAAGAGAAGTGACAAACCACCTGGTGGGGCTCGACGTCATAGTGATTTTAATTCCCAAGTGACTCATTCTACTCTTATGAAAAGAACTCGTAGACAGCAAAAAAAGAAGAAAACCTTGAGAGAGAAACAATTGGTTCTAAAAAAGAAGTACGGAACCCTCAAACATAATTCTGAGCTTATCAATGAAGAGTATCTCATCCCAACCTCAATTGCCTGCCCTTCTTTTGACGACGTACAACACCTGCACATCTTGGATACCTCTGGGACATGGGATAATTGACACATCGAGGCAAAGCATGGGCCATTAATCCAAAAACGCAAACTGGCATAGGTGCATCAAGATAAATGTCATGCAAGTGATGAGCTGCAAAGGTTGGCATACAAGTGTTGACAATTGGTGAAGTGGTGGGTGATTATGGAGGAAAAACTCCCAGTTCTTGAAACTGCACTGAATCAACAAGGTGGGCTTACAGTATGTGATATGATGACTGAGCTGGAGACTGACCCTAGTTGTGAATGTTGGCAGATGATAATGCCAACCTTCAGACAAACCAGTGGATGGTTTGAGTCATCAAATCCACAAAACCAACAGCAAAAGAGAAATTGGTTGAGAGCAAATAGTAGAAATTATGCTTGCCTTTAGATTTTTTGGAGTGGAAGGATGAATGCACTCATAAGTCAAATAAAACTATAGTATGTAGGTTGGATGAGATAGAGAAGAGGTCAGTGTTGCACCAGTGCAGTATTGACACAATGGGAAGCATCAGTGGCACAAAGTAAAACTGCCTGTAATTCAAACTCACAAACTGAGATCTTTGATGCAGCTCCTCTGGAAAAAGATAACAAGGCTGAGAAACGTTTGATGGAGCTGGAGGTTATCAATAATGAAGACAAGTTGGATGATGATGAAAGAGTTGTTGAAGAGGATGAAGAGGATGGTGAAGAGGATGGTGAAAATGAAGGGCTTCACAATTGAGGTAAGCTGGAGATGATATTGGTAGATCAAACTGGTTTTTGTGATGAAATCAAGTCTGGTGGTTGTAGATTGTGGAGTAATTAGTTTGAAATGTACCGTGTGATCAACTTTTTTCATGAGACTGAAGGCTCAGTTAAAAAATGAGATTGATTGCAGACTTGAACATATATTATATTCAAAAGGCCATGCTGAATGATACTCAGAGCACTTTTGAAATTTGTCCAAGCAACCTGAGGCACTTGTGTTGTTTTGAAGAACTCCCTCAGATTTGATTTTTGAGAATAATTTTTTGAAGTCAAAGCTCTCTGTAGAGCTTTTAGATGGTCCACATAATGGTGTAGCATGACTAGAATTTGACTGGAATCAACCTTGAAGCTATGGTAAATATGTAGCTACCCAAGTCACCTGAACTGCTCTGCTGCAGAAAATCAGCACGCATGTCAATGATAATGTGACATTTATCACTGAATTGTTTGCTTAACATTCAGCACAACTGCAACTGCATGTGTTGTTCCATAAAAACATTGCAAGGCTGTAAGATTGAAAAAGAAGGAGTGTGCTTGCCTTTTTCTGCTATTACACATCTGCCAACAATTTTTTTAGTTTTAAACTTGGCTACTCATTATCTGAACACAAGACATACTTTCTGTGAATGGAATGAATTAAGTCACTCCTGAAGCTTGAAAGTAAAGGATTTGGAGAATCCTGATCAGAAACAAACAGAAACAAATAACTCAGTCTATGATATCTTGAAGGAACACTGAAAGATGTTAGGGATGAGGTCTTGTTGATAGTTTGTAACAGAATAATGATTGAATGAATAAGGAAAGCTTTTGGATCAGACAACAAGGTATATAAGAACATTGATACAATGTTTGGTTAGGTTAAATCATGTGAGTACAAAATAGATATATTCACAACATAAGTAATTAGGCAATTAAATTAGAGACATGGTATTTATATTGTTAGTATTATGCATGTAAAGATGAATATACTCCAACAGGAAGCATGGCATAGGTGAAAAATTTCAGCCTGGGCTACAGAGGCAGCTTGGTTGGCAAAGAAAGGCAAGGAAAAGCAGACGGGTGTGTGAAACCCCACTATTACTACGGCAAAATTTTAGTGGCAAGCATTTTTCATATATGAAAGAGTTGAACTTGTAAAGCATCTGACTTTTTTCTCCTTCTCACTCTCTCTAGAACAACATATGATGAAGATAAATGTGAGACTATCATGTTAATTAGCCTATCCAATGAAATACATAAACACTGCAGCATTGATGAGCAAGACATGCAAAAACACTGCATTGATTATTTCCAAATAAATGATTTTGACAGTCTTTTACAGTTGGAACATCTTCAAGAATTGTTAATCAGAAGCATACAAAGTTGTTTGAAGAACACTTCTGCATGAATCAGGAGGATGATACAATGACCATAAGTCTACTCCTCTATGGGAGAGTGAGCAGTCTTGGAGCTCAAGCTCACTGTGGGTTGAATAGCAACAACATGTCAGACCTCTACATGAATCACTCCACTTTCTGTCTTCTCTATGCTGTTTGAGTAGTCTAGGAAGGGGGGGTGTTGGGTCCTCTTGTGGGGCTTCAACTAGACCCTCAGGGATAGTGTATCCCTTATGCTGTCTAGAAAAAGTGAGAGGTCTGAGGGGGGTTCTTACCAATGCTGAGGACGGAAGCTGTCAGACCCCAGGATGGTGGGTGGGTGTTGAAATTTGATTAATAATCAAAGTTTTGAGTTTGAGATCTTGTAAAGGAGAGAAGTCTGAAGATTTTCCTGTATGTATTGGAAATCTCAGACTCAGACAGCTTGGGTACATAACATCTAAGTTTTTATGTACCTTACACTACTAATGCTTGCTCACACTCTACCCTGTAGACAGAGGTCCAAACTTGTGCCTTGTCTAAACCCATCAGGATCTCCCACCCATTGGGTTTTTCAGCACTGATGTGTTCCAAAAAAACAATGAGAGCTATCTATCTCATGAGCCATCAATATTGGCAGCACCAGCCTGATATCATGGGGGTATAATTCACAAAACCATAGATAGTCCAACAAAGTTTGTGTCTTGATTATAGGAAGCAGCATTTCCAAACTGATCTGGTTGGTACCAAATATGTAACGTATAAATTGTAAGGACCAGTGAAAATCTCCATGTGGTTTGCCACAAGCTAGTTTGAGTATCATATATACTCACCCAAAGAGTCAGGCTGTGTTCTTGCATGAATATCACGGGCATTGGATTTAGCTATACAAGTTGGGCTGCTGCTGCTTCTATAACCAATGACTCCAACAGGGGAGTTAAAAGTTGCAGGTTGTTTCCTCAGGATTTTGAATATGGTCTGTCTCAGTCACCTCATCCTGAAGTGAAATCATTTTTAATAATGTAACAACTGAAACTGGGATGTGAACTCACGGGCCATATGATTCATCAATCAAAAAATCCCAGAGAAAGAGTTGGTGTTTGGGGAGAATATGTTATGGCTCATTGGGATCATTGTAGTGTTTGAGTTGAGACCAGAAGGCAGGGTGGATTGGGCAAATTTGGCTAGTTGAGCTGACTGCAGTGGTCTGGTCTTTTTCCACAGCCAGAATGTGGTTGCGGAATAATTCAAAATATCACCATTCTTGCACAGGTTTCATCACACTGTTCTCCTTCACTTGGATCCCCTTGAGCAAGTCACTGCAAGTGGACTATGCACTCCGGAGCTTGGGAGTTCCTTACACAATCACAGCTGCTTGCGGAAATTTTCACATAAGTTTAATTAATTCACAACATTCAGAAGTATACACAGCTTTTTGACTGCCAGTGTGTTTTTTGTTTTTAAGTTTGCAATTGGAGGCACCACCTGGCAACCTTTGTAGACTTTCACATTCCCCCTGGAATGCTCTACAAGCTCAAACATCCAATTAGCTTTAGTGAATGGCTTTGCAACAACCAAAGTCATTCATTTGCAGCACACATGGGTGCTGAGACTAGCACAGGACCTGGACTTGCTCTGAATGTACAACCATATTTGGCCACAGCAGCTGATGAAATTGCTTGATTGAGTACCTCCAAGGACACCCAGATGACCTTAATATATATATTAGAACCTCTTGTGTTGGGAGAATGAGATCTTTTTCTGGCTCTCTTGAAGGATGCTGGATCAGATGAGATGCATGAACTATATGTCCTTGATCAAGCCAAGCTGAGCTTACTTTCTAACCTGATGTTGTTCCCAATTTAACCACAATTGGTTTGAAGCTCCCTACCATCACCACCAACATATTTACCTTGGATTATAAAATCCGAGGTATCCTCGGATGCAAAACCTCGGACAGAAGCTTCCTGAGGTTTTGATCCGAGGTAATTCTCAGGGCAAAAAAATACCTCGGGTGAAAACCTCGGACAAGGTCTGTCCAAGGATTTGCCTCCAATGATGCCTTGGATTTCTCAACCCAAGGCATCTATGCTGGCAGTGCATATTGTGGTAGACAATCATTGACTCTGTGTGGGATCAATCAGTAAAGATCAAATGATGTTTGGCTAGTCAAGCTGACAAACAAATTCAATAGCCTTACTGAAACTGTGGCACAACTGGAAAATGTAGTTCAGAAAATCACTTATGCTGTCTGATGCTTATGGAGATGGATCAGAAGTCAATGAAGTCAGCAAGTGGAAGGCATCAAATGCACTATTTATGCACTCAGACCATCTTGACAATTCATCATGTGATTTTGACATCTTCCTTACAAATTGCTAAAGCTTTGTTATCCCCCTTGCACCCAGACTGGTTACTTTTCCAACTGTTCAGGCCTACACCACATTGAAAATTGATGGCAGTGATATCCCACAATCTTTGTGCAGCCAAATCAGAGGAATTATACTGTGTATTCCACAATTCACATGAGTGGATGATTCCCTAGTTCAACTGGGTCATAGTATTGTAGTCTGTTCAAATAGATTATCAAGTTGCAACACTAGTTGCAAGTGTCATTGTTAACTGCCTTCTTGCCATGTTATCCCTTTTCCCTTCACGTTGACACCCCATGCTGCAATCATATAAATTTAATATGAGTATCACCGCATGGTCCCGTTCTGAGCACATCCATGATTGCCCCCCCTGTGAATGTGAGTTTTATAGCCAGCAAAAGAGGCGGGAAGCCCTAAGAGACGAAGTCCGAATCAGAACCCGACGCGCCGGATTTGAGACCAGGCTCGACGGTCTGCAGGCCGTTTTACAGTCCAGCTTGGTGCCGACTTCCGGCCGACCTGAGCTCAGCACCCTATATCATCCTGGCCAGACCCTCCGGCGGTGTACTCATCAATCCAAACCGAATCAACGCATCTGTTGAATTAGTACGACGAAGTTATATTCCTTCACAATCAACTGAAGGGCCATCATCACATGTTCCAAAACGGCTTCAAAAATTCTTATTGCAGAATCAAAAGACGTACCCTTTTCAAGCAGATCAATTTGGAAGAGATGCCCCTAGATGGGGTTTCGATAGAGGTACAGAAGGAATAAAAACCGGCGTTTGGGATGATAATGTTGCTAAATCTATCATCCTAGGTTTGGATCAATTAATCTGACTGGCTTGCCAACTCGCAAAGTTTTTGTCGCTCATAAAGTACAAGAACACCAATTCTTTTACGCTACGATGCGGACAATCTTTTTCAAGTGTTCTCTGTTTTTTTCGTTATACAAGTTATCTATATATATTCATTGGCTATTGTTGTCACAGGATGTGTGTTTCTTTATCTCGTTCTACTTTTCAAATTCATTATGAGCCATTGATAATGACCAATCTCTGTATCTTGTATGTTTTGGATATACATTTAATTCACACATTTTCTTCAAAGTGATTTTCTATCATAGATTATGAGGCCAGCTTGGTGGATAATGGAAAGAACTCATTTTCTCAAGAAAACCACTGGTCTCAAGGGCTAAGATGATTGTGATGAGATTGACATTGTACATACTACGCTACAAAACCAGCAAATGTTCTTGAAAAAGACGAGAATAACAAAACAAAGGTATGATCACCAAGGTATACATTTTCCAATGTAAGATTATTGAAAAAAATAAAAGGTAAATTGAAAAAAAAAGAAAGTACAAAAAATTAAAATTAATTGATTAGAATCTATAGCACAACAAATTCAATATATCCTTTTAAACATCAATATTACCAAGTTGATCAGGTTCTTCAGCTGTTTTCTTTTCATATGCTTCATATTTTGCATCATCCATATGTTCATCATCATTTGGTCTACGTAATTTCCATAATTGTGCAAAGAGCGCAGCTGGATCAGGATCAGTTTCTGCAGCAGGTTGGAACTCTGCAGTTATTTCTCTGAAGAAAATGAAAAAAAAGTTGAAGATTAGAAATCTGATTCTTTTTGAGGTTTAGATACCTCCTCGGATGGAATCATGTAAAACTTTACTCACTGAGCATTAAATTCTATTGTCACTTTTTCACTAAAAAAATCAAAGAAATGAGTTTAAATCGAAAAATCAAATTTGATTAGCAAAACATGATTTGTGCAAAAAGAAAAACAGACAAATCGAAATTAATCATACCCCTTGGAATCGCCATCAGTCGAAATAACTACCACTTCAGTTCCTTGAGCTAGAGCTTGAGCAGCAGGGGCCGGGACAGTAGTTTGTGGAATGGGTGTAGCTGAGATAATTCCAACAAGAAGAGAACATAATGCAAATGAGAAACGCATGTTTGTTGAGTTGTTTTTGAGTTAGTGAAAGTTGGAAATATTAAGAAAGATTATTAAGATAGGTTTGACTAGGTTTGACTATCTATTATGTGTGGAACGGAAATTAAAGTGATTGGTTTCTGAAAAAGGAAAAGGACTATCAAATTATGTGACAACGAAATTGTAATATTCAAGTAAGGAGGTAAAGGTGAAGTCAAAAGGTTGAATGGCAGATAGGAATGAATCTCCGTAAAATCAGCAAGACTTTGAAGCTTTATATACGAAGTGGTTTGGTAATGCGCTACAAAAATTGAATTAGACCCCTTTAGTGAAGTTGATAATGCCAAGGTATGATGGTGTTGGGAACAAACCGTCATCTTTTTCGAGTTCATCATATCGATAGTGGAAACATTTCCGGAATCAAGATAGGCCCTGCAACAAGCAAAAAACACCTGTTTGAAAAAGAAAAAGTTTGTGAGCTTGAAACCTAAGTTTTAACCGGCTAAAACCTGGAATTTGGCTGTATTGCCTTGAATTACAGCCAAGTTTGAAGTTTTATTGAGTAAAAACAGGTAAAAACTTAGGTTTCACTTTTTCTTTTTCAAACCGGAGCGACAAGCAATATCGGAATGGCTGTAGGCCCTGCAACAAGCAAAAAACTACATGGTACACACATCAAGAGTGCCGTGCCGCCTCGTCTCAACAAACCAGCGCGAGTCTTATACAACCCATGGGTTAGGAGATGTACTCAAGGTGTGCCCACGGTGCTTGTGTGTCTCAAGAGCTATCGTAGACTGCACAACTCAATCCCAAACCCGCCACGCCCCCAAAACTTTGTGTGACAATCTGCTTCTATTTTGTGGGACGACTTCGCCAAGTTCTTTTGAACCTAAGCCCCTCGCGCGGCCATATGTACATTTTGGATCCATCGGATTAATGAAATCAACTCGAGAGACTCTGGGTGGTTAGAATCATAGCAACATCTGATAGTATCTAGATTCTACATACATACCAGTCATGTGTGGATTGAACAACAGCTCAATGGAAACTCGTGAAAGGGCAATCAACCATGTATCGAAATGTACGCATCAATAGTGCGACTGCCATATAGCAAAGAAAATCACTCATCACGGTCCCGGGCGGTTCAATGCATGTATCTGTGTTAGAAAATGGCATGACGTCAATCTCATCAATGGCCTTGGCCTCAAATGACCCATTACAGTTTTCTTCAACCGATAAGTTCTTTGATATGAGTATCAACCAACCAGACCTCTGATAACCTTCTTAACAAAAAAGTTCCTTGAAGATATGTAAATCAAAGATATAAATTCAAAACCTACAAAATGTCAACAAAAAAAATCATCATTTACAAAAAAAAGTTAATCAAAAGAGAAACTAAGAAAAAAAAAGAGTAGAGAGATACATTCAATTACAAAAAAAAACAAATGAAAAAGAACAACAAACATACACATAACTTTGTACAAATTTGGAGATTTACAAATATTATTTGAAGTATATAGTTTTATTATGATGATCATTGAGTACAACAAGTTTTTTTTCGATTTCAAACAAGAGACTTTCACAAATTGAATAAATGTATATATATATTTAACACAAAGTAGAAAACAAGAGAGAAAAGAGGAAGATAAAGATTGCTTGTATAAAAACCTTATAAAAATAATTGACTTTTTTATGTTTTAGCACCAACAAAAAACGTTCCTTGAACCGGTAAACCAGTCAAATTAATCGATCCAAACCCATTAATAATCGCTCTAGCATCACTTTCTCCACGTACACTAGTTTTCAAACCTTCTTGACCTCTATTAAACAACCATTTAGCTGCATATCTTCTAAACACATCTCCTTGACCGGGTAAGATCGTCAATGGTACATCTTTTAATTCTGCAATCAAGATCGTTAAATTCTTCGTTGGATTATCAGGTGATGGTTCTTGAATTAATTGAGATGGAATGTAATTGGGTGGTACAAGTTTCGCAAATGCGTTTGTTGGATACGGTTCAGGTGTTGGTGGTCCTTTATCATCCTTTTGATTGACGACTTTTCCTTCATTTCTTTTGATCAAGTAACGCTTAGAAGAAAACAATCGATTGATTTGTTGATCAAAGAAAAGTATTGGTCGACTTGTGATCTCTTCAAGACCTCCTTCGATCAGATGATCTTCATCAGATGGCAAATCTCCGTCAAATACTATCACTTCTGGAAAGATTTCAGTAATATTCAACATATCCGATAAGCCACTCATTTCGGCTGGTAGTGCTAAGACACCATGAACGAGTCCACTACAAATCATAGTAGTTCCAGATAAACTGAAACTCATATCTTTGATGGTAATGTTCTGTAAGATTTGTGTTTCGGTGGTTCCAGGAAATGGAAGCAAGACATCCAGAGGAGCCAACAAGGACTCCAAAAAAGGTGGTGGTGAATTGGAAGGTAGAGGATCCTTATTATCATCATCATTATCACCAAGTATGAGTTGTGTTTGTGGATAGGCGGCATGGATTGAGACCGGTTGATTGGAAAGATGCGCCGTGTTATCGTGCTCAATGCGACCTTTGTCGTATCTAATACTGACATTAGTCGAAAGACCTTTCAAGAAACGGTCTAAGAACTCAGACAAAGGGCCGGATAATGACTGAACGGTGGCATTGCCATCTTCGATTTGTTTGACAAGTGAGCCTTCGATGGTCAATGAAAGTCGTTCTTCGCTTTGGTTAACTCGGAATGGTACAGTCATCACCGATGCCATAAGAACACCGTTCGTCTTGCTAAGCGTCGTGTCAGAGTTGGAGAGAGCAATTGATTCCGGTTCCGATTCTGAGGGAAGTTTGAGGAACACTTGAAGTGGAAATTGCCATGGGACATCCATATTCAAGTCAAGATGTGACAAGTATCTAGATTGTGATAATGGGTTAGGAATTGAAGCTGTGGCGCGGATTCCTAGACGAGTTGGATCATCAGGGTCAGCAGTTGAGGCCAGAGGGAAGAACGAGTATCCGTCTATGTGAACAAGCTGAGTAGGGTTTTCGAGAATTGGGGGTAACTCGGGAACTGAATGTAATGACAAGCAACAAGTGTCAATATTCAGTGGATGGAATGACGCAAGGATTGGTTTGATGAGACTTACCGTTGACTGTCACTGTCTTATAAATGCTTTTGATATCATGATTGGCACGCTTTCGTAGCAGCGAGTGAAACATCGAAGGAAACCGATCATATTCTATTTGAACATGAACGTCTGCGACAGAGATAGCGAGATTCACGCGACGGTCTTCCCAAGCTGACATCAAGGTCTTCTTGAGGGTTTCGGAGGATGTGATCTTGATAGGTAACTGGAACCGTACCAGCTTTGCAATTTCATCTATAGACACTTCTGTAGACTTTTCCACAGGATAACCAATAGGCATATCGAAAGGCGGTAGATCAACCTCTATCATCTTGTCTTCAGATAAATCAAGCTGGCTGGTGAAGTTTTGATCTATCGAGTAATACAGAGGTCGGATTTGAACAGGTTTCGAGATGATGACCCGAGCATTTTGCGATGTATTCACAAACCACTTGGCCAGGCGACTTTCGACCCTCTGCCAGACATTCGCATCTCTCATATCTTTATGTTCCCATCCCAAGCTTTGTCGTACATCGAGACCCATTCTAAACGCTAGTGATAGTGTAATAGTATTTTCTTCTATCCCAGATATTGCAACATGGTCTGGTTCCTTCGAGATCACAATCCCACGCTTGATCATATCCAAGGGTGAGTCGGTCGATTTTAATTGTTGTGATACTAGATTTCCAATCCAAATGTGAACGATTGCAAAGAGTAAAAAGGCTAACGCGACAGTGAAAAGAGAAAATGCTACACAGAATCGTTTGGTTCTACTTGAGACTGCTCGTCTTCTTATTGAGCTGTCATCGCTACAATGTGTCAAAAGAGTAGACGTAGATCGGTAAATGATACTCCTTTGAGTACCCGCATCTGGTGATTTCATAGCAGAGTAAATTCGAGATCGAGAATTAGAATTGGTCCTAAAGGGCGTGAACAATCGGGTTTCTGAATGAGCTTGTTGATTATGATTATCTAGACTTTCATCGTCACTATCAGGCATGATAGGACCTCGACCATGGCTAAGACGTGAGGCCCTTGAAGCAGGTCGACTTTCGTTGGTGATTGAGCTTAGAGTTTCGCTAATTTGACGATTCCTTCCAGGTGTAGAGCTTTGTGGAAAAGATTGGCCGTTTTCAGGGATACCTTGAAGTACTTCAGATGAAGGATTGAGTTCATCTGATATATCTTGATTGGTGTCGGTATCGGTGTCGGTGTTGGTGAGATCTGAATGCTGAGTTCTATCAGGTTCAGATAATGAAGCTTGTTGTTGTTGATCAGATGAGGATGCTTTATGTTTTCCTTTGTTGATTTTATTATTTTTTAATAATTTTTGAAAACTTTTCATGATGATGCAGATGATTAATGTTCAAAGTATTTTGTGAAGAGTTTGCAAATCGACCAAATCATTTCTCCGAAATTCACTCAAGTTGATACTCGATTGTGATCACACACCTCGGTCCTAATCCGCATTATGTGTGACGGACCTTTCCCGTTCATTTCAAATTTTCAAAGATTCCCTTGCCATGTGATCACGAAAGAAGAAAAGGCCTTCAAGTATGAACAAGAAAGTCACATCATCAATTGGATTTGGCTTCACCAAAGATAGAAATTCACAAACCAATCAAAGCGAATAACGAGAAAAATTTCATCACAACCTCAAATGTATTTTTGCAATTCACCCTTTCCAAAAAAACACTCATTATAATAGTAGATTTTTCATCAACATTCGGGTGTGAATGATTTATGAGGACAAACTTCTTTGAAGTTTGAACAAATGAAATATTTTTTGAAAGTTAAAATTTGATTGCGTTGAAAATCCCGCTCAAGAATTCTTTTGTAACACATGTTGTTGGTGAAGAAAAGTTAAACAAAAGTTTTGGCTTGCTGTCTATGAGGCTCAAAGGAATAATTTTGTCTCAAGTTGGACGACTAATCCGTTCTTGCAAAGTTTGGCCCCTTAGCAAAAAGTCGGGTTTCCATAACCTGATTTGTGGCGGGAATATTCTGCGCGCCGTCATAGGCCAATGTAAATTTTCACTAGGTTTTGTCAGGTTTTGTCCCCTCAGTTCTTGGATTTATAATTGTCAGGGTGGACAAACTTTACAAGAATGGTTGTAAGATCAAACCTGAGATTTGATGGCATGATACGTGATTATTGTTTTGTATGTTTCTTGACGTAACTCACTTTATGGAGTTCGAGATTCTGAAATTGTTAAAAAACAGACTGTCAATTGATAAAAAAAAGTATACTTAGGCATTCAGAGTATACCTTTTGGCTTACATTCAAAACACCAAATAATCCAAATACCCTTCTCGCGCACAACAAAGCTCCAAAAACTATTAAAATCGGTAATTTGTGAGTAAGATACAAAGTCAAAGTTTACCTATGTATATCCCTTCATCTTCCTCATTCATCAAATCCTGCAAACAATCTTTCCAATGTTCTTAGATTCTTCCATTTCTTTTGTTGCTTTTACAATCTCTTCCCATGGATATACCTGAATTACATACGAAGAGAATAATGTAAAAAAGATCAGTCAATATACAATACAAGATGGATTTTCAATTATGTGGTGACAAATCATGCAAAAGCTAAATACCTTGTGGATAACCACTTTGAGGGTCTTCTTGACCTCTGAAGTTCCAATCAAGGCAGAAAGATATACTTCAGAGAACTCTTTAAGTAACTTACATTGGTAATCAATACTTCTCGATCTCAAAGTGGTACCTATCATTAAAGAAACATACAAGTTTTTCATCAGACTTCGATCAAAATGAAATATGTAAGAAAAACATACGATTTGAACACATACCTTCAATTTTTAAACGTTTAAAAAGGATTGGTCCAAGTTCTACAGGCGTTTGAATTTTTCCACCAGATAAAAGTCCAAGTAAAACTAATTTTCCATCTTTGGATAATGATTTAATATTCGAATTCCAATAAGATTGACCAACTAAATCTAATATAAAATCGACTCCTGAACCTTTAGTTACTGAATCAATCTATAAATTTGTACATCAATCAGAATTAAACCTCTCTTAGTGTTAGAACGAGAAATTGAGAAATCATATAGATAATAAGTCAAAGATCACTTTTACTTACTTCACGAGAAAAGTCTACTTCTTTATAATTCATGGCTTGAGTTGCCCCCAGTGACATTAAAAAATTGACTTTCTCTACACGAAAAAACATTCAACAAACTCTTTATCAATACTTGAACTTGTACTAGTAAAATAGATCTTGATACCTTCAGTTCCAGCTGTAGTAAAGATCTCGGCTCTGAATGAATGTATTCAAACAATCATCAGCTATTTTAGCTCGTGGTAAAATATTTGAAAAAAGCTCAACTAACACGCCAATGCTCCTGATATTCAAAGTTCATTCAAGCATCAATTTTAATAATCTGATGTCATTGATAGAAAACCTTGCTTTGAAGGATAACCTCACTTGGCCAGTTGAATGGCAGCAATTCCAATTCCACTCGCACCTCCATGGATCAAAACCTTTGATCCTTTTTTCAATTGTCCAATCCAAATAAGAGCTTGATAAGAAGTCAACCAGTTCTCAGCTAAAAGAAAAACAAAGGACCACATTTCAATTTATTAGGTACCCATCCATTTATCTTAGAGTAACAAAATACTTTTAAAATAGAATTTCTTTAGCTCACGAATTGAAGCTGCTTCTTCCCAAGACAAAGATTCAGGTTTTTTGACAATCATTCGAGCATCAACTGAAATATACTCAGCGTAAGCACCCTTCAAGATTTCAAATCATTCAATTGGGATCAGCCATCCATAAAAGATTTCACGAAAAAAAAGCCAAGCCCACTACCAAATCAAAAAGAATAAAAAGAAACTGACCCCATATGCTAATCCAAAGACATGTTCTCCATGTTTCCAATCTTGACTATTACTCTTTTCTATAATTCCTGAGAACTCTACACCCAAACTTTTTGGATATTCGGGTGGAAGTGGATATACTAATTATGGTTTGTAAAAGAAGCATTTTCAAATTATTGGATTAAAGAAAAAAAGGTATTGGTCTGAAATATGGTTGACTTACATCCTTGACGTTGAAGGATATCCATTCTGTTTAATCCAAATGCTAACACCTATTTGCATGCGTTTTTGTAATTTTGGTTATCACCGATACTCAACGAAATCCGAGAAGGGTGATCTCGAAGCTGACCTTGACTTGGACCTCCCCTTCTTTAGTTTCAGGTCGTTCGATCTCACTCTAAAGTTCAAAACCGAATTAAAACGTCGATACAAGTCTTCTTATATTTTGGTACAAGATTACTGACCATCACTAAATCATCGGCATGTTGAGATACACCACCTTTTTTGATTTCGTCCACCCAGAAAACCGTCAAACGAGTCCCAGTAATAGACATTTATCAAGTCAATTTTCTTACTTTTCTTCATATGAAATCTGTTTAGGTCAAGTTGTATGGAGAAAGAAGTTTAACAACTTACCTTTCACTTCAATAGCTCGCATCATCTTATGAGATATGAAAATGGTTTTTGTTACCCAGTAAAGAATACGAATGAGAGTCTCTCTTAAGGGACACACGCGCAAAAGTTGCAAATTTGGAGATCGGCTTGTTGTTCATAGCCGGTCCGTAAGGCGAGGTAGGGCCACTAGGGGGAGGTCTTACTAGATACAAACATCTTTCAAGGTCAAACACCTTCTGCATACTTCATATTCAGAACTCATAAACACCTGATCAACAGATACAGAGCAACTTGTTTGCCCAATTTCAAGGCTTGGCCATTGATCAGTTACATTCTTTTCAATAGTGGATGTTCTTATCATGTGATCACATGGCACCTAATCCGGACCTGTTTGGAGATCATTGACATATCTCTTCTATTGTTTCTGTCACTTATGGTATTGCAAAAACTTGAACTTTTTTGCTTATAATGAGCCCAGCATTACTCAGATTCCCTGTGACTCATTGTACATTGGACAATTTGGTATGTGCTTGGCACAAAACACCTTCAGCATCATTGAGTGGTGATACGAGCCATTCCATTGCATTTACAGTGCTCTTTAATTTTTTACACATCTACATCTACTTTACAAAACGACAATGTCTACTGCTGTTAAATGCGAGCACTTGGAAAAAAACTCTTGAAAGTCATCTCAATCTTCCGGATCAACAATTTTCAATTCTTTTAATCCTTTCACCTTTTCTTGTGAATCACTTGTGGTATAAGGTGAATGTTTTTGTTCAATTTCTAATTGATCTTTGGTATCTTTCAATGTAATCCGGACATGATCCATATCCCTATAATTTGATCGTTTTATAAATTGGGGTTAGCTTTCAAAGTTCATTCAAAGAAAAAAACAGTTCGATGAAATTAGAAAGAGATCTTACCGAACAGTACCATTGAGTAAAGCAGTCGCCAGAGGTTTCCTTAATTCTTTAGCAATAGTTCGATTAAGTGCACGTGCTCCATAAATCGCATCATATCCTTTATCTGCTAACCACTCCTTAGCCATTTGATCAATTTCTAGAATGATCCTACGTTCAATCAACACATCTTGTAATTCGTTCAATCGGATTTCAACGATTTGTCGTATAGATTCCTTTGATAGAGAGTTAAAAACCACAAGTTCATCTAATCGATTAATCAACTCGGGTGGATAATTCATTTCCACTACACGCTTTACGGCTTCTTTGGCTCCTTCTGTTACTTCGCCAGTCTTGGGATCAATAGCTTTTGGTTGTTTCAAAATCTCTGCACCAAGATTGGAAGTGAGAACTGAACAGCAGAGCAAAAAATCAGCTTCCCAGTTATGACCGCAGATCTCAAAGTATGAGAGGGAAAAATACATACCAATGATAGTGTTACGGAAATCCACTTTTCTTCCTTGCGAATCAGTCAAGGTTCCTTCGTCGAGTATTTGAAGTAAGATGTTGGCTACTTCTTTGTTTGCTTTCTCAAATTCATCCAACAAGATCAAACTGAATGGCTTCCTTCTCACTTGCTCAGTAAGTTGTCCCTATCGAAGTTCACAACATTATCACATTCAGTTTCAGTCATTTACCTAAAGGCTGTTAATAACATTCATCATGGAAACTTAAATTGGACTTACTGCATCCTCGTATCCAACGTACCCTGGGGCGGCTCCAATCAAGCGAGATACAGTGTGCTTCTCGCTGTACTCGGACATACTACATAGATAAATAGACGCGCGAGATGAGTCGCAAGATTCCATCATCACCAGGAAATACTGTAAATCTACTTACTTGATCTGAATCAATGATCTCTGTGTATCGAACAAGAATGTAGCAAGCGCCTTGCATAATTCGGTCTTGCCAACCCCGGTGGGTCCCAAAAACAAAAAGCTAGCAATGGGGCGAGTAGTAGGATTAAGTCCAGCTCTACTAAGTCGAACTGAATCAGATATAACTTGTAATGCTTCATCTTGCCCAACAACACGTTGGCGAAGTTCAGTTTCCATGGTCAACAACCTTTCACGTTCTCCTTTGATCAGATTTCGAACTGGTATTCCTGTCATCTTTGCTACTACTCTTGCTATATCGTTAGAAGTTACTCGGTTTGATACAAGGAGAGATGGGTCCCCGGATTCTGAAAGATGATCGTCTTCGTCTTCTAAAGTCTCGAATTCTTTAATTTTACGTTCTAGTTCAGGTATCACACCAAATGATAACTCAGAGGCACGTTGGTAGTTCTGAGATCTGCGGAAAACGTATTTGAAGAGCATTTTAGCCTCATCATAAAGCTGTGTGATCTAGGGGTTAGAAAAAACTTACCTTTGAGCTTCTACTAATTCCATTGTTGCGGATTGAAGTCTAATCTTCATATTCTTGACTTCATCCAATTTACCCTTTTCTTCATTCCATTTTTCAGTTAGTTTGCTGGCTTCAGATTTCAATTCATCTATCTCTTTTTTGATTTTAGCCACACGAGAGAGAGAAAATTCATCTTTATCATTTTTTAAAGATTCAAGTTCGATTTGTAATGTAATGATTTGCCTTTCTAAATTTTCCAACTGATCGGGTTTACTCTCTTGTAGGAGTCTAAGTGATGAGGCTGCCTCGTCTACTAAATCTATCGCCTGGGTCCAGAAAAAGAACGGTTAGTAAAATGTACCTGGACGTCTTTGCCAGAGACTAAAGCTAATGTGCTTACCTTATCGGGAAGAAACCGTTCTGTTGCCCCATGATTTAATGAGCAGAAAATAAGATTTTCGGATTCGATGATGACCTTAGAAATTAGGCGAAATGCTTACCTGATAGATACTAATACAATCAAATTAAGTTGGTATCAGTGATAGCCTATAAGATCCAGAAGTAGAAGTATTAACTGACTCTGTTGGAATAAGCCGCGGCGGTGACCAAAGCACCATCCGATATACTGACACCATGATGACTGTGACGGACGCAGAACACGGCAATGTATCAATAACAACTTCAAAAATAGCTTTTTTTGTCTTCGAAATAAACACTTACACTTCATATCTTGGTTTCAATCCTCTTAAAATACTCACAGTCTCAGTCACACTTGGTTCGTTGACTAAGACCGATTGAAATCGTCGAGCTAAGGCTGGATCTTTTTCAATACTACGATACTCATCAAGAGTTGTACTACCCGCAAGTTGAAGACCTGTTCGCCACGTGCAAAAAAACAACATCAAGATATTGCCTTGAGAAAATACAGTAAGCCTATGGCCGAGACAAAATATGCATACCTCTCGCTAAAGCTGGCTTGATCATGTTGCCTGTTAAGTGGTAATCAGGACAGATGAGCATACTTCTGCGGGAAAAGCCGAGTTATTTTACAACTCACCAGCATCGATAGATCCTTCAGCTTTTCCCAAGTTGAGTAAAGTATGAATCTCATCGATGAACACTATAACCTTGCCTTCTTCCGCCTACAATGAATAGTTTGGTCAGATAAGTTACCGTCTCTTCCTTAGGATCTGAAGTATAGCACTGTCTATAGTTTCTCACCTCAATATCGGAGAGTAATGCCTTGAATTTTTCCTCAAATGAGCCTCTCAAGGCAGTCCCAGACACAAGAGTTGCAAGATCGATCGAGATGACTTATGATCGTTGAACATATCTTAGTCAGTTTTTCAGTCAATTGGAGATGGAAAAAAGGCAGGACGTACCTCGCTTATCCTGTATACTTTCGGGCACTTCTTTGTTGAGTATCCTTTGAGCAAGACCTTCCATTATCGCAGCTAAAAAAATGACATGAACACACAGGTCAATAGACATAGCGTCACGCATACAAGGAAAATAAACCCACTTTTCCCAACACCAGCTGGGCCTATCAGGATTGGATTTGACTGAATTCACAAGTGTGGCACGAATCATAAAAGGATCAACCGCCACTTCTCCCCTCGTTCTTATGGAAGCAAAAATGATGAATGGTGTTCTGGGCTTACCTTGGTTCGACGTGATAAAATTTGGATCGTTCGACGAATCTCCTCAGTACGGCCGATACATGGATCAAGTTTTCCATCACGAGCTTTTTGAGTCAAGTCGATTCCAAATTCTTTCAATGCGTCTCCTGCCTTACGGTCCTGTTGACCAAATATATTACCAAGCGGGGATCCACCCGACGGCCCCCTACCACCAGGTGGCGGCATATTGGCTACCGAATGAGATTGTGTGAACATGCGACAGCCATTGAGCTGCCACCTGGTAGAGGCGATTGGCCCACTAAGCCTGGCAGTCGTGGTAGGGTTGCGAGTGAGGGCACGATGGCCACCGGTATAAGTGGTCAAGCACCGTGAGTGATGACGAATTGTTGCAGGCGAAGGTCGTAACATATTTTTCACTTTTCGGTTTTGGCGTATTGTGAGTCAAATCGAAATGTTTCTGTAGGTATTATCGTGGAAAGTACCTCGGGAGAAGAGCCTTCTACTAGCTTTTCGCAGACTTCATATTCAACGAAGACGACTGGTCATCTCTTGTTGTGATCGTTCATTTCAAAATGGAATCGAGCAGCGTCTAGCACTTTCCAGAACGGCCCAGCGACGTCGACTTGACCTTTGAAGCATTGGCACCTGGTTTGCAGGCCGCACGAAAAAAATGCGCCTCGAGCGCGCCGCGCAGGGTCGAGGCTCAAGGTTTGCGTGGTGGGCGCGGGTTTTAAAATTGGGAAGGCCCGGGCGCAGGTTTTGAGATTTTCAAAGGCACGCCTATAGTGGGGGCACTGAGGTGTGCCTCTGGAGCGTCAGCGTCAAACTCCCCCCAAAAGCAAAAAGGAGTAAAAAACTGTCAACAACATCAAAAATAGCATGTTTTATAAATCAAAGGGGCATTTCTTCAACATTCATGAATAAAAATCATTGAAAAGGCCATCCTTCCCCCAATCCTTGTTCTCAGACCCCTCATCCAAAACAATAGTATTGGGTTGTTCTGCTTCAACTCAAATATTGAAGTATCATCATCTTGTCCTTCTTCCTGTTCCCTTCATCTTTTTCAGGAGTTTGAAATGCATTTGGGAAATTTAGATGCTAAACAAAAAAACACACCCATAATCACACAGTCACTGGGTGGAATAGACCTAAACCTAACAGGGGCACACCAACCCCAAAAGGCCGGGGGGAAGGCCAATTTTGCCTTGCCCAACACAAAAACAGGGGGGTGCACCTTTTGAAAAATTATACTAAACCTGTGGAATCAAAGCCAAGATTGGACGGTTGATGACTTGTGAGAATTTCTCTGAAGGCAGCTGGTAGTTAGGGCCTTAGATACAGCACAGCCAACAGATTCCTCTCAGGTTTTTGTGTCATTGGACTCAAATCCTTGGGAGAGAATCTTTCCAAGGATTTGATTTCTCCAAGAATTTTGCAGGAGCAAAGATACATAGAGCAAAAGTGTCAGCCTAGAGAATAAACCAACTTACTCCTTAGACAGACAAAGCAAAATATAAATTCAAAATACAAAAAATTCGATTCTTGAAACACAGTCCTACAGGTTTCAAGAATGTTACAACTCACACTCAAGTATCAAGAGTGCATAACTACCAACCCTGCCTACAAAAGGAACGAGTAATATTAGGGACTGGGCGACGCTCTGCAAAGTTGCAATTCAATGGTAGTTGAAATATTCTTCTCAGCAGTTCAGCCGCTGTTCAGTCAATATCAAATTTCCCAATTTTTATTAGTCAACTTTTTGGCACTAAAAAAAATAGGGTGGCGCACAGTGGCATCCAACCATCTGATGAGCTCTCTGTTCAAAATTTCCTCCCCTGCCCAGCCAAAAGCCCCTGGCAAACGCTTCGGGATAGCCTCCCAGATAGGCTTATATACCTTTCACAGACTGACCTGTAGCACCGGGGAATCCCGTGGGTGTGCCCACCGGGGAGCCGGATCAGGATGTGTTCCTTTGGCTCTTGGTCCTCATCCGGCACAACTCGTTTGGTTTACGATGGATGTCTCCTTCCTCTCGATCCCGCTCGGCTTCTGCATCAGCCACACACAGGCCCATGCGTGTGGGCATCCTCTTAGGTGAGCCTTTCTGTTTGGTCTCTCTAGGTTGTGACTGCCAAACTAATGTTTTTTCGGGTATAAGACAGGCCAGCTTGAGACCGAGGATGGATGTCTTCCAAGTTAACCACCGTCCTTTTTTTCAGATAAGGCCTTGACTCAATTTTATATTGGATACCTTATCTTATTTTTGATTTAATACAAGTTAACTTCTTATTTGATCACTCAAAGTATCTTTTTCTTTCAATATTTCATAATGAATCACCAAGAATCGAGATGCAATGGATATATCGGCGAAATGGGCGGGAGTTTCAGTGCAATTGATGGTAGAGTGAGTTGATTTGTGGAATTCGATCAGTTTTACCATTGCAATAATTCAGCTGACTTTCCCATAGCCGTGGCAGGGGTCAGTGTCAAATTCACCAATGCATTTGGGTTCGCGTCATCCCCCAGACAATTGTGAGTTTCATGTTTCCGTCCTATACTGTCTTACGGGCTTCCCAGCTGACCGATGTGTTACCTTTTCCCTGGCCAGTGGTTCAAGTAGCTCCAGGCGAGTTCTATACGGTGCGTGAGGTCGAGGAAAACGGATGGTGTCTGCCAGCTCGAGTACCAGCCAAGATCCCCGCCGTTCCTGATCATCCAGCAAGCCCTGGTACCCAAACGGGCCCAGTTTCATCACTCAAGTCGGTGAGATCTAGTTTGAAAAGACCGGCACCCAGCAGTCCAGTACAACATGTTAACAAGCGAGTTGCAACGTAAGCACTGCCTTCCATTCCATTCTCTATGGCTTTTCCTTCGATGTTGATTCTCTCTGACTATCATACCATTCCTTTTAAATGTTGTGCATCATGTTTGTCTAGGTCTCAAACAAGTACCGGAACAGTACCACTTGATGGGCCCAATCAAGTCTATTCCCCGTACATTCTTCAATCTATTTCCTTTAAACGAGTAAACTTTCTGACTATCTTCTGTGATCAATTTCTTTCAAATGATGGCCCTCCGGCTTGAATAGTCTTAATCCGAGTATTGGGTTAGTAATCTATGTTGTTTTTTCTCTTATCACTGTGTACTGATGTTTGTTTGGACAATCCAATATCTAGGTTTTCCACCTCTTTGGCTTCTACTAGCAATGGTGCGGTAACCAAGATGACCAACATATCTGAAGTGGCTCAGTGTCCCAACTTCTGGGCGATGCCGGTGCACGCGCTGTACGAGTGGCGAAGGCATGTCAACATCCTTGATCGCACCATTCTGGGGTATTACGAGCAAGCTTTGGATGAGGCGGAGAAGGATTTGGACCGAGCGGCATCTGAGCCCGATGTTCTTGACACATCCATTGTAACTCCTTCTGGACGACCCTCAGCTCCCCGATCTGGTCGCAAACGCTCGGTGAAAGATGAGACTCCGGCTCCAGGCGGATCTGGTCCTGCTTTTAAGTTCCTAAAAGCACGACCTGACCGTTTGGATTTGCTTTTCATGCGTCCTTTGGAAGCTCTTAGCCCATTTGGGTCGAATGGGCAGAAGGGTAAAGTTTTTCATGAATGCGCCATCTGGCTAAAAGTAAGTCAAAATCTCGTTACTGTGTAGTTCACACCCTTATTGATCTTTTTACTGTTTTCAAGACTGATCTAGAAACCCATCAGGAGTTTGCCGAGCTTTCCAAAAGTCCCCACAGTCGAGTGCTTCAATTCCGATACACTCAGCTCAAGCTTTGGCTTGCAGCTGCCGAAAGCTGGAGCAAGATGGACAGTGGGACTGAAGAGGAGGATGAAGAGTTGCGCAATTTGATACGCTCAGTTCAGGACGAGGAGGAAGTAAGTTTTCTTTTTATCTATTTCACTCTATCACTCTATCACTCTCTAGCTTTCTGACTATTATATAGTTACCAAGCTGATTACCGAGAAAGAGCAAGAATCATTTTATCACAAACCAACACTTTATAACACAAATTTTAGAATCATTAGAAAAGCACTTGACCTTTTTAAACTGAATCACCAGCCGATAACTTTAGAATTAGAAAATATCTGTCTAGACCAATACTATCTCTCTCTATAGCCTATAGTTGTTTCATCTAAAAACACCATCATTGCTTTCTTGCTCTAAAAATTGATATATAAACTGTTCCAAAGATTTAGATCAAACTAAAATCCATAAATCACCTCAACGACTAAAACCCAATATATTTCCCAGATTCGTTATTCAAACAAAGAAGTAAAACTCTTATTTTGATCTCGTTAGAAATTAGGTTACCCTGGGATAAGGCACACTACTGTACCTGTTTGTAGAAGACCCTGAATAGTGATCTTACTAATTCAGAGAGTACTATCAACAGCAATCACTAGCGAACTAGAAGATTCAAAAGGATTGATATCAATCAACGGCTCAAATTTATCTCATTGTCAGAACAAACTATCTTTTGACTTGTAACAAAGCCACCACGTCCTGCAACGTAAGTTTTTTCATTCAATCTAAGCTTGAAAAGTTGCCTATTCATAGACTTAGACTGAACAAGCAAAAGGTGTGATCATACTTCATGTTTAACAGTCAAGGCCTTCCACCATGTCCGTCCCCCATGAGCACGTCGATGTGCTCACATGGAGAGTTGTGTAATAAATTTGAACAGATCTTTATTCAATTTGTCTCTAGAAAATGTAAATCCTTTGTTAATAATAATAGACAATAAAAAATGTACCGTTTGTCAATGGAACTATGAACAAAGGAGCCCATTTAACAATCTTGCTGTCTGAACCTCTTGACAAAGGCAATTGTATGCTTAGCTCTCAGACCTGTTTGTAGGTTATATCCACCCTCTACGGAAATTAATTGGTGTGAGCATGTCGACATGCTACCTCAAAACAGACATGGTGTTCTTCCCTATGGTTTATGTATCAATATCTGAAGAATACTATGAGAAATTGAATGAATGAAAAATTTAGAATTAATTTGATGATGAATAGAAAAAGAATTCCCTAAAATGTACAAATGAAGAAAGAGGCAATTTGGTTATTAATGATGAGCACTGTGTTATGAATGTTTGGGAATAGGTTGCTTGTGACCTGCATTGTTTTGTTTCTCTTTTATTCTTTGTGTGTTGTGAATATACATGTGCTTTTGTATTTTTGGAATAGGTTGCTTGTAGCCTGAGTCAGGTTGTGGGCACACTGATATTTTTGGGGGCACTACAAGGCATGTTTTTTTGTCTTTTTTCACACCTAGGCGCCACTTGGTGTGCTGGGTGTGTTTCTCCAGAAAAAAGATTGCTGAGAGCCAAAATGATGTTTTTGCATCAAAATTTATTCTATGTTGGAATTGCTAGAGCTATCTACCACAGCCACATTGCCTTTTATAGGTGAGAAAAGTCAAAAATAGTTGTCATTAAAGCTCACAGCAAGTATCCAAGTCTCCAATATTGATGACAGGACATAGAACTCCTGAGATTTGGCAATGTGCCATTGTATCTCAGTGAATTTTGTCTTTTGAGCCTGCCACAAGTAATTCCTGTGCTACACAAGGTGAAAATAGCCAATGCTGACAAAAGGTGCATCACCCAGATTTGAAGAAGGTATTGGTCTATTGGGAGACACACAAATATTGTGTTTTGGGACTCCATAGGACTCCATTCAGCAGACCTTGCAGATACCAAGGCAATTGTATCTCCTTCTACCTAGCTTCAGAACTCAATGTTGCTGAACCCCAACACCATATGTGTTTGGGACCACTACAAAAAGGGGATATCAAAATTTGTTAAAATTATTCTGTGAAGACACAATCATGGCAGATGTAAGGAGATAAAGGTGTACACTTGTTAAGCTGCACTTCCAAGAGAGGAATCAACCCTAAAGCTAAACATATGAGTACTATCCTTTGCAATAACATGGTTGGATTCCAGGAAGGAAGACATTGCTTTCTGATATGCATGTGCAGCATGAGAAGTGACAAATTGAATATGTCATGAGTATCAAACTTCCACTGTGTTGCACCACCCAGACTTTCACAGCACTTTGATAAATCCGCTCATCCTGTGCTATCCTGCATAGTTGCAAAGCCAACACCCCAAGGGGTCCCTGGCCCCCAAAACCTTGAGATGAGGGTTTGGTCAGGTCTTTTGGGACCCAAAAGGTATGGGGGCAGGGGGGCAAATGCGTATAACACCAGATCCTGCCTGTGCCCCCCTCGTATCCTGCGGGCTCAAGGCAATTGGGTGTGGGCTTGGGGGGGCTTCTGGAAGCCGGGTTTACATTGGTTTGGGACGGGTTGGCGGATAGGTAGGCCACTACCTACATTTTTTGGGTGGGGGCTCATCCTGAATCCTGGGTGAGACAAAGAGGGGATGGGTGAAGTTTTATTTACATAAATCTAGATCAAACTCCAGCCAAAACTTTGACCATTCTAATGCACCATTTGTGATTATTTGGGTTGTGCACCATCTGTTCAGACTTCCATAAACAAGAAAACACTTTTGAAGGTCAGAATTTCCCTTTGCAAGGAGCTCATTGCTTGCTTTACACCCACAGGTGAAGTTTTTTTCTCAAGTGAAAAATGATTGACTTGAATGACAAAAATGATTGAAAATGCAGTAATTTTGCATTTATTCTGCATGTGCATTGACAATGCACTTTTCTGCATTGAAGCTGCATTATTCAACATTAACAGAGCATTCCTGATCATTTTTGAGATTGATTGAAATCCTTAGTGGTGCTCAAAGTAGAGCCAGTCAACCCAGTTGACTTTTTGGCTGTGAGCTGTCAACAAATGTGAACCTGATACAGAAATTTATTGCCAAAAAGCAACTGGGTCAACTGGGTTCTCTTGAAACCAGGTCTACTTTGAGCACCACTATTTTGCATAGTGGAAAAATACGACATCTACACAGTGTTAGAATTCCTTGAACAGACAAGAGCTACCACATAAGCAATGAGCACCTTGGACAAGTGTCTAGCCAAAACAGCTGTTAGCTGGATGTGATCTTTAACCACAAGAGCCAGAATGAGCACCATACCATCAAGTTTGAATGATCCAAAGTTTTCAAAGTTCAAAAAGAAGAACCAAAGGTATTGACCACTATTACTACATACTCTAGAATTCTATTAAATAATTAACACCATTTCTAAACCAAAAGATAACATACCAGCCAAAGAAATCTAGATAGATTGTATAAGTAACATCGTGAAGAGAAAAGAAGTCCCAATAGCATATAGATAGATGTATATATGTAGGTACGTAAAGAAGAGATAACAAAACAGTCAAGAAAGTCGATAGATCTACTGATTGAACTTACCAACACATTGACAAATAAACACAATGGTAACTTCAATATTGGCCCCCCAATGTACAAAAAACACCCGGTCTTGTGAAATAAAAAAATCTCAACTCATTAACCTCATTATCCACTTCATCATTAGATAGATTTATAAGAAGTCAAGGTTTTCTCATATAGATTTCTATGAGAGTCCATCCAGCATGAGAATCGTTCTTTCGTACACCAACCAACTTATACTAACAGCGGGCATCACTTTGAAGAGAGAAGGTGCAAGTCCTTTATAGAATCCTCGGAATCCTTCCTTCCTCCATGTTCGCTCGACGCAGTCTCCTATCCCTCGATATGTAGCCGGATGAGCTGAAGTACCTTGAGCTTGTAGTCGAGTACGTACAAGGTTTCTAAGGTGTACATCAAAACAACATCAGATTCTCGCATCTCTTGCTGCTACCAAAGTCTGATTCTTTGACTCACATTGGATAAACACTAGAAGCTCCAATCCCTCCACTGAGCGCGCCACAAGCTAATGTACCTAGCACACCGGGTGGCTCTCCAATCGCGACTAGATAAGAGTTTTTCATGCCTTCAAAGACTGACATATCAATTGCTGCTCAAGAATGATCTCAATCGTCAACACAGCTGTCAATTCTAGTTATACCATTCATGAGTAAGTTGAGCATACCAGAGTATGGGAACACGCCTACTGTCGCTGCAGCTACGCCTTTGTAATACGACTTTATCCCGCCACTTGCGTTGAGTCGTCGAATGGTTTGGAACAGTAAGGCTGACCTCTTGACGTTGTGATTGATGGTACTACTCATGATCTGTGTTTCTGGACAACGAAAGCCAACAAGATTATGATCAGTCAATTTTCTTGCATAGAGTCACAATATGATGGCGCGATCTCTACAGATGCAGGTGAGATGCGGCAACACTCAATTGAAGACAATGAGACCTATGGGCCAGGTTGATTCGACATGGTAAGTTCAATATTCGATTTGACATCGTCTCAAGTCTCTCAATTTTGATTGGATGTCAAGGGAGGCATTAAGATTTGAAAGATGCTCACAGGATAAGAGAACTCACTCAAAGTTTCGATAGGATAGATTGCAAACTGACTCACTACCCCACCTAATCCACCAGCCAAGAACCTTGCTCTGTTGGTCAGATTTCCATTAGTGTCAGTAGCAGGTGACATACCCAAACAGCCTTGACCTAACGCCATCTTAATATATTCATATGTTAAAAATTTGATAGCTGATTCGGGAAAGATTTTGAGGACATTAAGTCCATTACCGACGAAAAAGTTTCGGAGACCACCCGGTCCAGGACGAGCTCCGGCAGGTTCCTGATAAATTAATTTGACGGCTATCAATAGGTTTGATGAATTTGGGATGAGACGATAGATAGGTTGTTGAGCAGGTAAGACAACCGTTGTACGTGAACCGGAAAGTGTGGCGAATGAAGGTGAAGGGTGAGGTTGAATTGAAAGTGGTTTTTCGGAAGTGATCAGATAAATCTTGACCCGATCAAATGGAGCAGTGGCAGTCCGTGAGACCATTCCGGCGATTCCACCTGATAATAGATACTTGCCCGCACCCTCGAATAGACTTGGGTTTTTGTGGTTTGAAGGTAGAGACGTTAAATCATTTGAATCGGTTTGCTCGAGTGTCTTAAGATCGCTGCCAGTTTGTTGGGTGAGGGTATCAGGTAATGATGAATCATTATTAGCTTTCATCTTTCCGATCGCCTTTTCTGAGAGGTTATTGAAGCCGATAGCAAAAGTTGTTGAAGCCCGATTGAAAGGCTCAGAAGTAGATGGTTGAATGTGATTGATATCCATAGGATGAATATCAGTCCATTACAATTTGAATTAATTTGATTTTGATTGAGCGCTGAGTTGAGATGGTTGATTTGGAATGTTTTGACTTTCCTCAAACCAATTCCAATGATAAGATAAACTCATGAGTGAGTACCAAGTTATGGAAGAATGAAGATTGACTGCAACTTCCGATCAAAATCAAACATATCACTTATCACGGGGCTTGACCCGAACTCGCGATCTCATTCGACAACCACCGAAACCAAAACAATTGAAAACAAACAATACACCACGGAGTGGTTCTTGAGCAGAAAAAGCGTCGGTGAGGTCTGAGCGTTGTCGGGGTCGTGAAATGGCCGGGAAATGGCCTGCAAGTGGCCTGTAAGAGGCCTGAAAATGGTCGGTGAGAGCCTAACCTAACTACACCACGGAGGGGCTTTGAGTCTAGAAATGGCCTTTCTTAGTCTGAGAATGGTCATTCCTGAGGGCCACCTGTAGACCGGCTGGCAGGCCATCGATCGGCGGCCCACTGACCGCCTGAAGATGGACAAGAGAAATCGAGGCCGTAGTCGGCCTCTGGGCCATCGTCAGACCAAATACGCGGTGGCGGCCTGTCTGCCTGCTAATTTTGTCAAACCTTTGCAAAAAAAAACGATCAATGACCTGGAAAGAAGGTTGCCAAGTGTAGTTTTTACGTGATATCATTGTCAAGTTTGAGTCTGGAGGACATCAAGAGTCGCTAATCACTCGTGAAACCAATATCACGATATGATTGGTGTCTTTCGTGATGATCCTGGCTCAGGTTTGAACTCAGAGTCGCTTGTTTTTGTATAGACTCATGAGTCTTATTTGCCTCCATCAGTCTTCTTACCCGAACCCAATCTCTGGTGATGGTATCCAACATTCTATGTTCTCCATCAAATTCTCTAAGAAATGACATTACTTCAATTGGTCGGGTCCTGAGCTCATCAAACCTGTTTACTTTGTTCCGTTCATCGACAACACCGTTCAATTAACCTAATCCGGGTCGAGTGGTCAGCACTGATAGTGATAACAATCAAGCTTCCCGACCTATCAATCTCTTCAAGTGCGCTTCATGATCATCGGTCTTCAACTGACGCGATCTCAATCAAATTCTAAACTTTATCACTTGATCAATGATCCCAAAATTAAAAGGTCCTCACTTCTACTCCAACACCTGATGCTTCACTCTTCTAAATTAATGAATCAGGTTTGAATCATAGTTTAACTTGGTTCTTTGAGTTACATATCTCTTCATCTTGGAAATCTAGTACCTCAATTGGATCTGATTTTATCTGTCGAAAACGATTGGTTTTCTTTTTTGGTTTAGAATTCGCCTTTTGTCTTGTTCTACTACATATGTAAGTCCACTTTGATTGACTCACTTTTGGAGAACTTTGTTAACTTGTGAATTTGCATCAACCTTCCATTCAGCGATATCGACTTGCCTCAACCAAATTTGTTGGATTCTTCTCTCTTCACCCTACTGCCGGCTGTACATTCATCTTCTTCACCTTCGAATCAAAATCAACCCGTGATGATGTCTGAAGTTTATCCTTGATAATATCAGTCCACCAATTACAGAAGGAATATTTACAAATCAAATGACTTAGTCGATCGACTTCTCCAGGTGATGTCTTGAAAGATATTCATATCATCAAATTGACCAATCCAGATAAGAAGACTTGATTTGCACTTGCCCCAACCCATCATGGAGATCAATTGAAATTGATAATTCAAATGTTTTGGAAAACTCATCAATTGATTCTTGGCCAATAGAAGAAATGAATTTGTTTGGATAATGGGATTGATTGGAACCCAAATTGTATCTTCATATTATGTACTTATCTTATCATACTTATACATGTCTGTTCCAATAAACCATGCTATCAATAACAGATTTATATTTTGATTAATTTAAAACAGCATCTGCTAGCCGCATTTCAAGGCTGGCAGTATCTCACTGGCTTCTTGTTGAGCCTTTGCACTATCTGTGAGTGGTCTCGAGCAGGTCCCAAACCGGTGCAGACCGGCAGTCAACCCTCTACATCCTGTCTTCAGTCGGCCTGCAGGCTGGCTACAGGCAATATTCGAAAGGCCGTCTGCATACGGTGGGACCAGCGCCTACCTGCAGACGGTCCGTGACTATATAAAAAAAGGCCCGTCTGCAGACGGCCTTTGTCCCAGTCTGCAGATGGGCCGGACCACTCCGTGGTGTAGAAAAGCAGAGCTGCACAGCTGATCCGCAGTCACTGCGCAAGATAGCGCAGTGACTGCGGGAGCTGGCTGTCCGATCGACAATGGCTGACGTGCGGAATGCGCGTGGACAAATGGCCGAGTGGACTAAGGCGCCGTCTTCAGGTCTCTTGGAAGCGTGATCGGCGGTCTTCGGGCGTGGGTTCGAATCCCACTTTGTTCAGATACTTTTACTGCTTCTCACGACGACTTGTCACCCTGATTTAGTTAAACACATTTTTGCCGCAATTGTCAGGAGAGTCTGAGTGCTGGATGTGAGAAACTTCTGTCCAACACAATCTTTCTTTAATTACATCCACTGGTTGGATCCTGAATTCAGCCAACCCTGAGCCAGCAACGCGAGTGTTGCGTGCTGCGCTGTGCTTGTGTTGCATTTTTTCTGACCACACCACACCAAAAGTCAATTTCCGGGTTGCGGCCTGACGCGCCGCGCAACAAGATGTGTTGAATTGATGGTTTTTGGGGGGATTTTACTAAAACCACCCCCCCCATGTGAAGCTTGACCTAGCTGTACTGCTCCCTTTTTTCTGCTGTATTTCAATTTGAAATGTTGCCTATCCCACATAGGGGGCGGTCTAGAGCTGTATACTCCAAATGAGCTGTGAAACGAAGATTTGGGACCAATACCAAGTGAGAGACCAACCTTGACAAACCTCCACACTGCCAACATATTTGGCTCGGACAGAAAAATACGGGGAGTCCTTGGATTTTGTGTCCAAGAATTCAACCAAGTTATGTCAACCAACATAAAACCAACTTGATGAGACCAAGTTGATCGGAGCAAGTTAACCATCCAATCATTAGTCAAGCCTATCACAAGCCAATGTCTCATCCGACTGAATCCAACTGACCATTCTCCAACTTGATCACTGACTCAATCCCTTCATGCAGACCAACACCACGAAGTCATCGACCAACCAACCATTTTGATTTCCAAGGTATGAAGGAAGGCAAGCTCAAGATCTGGTTGAATCCCATATCAGTTACCTTGGAAGTAACAGTTTTACACGACTTAATCCCCTTTTTAATCAAGGTTCTATACATCCAACGCCACCTAATCCATCTCTCCACCAATCCATCAAGACACCTCTCCACCAACCATCAGAGGCTTTACTTACTATAAAATACCTTCATACCTTTTACTGTGTCATAAGTCTAGCTCTATCAATGCTCCACCATCTCCTAGGCCAATAATGAGTATGTAGCTTCAGATCTCAATCAGCCATAAACATTAGCGGTTTTAAATTAGGTTAAATTCATCTCTTATAACTTATTGTTCATAAAAATCAAAGGAAATCAAAACAATGCTTCAATGATGAATATGTCAATCAATTAGACCAATATTTTAGATGGTGTAGATGATGCAGAAGTTAAGGAGAAAACTTATTATATCAATCTTATAAAACCTTCAAAAATTATACTGATTGGACATTGCTATGAAGATATTCAAATCTTTGGGATCAGTTCATCATTTTACTGGTTGTAATATGACACCACATCCGTAAGTTAAGCAAAGTCATTATATCAAATTGCGGATTTTGGGGAGGAGATTGTGGAGGTCTTTGAATATTTTCTTTTTAGGAAAAGAATCCTACAATTGATTGCCATCATAGTCAATCTTCCTGTTCAAGTTCCTGTAGAAAGTTCCTGTAGACAATATAACAAACCTCTTTGGATTACATTTTTTTGGATTGATTTTTTTTCTTTTGATAACCACATTGTAGCAGCTTGATAATTTTGTAACAAGAATGTTTTTTAGGTTTGAATTTTTTGTAAAACAGTTTGAAATGGCAAAATATTTGAGATCATTTCATATCATTGATAATTTCCTGAGCCATAAGCCTCTTCAAGGGAAAGGCCAACTGAGCAAAACTTGGTGATCATATCAGCCATTTCTCTAGCCAATTCCAGTCTGGATAATCCTGAACCCTTGGTATTGTCACTCAACAATCTATGCTCCTGAGCTAATTCTTAATCTAATTTCAGCATTTCAAGCTCTTCTGTTTTGGCCTTCTTTACTTTTCTTTTTTCAACAGCCTCTGGTATTAAATTGTCAGGTTCCAATGGTTGTTATTTAATTGGGTCTTGATTTTCAAATTGGCTGGCTAAGAAACCCATTACACTATTTGAATTTGATGAGGCTTGTTCAAGCTTGAGTCAATTCCTCTCATTGCTTATTTTGACTTTTTCAAATATTTGTAATTGGCTTGGCTAGGTAATGAGGCACAAATAAATTTGAGTACACTTAAGGTGCCAGCTGGAGGTCTGAAAGCTTTCCTTTTTTATAATATTAAATATAACTTACCAGCTGAAGTTCTCAAAGCTTTCCTGTTTTTATAATATTACATAAACTTATGCTACAGTAGGAGGCTTTTGTGCAGTAAAAACTGTAAGAAACCCAAACTTGACACCCTTGAATTTTGCCAAAAGTGGGCATCACATCACATCACAGCGTGTGGCGAAGCAATCCAATACATTCACTTGGGCTGATACACACTGCAATTCCAGCTGAATGTGTTGGTAAATGCTTTTGCGCACAATGCAAGGTATAGCAGATGATTTATGCGGAATTTGAGGCAGGGTTGTCCTTGAATTGTACTCAAGTTGAGCCTGCAATGTGTTATGTGTATCACATAGCATTGTAACAGGATTTTGAGATGCCAATGCAATGCTCCTCTCAGACCCCCCAAAAAGCTGACTGTTGTGCACATCACATCACATGGGCCCAACATTGCTTGCCACCAAAGGGTATTGACATAAAGGGTTCTGACTTTAGCTACTTCAGATTTTGTTACACATGCTCTCCAGAAAGAGATGGTCTCATGATTGTTGACCACTTGTTATCCACACAGGAATGTAGAAATGATGGATCCTTTACTTGAATTATATCTTGCTGACAGGTCAGAGATCTTTGGTCTTTCTTTACCTTTGTGGAAATGTTGATGTCCCTGTCTCTACCACTTCACTTCTCTCACATCCCCACTTTTTTTCCATTCCGCTTAGATCAATTGCTTGATTTTTTCTGATCATCATATCATATGATCATTTGGAGGGGCTCTTGCTGTTATACATTTTGGAGAACTCTTTTGTGTTTGTTCATTTGGTTTCCAGATTATTTTGTTCAATTTATTTTGTCATTTATGTGGCTCTATTGTTTTCAATAATATGTTGTCGCGGTTTTTCAAGATCGTTTTTGCTGGGCTCTCCCATTATTCTATATTAATCCCTGTGTGGTGTTGCCACTGTTACTTTGCTTTGTGTTTGGCTGCTAGCCATACCTAGGGGCTAACTTCTTGGAAGTGGGATAGAAGCCATAAACTCAATGAGTTTCTTATCACATACTTGAACCTGGTCATCTTCGAGAGGGGGGTCAAGAAAAGCTGATGTGATCCACAAGAGATCATCAGGACTCTGTTTAAACGCTTTTTCGCGCTATCAGACCAATTTCTTGAACATTTCAGTCATCTTTCTTTGCTCAAATGATCAAAAGAGATTCACTTACGAAGTTAACAGGGTGAGCAACTTTGCATTCGGAATCGAACATCAATTGAACGTAATGTCTATATTGTGTTTTTGTCCAGCTAATAAAACAAGATTTATTATTTGAGTGATTGGATTCATGTTAAGTGAATTATGTTCACGTAGATACATACTATCTCACTGGCTGCGGTGTCTTGACCCCGGCTCTCGTCATTAACTGCAGATATCAAACCGTTCATGCTGTCAGGGTCAGAAGTTGGCAGCTCCGAATGATTTTTCATAAGTATGTTTCTTCTCATCTCACAATGCAAGTCTTGAAGAAGCCGCATGATTGCGTACGATCGGTTGCCAGATGGGTCGCAATCCTATATGTTGATAATGAGAAAAGGATTTCTCAGTAAAGCATGAAGACTTGATGAAAATTTTGACACATTATAACTAACTTGGTGCAATCCTTCAAATCGGCTTTGATTTTTTCAGGACCAGAAAAACACTTCACGGGATTAGGTTTTGATGTTTTACGCCTCTCAAGAGTGCTTGCGCGAGTAGAATTTCCGAGCCTTGAGTCTTGTACTTCTAGTTGACTAAACTCTTGTGTATCTGCCGATATCAAACAAATGAATTGAAAAATGAAGAAGAGAAAGTTATAGGATTTCATAATGAAAAGTTTCAAGTTTATTTGAATTAAATGATCACAAAGGTAAGCTGAGCGAAGGGTTTCAAGCAGGGTCTCTTTCTGAAAAGATTTGTAACACTTGGCAAACATATATTGTGAATGTGAAGGCTACTGAACAAGGCTACTGGGGAGATATGGATTCAGAGGATGAACTTATCGGCAAGGGACTCAGCATTTAAGCGTATGTGATCAGTGGACAAAAGCTGTCTCCCAGAAGTAGAAGACGCAAAAGGTCCTTGACAAGCATACTACACCCCCTGGTGACCAGAACTTCGGATGTTGAGAATGATGGCAGCCAAGGAGAATACAACCCATTCATCGGGTCATCCAACAATACCAACAATGTTTCATCGCGGAACTCATCAACGGAAGCTTTTGCGACATGCATTCTTGCACTCAAGGTCAGCGTCCTTCCAGAAAACTGGATGCGATGGTGTTTATATTGTTACACCGCGCTCCATGTAAACTTCGGGATCCGAGGGAACGTAACGTCCGATGAAGCCCTCCGAGGTGCGTGACATTCGAAGTATTCGTATCAGTCTTTTTCTGAGACTCTGTCGCTCTGAGACTCCTCTGAGACTCCCTCTGAGCTACTTACAAAAAACAGTGGCTTTCTGTACACCCGTCATACGGTGTGGTCACAGCAGGTGGCACTTCATAGTTCATTTGTACAGCGTACCATACCAGGGAAACGACTTGAAGAAATTCATCAACAAGACTTCAAAAAAAGTCATCATCAAGGCATCGGCAGAAAGCATCAATCCGAATCAGCTGCTATCAATCATAGTCCTGCACGATCTTCTTCTACAATACATCGAGCTTCCATGAAATCATGAAGTCTGATCAAATTCAGAAGTGCACAATAGAGAGAGACAATGGGGCCATTGTCCTGTGAGAAACCCAGGCCTGGTCCTGTGCAATGGAGCACATCACCGCCTAGAAGACAAAATCAACAAAATTTAATACAGCCATGTATCAGCTGAAGGAGGAAATCATCAACAAAAACAACTAGTTTTTTTAGCAATACACAAATTTCTTGAATAGCTGTATAGTTTGCCTTGACAAAGCAAACAAACCTTTGGAAAGAGAGTTACAAAGACTGAAAAGGGCAAAAAACGTAGCGAATTCATTCAAAGGTCTCAATGATGGTCCAGAACTAGTCAAAGGTCTATTGAGGAAGTGGAAGAGCTGCCATAAACTTAAAGAGCTCCTGATCACATGTTTGAACCTGCTCATCTTTCAAGGGTTCAACAGGAAAACCTGCTGTGATCCATATGAAATCGTCTGGACTGGGTTTCGGAGCGTCTTTGCGCTATCAGACCAATTTCTCAAACATCTCAGTCCTCTGTCTTGGGTAAAATGATTGGAAAAGAGTGACTTACAAAGTCAACAGGGCGAGCGACCTTACACGCGTCTTTGAAAATTAATTGCACATAATATCTAAATTGAGTTTTCGTGTAGCTAGGAAGGCAAGAGTCACTATTTGAGTGATTTGATTCACGTTTGGTTGATTGTGTTTAGGTAAGTACATACAATTTGAATGGCTGTGGATCGTTCACCCCGGCCCTCGTCATTATCTGGAGACAGAAGATCGGTCAAGATGTCAGAGTAAGAAGGTGGCTGTTTTAAATGAGATACCCGAGTAACGCAGATTTCCTCTCACAATGCAAGTCTTGAATACACCACATGTTAGCTTGCGATGGGATGCCAGATGGGTTGCAATCCTATATTTTGATTATCAGAGAAGTATTTGTTTCAGTACAAGAGGAAGACTCTACGAAACCATTCAGACATTGTATTTGACTAACTTGGTGCAATCGTTCAGGTCAGCTTTAACTGGTCGTCCCACCCCAACGGGGCAAACTGCGGGATTGGGTTTCTTTTCTGAATTGGTTTTTGGTTTTGTATCGGAGGTCGATTTTTTACGCCTCTCCAGAGTGGTCACGGCGAAGTGAGTCGGATTTGCGAGCCTCGCGTCTTTTATTTCCAATTGACTAAACTGTGGTGTATCTCCCGATATCAAGCGAATGAATTGAAAAATGAAGAAGAGAAAGTTGAGGGATTTCATGATTAGAAGTGTAAGATTAGTTCAAATGGAATGATTTCGAGGGTAAACTAAGCAAAGGCTTTTAGGCAAGTTTTCTTCTGCACACGAAAAGTACTTTTGTGAAAGTTGGCGAACGGATATTATGAATGCGGATGCTACTGAAGAGGTGGATTGGGAGGATAACCTTCCAGGTGCCCAGTTTTTAAGCGAATGTGATCAATCAATAGAAGCTGAAATTTCCAATGTGCAGAAGACTGAGAAGGTCCTTGATATGACGGCCGAGGACAGTACAACCCAGTCTTCACGCCCTGCAACTGTGCCAACGATAGTCCATGGAAGAACTAGCCGACAGAAACTTTCGTGATATGCACTCTTTCGAGTCCTTGCACTCAAGGTCGGCATCCTTCCAGAAAACAGCATGGTGTTTATATTGTTGCACCGCGCTCAAGGTGGACTTCGGGATCGGAGGGCACGTCGGATGAAGCCTTCCGAGGCGTATGAGTCACCCGAGGTAATGATCACGCGAGGCACTGTTGGTCTCTGCGCAACCCGTCGGATGTTCGCCTCGGGTGCTTTGTATCTATGAGATAACATTCGTGATTGGGGTCCCAGTGCAAGGAAATTTGAGAGAAATCTTGCGTCGCGAGGGGATTGAATTCCAGAAATCAAGGACGAATCAAGTCCAGTTTTTCAATTTTGATGCTGTTTCATGCTGTTTCATGGAAATATGTGGTACGTCTGCCTTACTACGTTTGTTGTGCTCGCCTCGATGGACACGGATCAGGCAGATAGGGTAGGTAACCCCGTAAGCAGGACCTTGTAGAGCGCAAACTCTTTGCCAGCTTCAAACCTTGATTGTTATAAAAAAGAAACAAAAGTCATATGTTTCAATCAAATCTGAAAGATTCCATGCTGAATTTGTTTTATTTTTCAAAATGTAACATGTTTAAATACACTATCTGGTAAGAGTGGTCCAAGTGGTACAAGAAATCTAGCTAAAGGCCAATCAGTAATCTCACAAGGACAAGTAATACCAGATGACCCGACTCCACGATCAAGCCTGTTGTTATTTCAAAACCAAAAAAAAAAATCTTTCAACATCAAGTTCTCAAAGAAAAGAAAAACAATCATCCTTTAAAAAAGATTTATAAAAAGAAACTTACCAAACTTTCATGAAAGGATTACCCCAAAATCCAAACCAAGAAAAAACCCAAATGTTTCCTAATACACCTGAAAATTTGAAACCCAAGGTTGTTTTAAGAATCGATTCAATTGCAACTCCTACTCCCATCATAAGGAAGAATCTAGTAGCTTCAAAATTCCAATCGATTCTGTTTGCAACAAAGATAGTACCTATAAGTTTTGTTAAACAAGATTTCTTTGAATTAGTGGACCGAGATGTCATAGAGAAGTGCATTTTTTGAAAATAAAACTTACCCCATTCGTGCTATTGAGTATACAACAAGAAATGTATTTTGAAAACTATCAGTCATGAATCAAATACAATGATCAAACTTGTATAAGGAAAAAATCGAAAACCAAAAAACTCACCATGAGTCCACTGATGAGCATGGCACCCATCATACTTGCAAGTCTAACAGCCCTAGGGCCAAACGGTTTAGCAATCCTACCAAATGGTTCACTACCAAGAAACACAAAGTTTGTTCTAAAAACACAATGCCATCCTACAAAAAACCCACGATCACAGAAAGAAAACAAACCTCAGAAAACTATCAATGTTTAATTTTAAAAAGATTGAGAAGTGAAAAAAATCAATTACCTCTACTCCAAAACTCCGTGATACTCGTTTTGAAATTCGGGTAATTGAAGAGATGAGGATAAAGAGTTGTATCAAATGGAGCAGGAGCAAACTCATCAGGAAGTAAACGAGAAGCTAATGTATACCAAAGCAGTTCTATTAAATTTATACAAGCTGCTGCAATCGTTAGAGCATGATATCCAATAGAACCATAAAATGCTAAACCAATATAATCCGAACAAATTTGAAGTAAACTTGAATCCGGGATTCCTAAGACTTCAGTCATATATCCATGTGGACCACTTGGATGTTGGGTAGCAGGTACAGCGAAAGCTGCTTCGATTATCAGACCGATTTGATTGAGGATTAACCAACTTGTTTGCTCCCAAACGAACTTTGCTATGGATTTTTTGGGAGCTCTTGAACAGACGTAAGATGGAGGTGCCCAAACGTATTGAAGACCTCGAGGACTGATATCAAAAAAATCAAAAGATGAATGGAATCAATATTGAATGTTAAATAAATTGAAAGATGAACCAAAAAATGATGTTTAAGAAATCTAACCTTGTAATCAAATTTGAAGAAAATTTGACGATTTCTCCCCAACTTGGTGAAGGTGAATCAACCAATAATCTTCTTTTAGATTTAATTATGTATTTTGATTTTTGAAGAAGTTGATTATGATTTAATTTCAATGGAGTCTTAATAACTTCAGTTGATTCTGAACAAGTAGTATCTGCAGATTCAGATTCATCCGAAATCAAACTATTTTCACTCTGATTATAATCTTGTGATCTTTTCTTTTTTCCCAAGTCATTTAATAAAACCGGACCCCGTTGATATGCGTATTGTAAGGTAATAGCTATAACATGAAAACTAGGTATAGCAACTAATGCATCTGTTAACAAAAAGTCTCAGTTAGTGTCAACTTTGATATAAAAACGAAGAAATGAATTCAAGTGATTATAACTTACAATTCATATGAACAAAATCTTCTAATGGTTTAAACATTCTATCATGTTGAGAACTTATCGTTAAATAAATAATGATCGGAGCTAACATAAATCTAATAGTTCTATACATCTCATTAGATTCATAATGAGGATGTAACATTGAAGCTTGGATTAATAAAACTGGTAGAGCAGTATAATTCCAAATCTTAGATTCATACATCATAGAAATTAATGCAGACATGATTGTAAGAGACGTGAAAGTTTCAAAATCTTTAAGAAAATAAGACAAAAAGTTGAATTTATATTACTCAATAGTGAAGTGATTCGTCAAGTTGAGCCTGAAGAAATTTAAACACGTACTTCTTCTTGAAGGCTTTATATGAGTTCATCGGAAACATTTTTTGTTCGGTTTGCCTATAAGTTCTTTAAACCTTATCACCACCATTTATTGAACTCCTATTTCCTTCAGACAACAAAAAGGAACTGACTGTTGTTTGACAAGTTGTCTTGCTAATTTCTTGACCCCAAAAAAACTTGTAGATGACCCATTTTTTTCAATTCCTTCATGTGTTGGAAAAAGTTAAGAAATCCGATTGAGAGATGAATCAGGTTGTTTGTATAACGATGTACAAAAATGTAAGGGGAACTAAATAAAGTAAGATGTTTGATACCTCCTAATGATTTTGATAGATAGATAGGATTCCATCCAATGGCCACCCAATGTTGTGGATTTTGGAAAAGGTTAAATTCGGATCTCAAATTACCCGCGGACCGTGTCTGAAAGTTGAGATCCGGTGGAGAAGAATTCGAGGAGTTTGGAGTTTGGGGAGTAAAGTTTCGACTGAGACAGCACACCACCAGAAACTATAATCCATTAAAATCAAAGCCAACTTCAAAGATGACAATTGAATCAAATCAAAATCAAAGTCAAACATCAGAATCAGAAGAATTAAACCAAACCAATTATCTTTCAAGTTCCAATCCAAATTATAAACCAATAGATCCAAGTTTATTCGTTAATCTATTATCACAACTTGGTGATTTGATTAAAAATGTTGGATCATCTGATACAAATGAATCTAAACTTTCTTTAGCAAATCAGGTTTTTAATATTTCTTCTCCATCAAACTCATCGATAAGTTACTGATTTTAATGTTTCGATTTTCTAAAAGGCAAATGGATTAAGAACTTCATTGGCCCAAGCAACTGAACAAATCGATTGTTTAATTGCTGGTGATTTGAGTATAGAAGACCAAGAGTATTTAATCGATCAATTAGAAAAAAGACTCGAAACAGAAATGTAAGAAAGATTGATTTGGCATCGGTTTAAGTTTCTTGAATGTTGATAAGAATGATGATTTGTTTTGGATTAGGTCACTTTTGAAATTTGTTAATGAAATACCTCATTCATTGAGCTTGATTACCACACCTGGATTATCTAGTACTCCTCAACAAACTTTATCTCCTGATCAAACCTTTCTTAATTCTACCAATTCAACCCTTTGAATTTGATGAGTTTGCATTCGTTCTTTTTTTTTCTATGGAAGCTTGTCTTATTATTTGATGTACTCTTATCTTATCTTTGACTTTCTTGAAGATTGTATGTTTTGTATTTTGATGAAATATCATTGAGAGCCATCACCCAGTCCCACGATTCATGCGTAACGAAAACTAAGGAAATCAGTCAAGTTTCAATATGTAAATTGGTCTTCGAACCCGATCAGAAGTAAACGGTAAACAGAAAATCGATGAAAGATGTCAAAGTCACTAAGGACAAGTTACTTTAAACTCTTCAAACCAATCAATCAACGACCATTCATTCGTTCATCCAACATCCAAACTCACAAAAGCTTCATGAGTTCAATTCAATCCAAACCCAATCCGAAACTATTCTCGAATTTCGATGTGAGGTAAACTGGAGAACTCCTTTACAGATCGATTGATATATGCTTGATTGAATTTTTCTTGATTCTTAATTTACATTGTAATAGTGATCAAGTTTTTTATGAAAGTGAAAATTCATTAGGAATCGTAAACTTGAAACCCATCGTCAATGGTCGTAAGTCAAAAACCTTTATTCAAAATCAAACAAACCAAAATCAAAAAAACCAAACTCACTTTTTGATTTTTACACATTTCTTTTTTCGGTTTGGAACGTTTCTTTAGATGTTTTGATTATACCCAAACGAAATTCGATCCAAAAATTGAGTCAATTAGATGAAATCGAATTGATCGATTTGTTTAAAACGGTTCAAATCGTTTCAAAACAATTAGAAATCATTTATGAATCTAACAGTTTGACGATTTCAATCCAAGTTGAGTGTTTTTCTCCAACTTTAGTTTTCTCTCAAACAATCAAACCTAATCGTGCGTTGTGTTCTTTTGTATGTAGGATGGACCTGATGCTGGTCAATCAGTGAGTATCTTTCAATGGAATTTCTTGAAAACGTTTTCGAAGAAGAAAAAGTAATCAAGATTAAACAGGTACCACATTTACATGTTCATATCCTCCCACGTCAACCAAACGATTTCAAACAAAACGATGAAGTAAGCAAACCAAACCCCTCAACCTAATCATCTTTTTGATCTGTTTACCATTCCTCTTTAAAAAAATGGGGCTGAATTCCGTTTTTCTTTCTGGGCGGTTTATTTAGATTTATGATCATTTAAACCGATTCCAAGCTACTCCTAATGTTTTGAAAGGTCAAGTTGATAATGAAGAAAGAAAACCAAGAAGTTTAGAAGAAATGAAATCTGAAGCGATTCATTTATCCAAGTTTTTTCCAAATTGATTAATATTTTGCCAAAAAACCCCTTCCATTCTTGGCTTTCTTTTTCTTTTTCTTGGTAGGGTCTACTGAAGATGATTTAGTAAGGATTTGGTTTTACTAAGATTTGCTTAGTTCAGTTTTTGGGTTGAGAGTGATGGAGTGTCATACAATAGGATGTAAATATCTGTTGAAGTTCTTTGATTTTCAATTGTTTTTTTTGCTCCAAAAAGCTTTAGATAAACTCAAGCAAAACGACACTCACTGTCCAATCAATATTAGGTCTGTTCTATCAGGAGGGGTTCAGGAGTCAGGTTGGATTTTTTTGTGCATAAACAGTGAGATTCAAGGTTGATCAAAAAGTGCTTGAAACTTCACATGTACCCCCGAGTCCCAGCCCTTCAATGTTTTTTTCCCTTTTTTGCTAGGAATGTAATTCTCAGGTTAGGATTTCTGACGGACCTAACAAAATTCATTTTTTTCAAGCAGAATTTGGATGTCAGGAAAGTTGTAGTTTGCACATTTTGCTCAATTTGCACTTTGTTTTGAAGACATTCAAGGAAAATCTATGTGCATACCTGTACTTAAAAAGTTTTATCAGATAGATGACAGGATAAATCATTTCAAAGTGTCTTTATAGTCTTAAACAAAATTGGCATCAGAAAGATGGACATGGAGGATAGAAAACACTGACCTGTTTATTTTTAATTGGAAGGGTCACAGTCTGATGGTGCGGTAGGATGAATCCTGGGTTATTAGGGGGGCTCAGGTCAAGTTATTCTACTGCTTTGATCATAAAAAACTTTTGCCAAATTCATAAAATTTATGCAAAATTTTATTATGAACTTGGGAAAAGTTTGAAGACATCCCAAATTCTTTTGATCAGCAAATTTACGTAAATTTGGGCAAATTTGCTGCTTGGCAACATAATTTTTTTACAAATTGGGGGGAAAAATTTACAGCCTGGTACTGTAGGAAACTTTGCCCAATTTTTTAGGACAACACCACAAAAGTCTTGACCTGAGCCCCCATATTGCAGCAGAACGACAAGTTTCCAATACAAATATAAAGGGTTTCAAGTTGGCTTTTTTTACGTCCAGAATTGATAAAATGTTGGCTTTACAAGTATTTTTTGTTGACAACTGGTCTGAATTTGGGGAAAGTGCATCAAAAAAATTCAACTTCAAACCCCTTATTTTACTGCAGATAGTCAATGATGAGATAGGAAAGGCCAGGAAACTGGTAAGGAATCACGTATCAGTGATGAAGTAATTAAGCACTTCAGCCGAGGTCACTAATAAGTGAGAATTGAGAGATAGACACCTGTTGTAAGGTGGGGCAAGTACAGAGAAAGGGGGTTTGATTTTAACATTACCATGAGCACAAACTGTGATAAATTAAAACATAAAGGCCATACAAACCTGGTAAGGAATAACATATTACTATTAGTGATGAAGTAAAGCACTGCGGCTGAGGTCACTGCTCAGTGACAATGGAAGGATAGACACCTGTTGTAAGGTGGCACAAGTAAAGAGAGAAGCAGTTTGAGTGAAGAAAAACAATAGTAACACACAAACAACAGCTCTTTATAGTGAGGGATCCTTCTGGACATAGGTTTGATAAGCTGTTGCATTTGTGAGCTCATTCAACACATTGGGCTAGATGGTTATGGAGCTCAAACAGGACAGAACAAAGGAACACAGTAGAACAATCTATATAGACTCACAGCAGACAAAATAGGATGGTAACTATTGTAATGAGTGAAGGAAAACATTGAATTCAATAGTCAAAATGAGACAGATATTTGCCAAGAAATTTAAATTGAACTTGACACATTGTACATAGTAGATTTTAGGTACTATCAGAGTGGATGACATAATGCAATAAGTTTTGACACAAGTCAGATGATTTCCAACAAGCCAGACATTATCAGACACAACCTGGGCTTAGCATGGAGTTTCACAAGCAGGTGAAACAACTGCTGCAATCATGACCATTGCTCTGATTTTTATTTTGTGTCCACTTTCCATTTTTTATAAAATCTTTCTGGTATTACACATCTTATTTCAACTTACAAAGTGTGCAAGTTAGATACATATTCAAACCACTTTTAACCATTTACTTAGTCTTCATCAATATCAATAGAGTTCCTATCATAAGTGCCACAAATGTCTCACAAGATTTCAAAAAATATGATGTGGAAGATATTTTGGAAGACATTTCTATTGATGACATCCAGCTCAGTCTCAGGACTTCAATCCAAAATCAGCCCATTGAGTACTGAACAATGGCATGAAGCAGGAGATATGGGGCTTGGGGGCAGTGTTCTTCCAGATGTGGATTGGTTTCAGTTGCATACACCACCAAGTCAAGATCCCTTGCAATTCCATGAGTTGAACCACAATGAATGCAAAAAACCTATCACTTGTTATGCTTCAAGTCATGGCATATCACAAATTAATGATCAAAACAAACATTTTTCTGATTTTGAAGAAGGATATCAAGGATATGAATCATCTCAAGTTGGAAGTTTATACAATGATCTTGATACATACTGGAATACTCATGATCAACTAGGAATGTCTCCACAGCCTGCTCAACTAGATTCTGTCCTAGCCAAACCTCTGTGGGAAGGAGAGAAAAATGAACAGCAAAGCCAAGATATGATCTATGAATTTCCAACTTCAGATATTGACCACTACGGGTTTGTGGACACGGCCAAGGAAACCTTTCATCCACACAAAAAGGCCAAGATCACAGGTCATGATATCCATGAGAATAGCAAAAATCAAGGGCCAATAGCAGAGAGCTGTATGTATCTTAACACTCCCCAATATGATCCTTATATATCTCCACACTACCTTCAAGCTTCAATATCACAAGAACCAAGCACATTAGGCTACTTGCTTGAAGATCCTGCAGAGAGAATTGGAATGGAAAAAATTCTTCAGAAAAGTCAGGAACATCCTGATTTTTCAAACACAGACCTCTCCAGCTTTTTGCATCCATCACAAGTAAACTTTGATCCCCATAAAAGAGTTGAAAGCACATTCTCTTCTATCATTGACAGACATGAACATTCTCTACCTGGTAAAGGGAGGTTTGTTGACTTGGATATGACTCACAGTTTCACTCCTCAACTCAACAGCCACCTTCTGGACTCAGTACTAAAACAACCAGATACTGTGAATGATTTGATTAAAAAGCTGTCAAATTTGGATGACAAAAACAAATTCTTCCAGGATAGCCAGGCCGGACCGTATGAATCTTCATCTTCACACATAAACCTCTATGGCCCTTTGGATAACAGCCAATTTGACCTTTGGCCTCATCAGAAATTTGAACCAGCTTGCACTACCATTGATGAAATTGTCAGACCAATGAATGAAAACACTCCTGACTTATCTTTTCTTCCTCAGAACTGCTTCCAAGAAGCAGTATCAAGCGAATTAAGTGCACTTACGGGTTGTATTCAAGAACCTTCATATGCAGTAAACAATATCCCAAGTGTGCAACTTTGGATGGAAAATTACCACATGGGTTTGGAATATTTACACAGAAATCCATACAGTAAGCCAGCTGATCTGGATGTAAGATTATCACACAATGGATCACCAAAACACAAGGAGGAAGAGAATGTCACAAGTCTGTTACAGGGGGATTACTCACCATTACATTTGATTGATCTTCATATTCCTCAAGCACATACCTCTCCAAGTGCAAAAGACTTTGGAGCTGCACAGTTTGTTGAACAAATGAATATACATCCAGACATGACATCAATTCCAACCAGCTCTACAAATATGGGAAAAAGTGATACAATGAGAACAGAAGAAGAATTTAAACCAAGACATTCAGTCAGTGTACTTGGCTTTGAATTTGCAGAAAAATCAATGACCCCAGGCTGTTCAACAAGAGTCACATCAAATCGGCTGATTTTAGCCCTCCAACGGATTGGTGCATTCCTGGTGAATAATTCACCAAGTTTGTGTTATGAGACAACAGTTTGGTTTGAGAGCCTACGCAAGGAGATGATCCAAAAAAATCATCCAAAACAATCATCAGTTGAGCAGATTGATCGAGCAATAAAGATCTCTCACCTGAAAATTACAATGTGCTTTATGGGTCTCATCGGAGTCTTTGCAAACAATGGAGGTGACCAATTCTCTTTGGAAACCATTTTGAAAGAAGGTTGGCAATTTATTAAGCTTCATTTTGAGGGATGGAGGAACTTGAATGTGAACAACAAGAATGAAAACCAGGCAAAGAGAACTGATTTCAACAAAGATGACTGGAAGGACCCAGTTTTATGGTTTCATTACCTAAGCCTCCTTGGAAGACTTGCAGACTTGGCAGTTGATTCAATGTACCATCTTATCAAGAAATGGGATGATCAAAGAACAACCTCAAAAATCAATGTAAAGCATTTGTCATGGTATCATGCAGAGATCAAAACTTTCCATGACTCACACTTGAGATATACCCATGGTGGGTTTTATGGAAGAGGAGAGATCAGGAACATTGCATTTAAGGGAGTAAAGCTGTCTGGAAACTATGCAAAATCACCAGCTGGAGTGAAGGAAGGAAGTTGGTACACAATCTACAAGTTTCTATCCCATTCTGCACAGTTTCACTCATCTGTGGGATTTGATATGTGTCAAGAGGTCCACACTTTCTTTGTTTCATTACTTGACCATATAATTAAGTCCTACAAGGAAGTACATGATTATCATATAACATCCGCTGTCAAGGGATCAAGGGCAAAAGAAACCTCATCTAATAGAAGGCCTAATGATGAAAATATTGGAAAAATTGTCAAGGTCATCAGTATGGCTGAGTACAGAGTAACTGTTGGCTTCATAGGTCTTGTTAGAGTCCTCTACCAGAATGAATTACCAGTAGTTACCCTCAGGTTGGTACTCAAAAGTGCATGGGAGTTTTTAAAAGGGATATTTTCACAATGGAAGGACTTTCAATTTGAGAAAAATCTTCCTCAGAACCTCAATAGGCAGAGTTTGAATAAGCATAGGATTAAGTTAGATTACACTGATCCTAATGAGCTCTTCAATGTATTGTGGCAATTTCAAGCTGTTTCAAAAAACCCTGTGCCACTTCATTGCTTACCACGCCTCTTCAAGTCTTGGAATAATGATCTAGCAAACTTCAAAAAGTTGTATCCAAACAATTTCAATTTTGAGATCAAGGCTCTGCTTGGTGAGACACCATCAAGTTGGTCAAAACTTTTTGAGTGAGATTTCTTTCTCTTTGAATTTTGCCAATATTAATTATTCCTATCAGTAACACATTTTACTGTTTAACAAAATCACTGACAAGTATTTCTATCACAGAGACATGGAGGCTTTCACCACCTGGAACATGTACGAAACAAATACCGGGAATGATTTGATCAGGAACCCTTCAAAGATGGTTGCCAAAACACAATTTGTCCAGGATAGCGAAGCTGAACAGTATGAAGCTTCATCTTCCCAAACCAACCTACATGGCCTTTTTGATGACAGCCATTCCAACCTGACTCCCCATAAGGAATCTGAACCTGTTTGCAGTACCATTGATGAAATTGTCATACCAATGAATGAAAACACTCCCAACTTATCTTTTCTTCCTCAGAACTGCTTCCAAGAAGCTGTTTCAAGGGAATTGAGTGCGCTTCCAAGTTCTATTCAAGATCCTTCATATGCAGTAACCAATAGCCCAAGTGTTGGAATTTGGATGGAAAATCACCACATGGGTTTGGAAAACTCACACAGAAGTCCATACAGTAAGCCAGCGGATCTGGATGGAATATTATTACACAAAGGATCGCCAAAACAAAAGGAGAAAGGAAATGACATAAGTGTGTTACAGTCGGATCCCTCACCATCAGATTTGATTGATCTTTGTATTCCTGAGGCTGTAGGACATTCCTATTCAAGTGCAAAAGACCTAGGGCCCACACAACTTGTTGAGGGAATTGATATACATCCAGACATGCCATCAATGTCCAAGAGCTCTGCAAATATGTCAAATGATGACCAAATAAGAATAACAGAAAGATGTGAATCAAGGCATCCAGCCAGTGTGATTAGCTTGGAATTTGCAGAAAAATTAATGTCCCCGGGCTATTCAAGTGTCACATCAAATCAGCTGATTTTAGTCCTGCAACAGATTGGTGCATTCATGGTGAATAGTTCACCAGGTTTGTGTTATGAGACAATAGTTTGGTTTGAGAGCCTACGTAAGGATATGATCCAAAATAACAATCAAGAAAAATTAGCAGTGGATCTGATTGACCTAGCCATCAGGCTTGCTCACCTGAAAATCACAATGTCCTTTCTGGGTCTCATTGGAGTCTTTGCAAACAATGGAGGTGACCAATTCTCTTTGGAAACCATTTTGAAAGAAGGTTGGCAATTTATTAAGCTTCATTTTGAGGGATGGAGGAACTTGAATGTGAACAGCAAGAATGAAAACCAGGCGAAGAGAATTGATTTCAAGAAAGATGACTGGAAAGACCCAATTTTATGGTTTCATTACCTAAGCCTCCTTGGAAGACATGCAGACCTGGCAGTTGATTCAATGTATCACCTTATGAATGAATGGGATGAACAAAGAACAACCTCAAAAATCAATGTAAATCATTTGTTATGGTATCATGCAGAGATCAAAACTTTTCATGACTCACACTTGAAATATACCCATGGTGGGTTTTATGGAAGAGGAGAGATCAGGAACATTGCATTTAAGGGAGTAAAACTTTCTGGAAAATATGCAACATCACCAGCTGGAGTAAAGGAAGGAAGTTGGTACACAATCTACAAGTTTCTATCCAATTCTGCCCAGTTTCACTCATCTGTGGGATTTGATATGTGTCAAGAGGTCCACACTTTCTTTGTTACATTACTTGACAATATATTGAAGTTTCACAAGGACATACACGGTTATGATATAACATCCGCTGTAAAGGGACCAAGGGCAAAAAAAACTTCATCTCATAGAAAGCCTAATGATGAAAATTTTGAAAAAATTGTCAAGGTCATCAGTATGGCTGAGTACAGAGTAACTGTCGGCTTCATAGGGCTTGTGAGAGTCCTCTACCAGAATGAACTCCCAGTAGTTACACTCAGGTTGGTCATCAAGAGTGCCTGGGAGTTTCTAAAAGGGATATTTTCACAATGGGAGGACTTTCAATTCAAAGAAAATATTCCTCAGAATCTAAATAGGCAGGGTATGATTAAGCACAGGATTGCACTAGATTACACTGATCCTAATGAGCTCTTCAATGTATTGTGGCAATTCAGAGTTGTTGCAACAAATCCTGTACCACTACAGTGCTTACCACACCTGTTGAAGTCTTGGAACATTGATTTAGCAAACTTGAAAAAGTTGCATCCAAACAATTTTAATTTTGAGATCAAGAATCTACTTGGTGAGACACCATCAAGTTGGTCAAGACTTTTCAAGTGAGTTTTCTTTTCCTTAGACCTCCACCAATATCGCTTCATTCTCTCAGTAACCCACCTCAGTATTCAACAAACCACTGACAAGTATCAATATCACAGAGACATGGACACTTTCACCACCTGGAACATGTGCCAAGCAAAAACTTAATAGCTTCATGAAGAATAAAATAAATCCCACTGGCACCAAGCCTTCTAAGCCTGAACGTCTTGATTCCTATAGTTTTGTTCCAATTTTTGTGCAAACCAATCATTTTCAATTCAAACAACAGAAACTGGGATTCCCACTCCCTTTGGAAACACAAAATGATGAATCTTTGTCCCAAATTTGACATTGCACTTGCCATGAAAATACCTACTTGTTTTTTTTGTGCCATTTCAATACATTTAAGTCAGAGCTTCCACTATGGTTCAGTGTTAAATTGTAAAAGTTGTGGTCCTGACCACCAAAATTAACCATGCATGTAGTAACTAAATTGTTGTGAGCCTAAAGCCACTATGGGATGATGTAACATATGATTTCACTACAATAATCTATTCTTAAAACACTTTACACACTATGGAAACTTCAAGACCCAGATCAAAGTATCTTACACACCAAATCCAACTCACTTTCCTGCCATGACCACCTTGATGACCAGACAAAATCAAACTGAAGGCTTCAAATGTTGACAATGAGCAACAAGCTTTCTAACCTTTTGTTTGATCCTAGCAAGATCAATTGTGCAAGAGCACTTTTTTACATTTTTTTCAAGTTTCTTAGCAAGTCACAAGTAAGCAGAAACTATTGAGATACTGAAATTGTAAGGCCAGAGGGAATATGTGGAGTGAAAGTCATGAGTGCAGAGCTTGATGGGTGCAGATGCATGACTGTTGACCAATTTGATGCACCAACAGTTTATGCTAAGTCTTGTTTTAGTCTTTTGCAGATTTACACAAGCTTGAAGCATGATTTGATGCATACCTATGGACCGCAAGTCTATTATAACAGGTACACTATGGACCTGTGTATAATTTAGCTTTGAAATGACACCAAATCATGTTGTTAACACACCCATATAACACAACCATAGTGGATTCTTGTAGCCTGTCTGAACGTTTCTTTTGGTTAGCCAAGTCTGCAAAAAAAGAGCCCTCATTGCCACTAAAGATACTGGGCTTGCCTCCAATAAAAATCACCCCAAGGGCAATTCTTGCCAATTTTGTATGTGCAGCACTGCAAGCTGGGCTCACACAAGCTTCTTATGATATAGCCAATGACTTTCATTATTATTTCTCAAATGTTTACTCCCAATCCAATGGGAATTTGAAGACATAACTTGATCAATTCTGAAATTAACCAAGAGCATCAACATATTATCATGTGCTCCTCTGCCTGTTAATCTCAATCTTCCCAAGACCAATAGGAGTGTTGAAATCTAAAAACATCAAATTTTCAAAGGAATTTTGAATTAAAATCTTGAACAATGATTCTGGTACAGATAGACTGCAATTCTTATACAGATCTGTACACACAGCCAGATGGATAAGCATGAATCACATGGGGGAAAAGAGCTCACATAGAGGTGAGCATAGAGATTTTGGACATTTATCCAAGCTTTCTTCCTGATTGTTTCCAGATTTCTTCCCATCTTCCTCCTGTGTTCTTCCAGCTCATCATTGGATTAAAAATTCAATATGGTCTTAGCAAATGACTTATGTCTTCCTCAGGATTTGTTGCTTATCCAAGAAGCCTGAGGGAGGGCTGGCCATCTGCTCAGGTCATCTCAGGCCCTCCAAAGCTCAGTTTGCGCAGTCAAGTGACCAAATCTGATTGAACAGTGAGAGACCAAATCAAGTGTTGGGTTAAAAACATAATGGAAACCATTGCTGATTGACAACCCACAACATGACATTGGGCCATAATGTGGGTACAGGGAAAATCATTCTTACTGGTCCTGTGATCCAGGGTGGATATGATCCAAATTTGACTTTGCTCACTCTTCTTTCACCATTTCAATCTAACAGTAACCAACTTCAATCATCAAACCAAATCATCATTTACCTCCTATCAATTCATCTCTTGATTCAATCAACACAAATCTATTGAAACTACATTTTGAAATATCAAACAAATATTGCAATTTATCTTTTTAAATTCATTAAAATTATATTGATTTCAATCTTTACTCAACAAAGCTAAATCCATCTTGAAGTTGATTCAACTCAAAAAAGATTAAATTCCCAACTTATTAATTTAAGATCAACTTCGACTTTGAATCAAATTGAATTGACTCTTACTTGACCTGAGATTTTAGTCCTAATCAATCCAAATATTGATCATCAAATACTTGACTCAAACTATTCAACAAGAATCATATCTACATTTGATTTGAACTCTTTAGAGAAACCATCAAATCTTCAAGGTATCATCTGTTTTATTACCTTTTGAATAACTGGTCACAGATTCTAATCATGTTTCGAGAACCTTACAGATCAGAGTAACACTACCTGAGCCCTGTGGACAGAACCACTGACTAACAAACTCACATGTAAATATATGTAACTTCTCCAAAAATCAAAGATTACACCTCATTGCACCACCATTGCACAGTGTCAAGATTAACTTAATGTGGAGTGCAAGAGGTGTTGTGATGACAATGAAAAGCGCAAAGATCATATCTCAAAATTGCCAGGTGTGAACCTACAGGGAAAACTCAAATACGGGACCAAAACCTCTGTATTTGGGTCTAGAACAATGCATAGCCCTTTTGAGACCAGTTCTGTAGAATGTCCACTTGAATCTCTACAGTTGACACCCCCTTTTAACAATAAGACAAAAAGAACCCCCTTTTAAGGTGTCCCAAATTAGACATAACTTGGTTGTGCAGAGATTTATTTTGTAAAACTGATCAGAATTGTTGAAAAGTGCACAAGAAATGATTAAACTTAAATTCCTTTACTATACTGCAGATAGTCAGGATATGAGACAGACATTTGTGACACAATTGAAGTTGATCATGAGACGTTGTTCAAAACTGTATACACATAACAGAATAAAGGTAGCTCAGACTGTATCACATACTGAGATAGGCTTTGAAACAAGCCAGATAATATCAGACACAACCACAGTGTAGCATGGAGTTTCACAAACCAGTAAAAAGTCACTGTGGTCATGATCAATGCCCTGCTAATAATATCCTTTTTGACTTATGTTCACTTTGCCCTTTTTATAAAATATTCCCATCATCACACTTTCCAGTTCAACATATGTGTTGTGCAAGGTAGTTATTCAAACCCCATTTAATAATCTTTCTATTCATTGACTAATCTTGGCCATTTACTTAGTCTACATCAATATCAATAGAATAACTTCATTGGTGCCATAAATGTCTGACAAGAGTTGTGACATATGATGTGGAAGATCATTTGGAAGGCATTTCTATTGATGAGATCAAACTCAGCACTTCAATCTAACACCACTCCACTGAGTACTGTACAATGGTTTGAAGAAGGAGATATGGGGCTTGGGGACAGTCTTCTTCAAGATGTGAACTGGCCACATTTGAATACACCACCAAGCCAAAATCTCTTGCAATTGGATGAATTGAACCAAGATGAAATAATAAACTATATCACCCATGATGATTTGAGTCCTTACATATTGCAAATTGATGATCAAAACAAACCATTTTCTTATTTTGAAGAAGGATATCAAGGACACCAATCATCCCAACATGAAAGTTTATACAATAATCTTGATACATACTGGAATGCTTATAGTCACCTACAAATGTTTTCACAACCTGATCCACTAGATTCTTGCCTAGGAAACCCTGTGTGGGAAATAGAAAAAACCATACAGCAAAGAAAAGATATGATCCATGAAACTTCAACTTCAAAAACAGACCTGTACAAACTTTTGGACTCAGATATAGAAACCTTACAACCCTATAAAAAGCCCAAACTCACGGGTTATAACATCCATGACAAGCGCAAAAACCTAGTACCAATTTTGGAGGGCTGTACATACTTTGAAACTCCTCAATATGCTCCTTATATATCTCCACCTCACCATCAAGCTTCAATATCACAAGAATCAAACAACATAGGCTACTTGCTTCCAGATCCTGCAGAGAGATTTGAGGCAGAAAAAAAGCTTCAGGAAACTCAAGACAGCCCTGATTTTCCAAACATGGCCCTCTACAGCTTTTTGGATCCATTAAAAGTAAACTGTGATCCACATACAGGACTTGAAAATATGTGTTCCTCTATCATTGACAGCCAGGAGTATTCTCTGCCTGGAAAAGGGAGGGCTATTGAAATGGATATGGCTCAAAGTGTCACTCCTCAAGTTCAAAGCTGCCTGCAAGATTCAATATCAAAACAACCATATACTCTGAATAACATGATTAAAAACCCTTCAAATATAGATGGAAAAAGACAATTTTTCCAGGAGAGCCAAAGTGCCCAGTATGAATCTTTGTCTTCACACACCAACCTCCATGGCTGTTTTGAGAAAAGCCAATTCAACTTTCATCCACATAATGAATTCAAACCCACCTGCACTACCATTGATGAAATCAACAGCCCAATGAATGCAAAAATTCTTAGCTTTACTTCTCTTACTCGAACCTGTTTGCAAGCATCTGTATCAAAGGGTTCAAGAGTACTTGGGGATTCAATTCAAGATCCATCATATCCAGTGAAAAATCTCCCAAGGGATCTTTGGATGGAAAAGTACAACATGGGTGTGGAAAATTTACACATAAATTCTCTCAGTCATCAAGCTGATATTGATGGAAGATTATTGCTCAAAGGATTGACAAGAGAAGAGGAGACAGAAAATGCCACAAGAGCATCACCCTCACCATCAGATTTCATTGATATTCATGTTCTTAAAGGAAATACCCATTCAAGTGGAAATGACATAGCAGCCAGTACATCACTTGTGGAAGCAATCAATATACCACCAGAAATAAAATGCATGCCAAAGGGCTCTATAAGTATCGGAAACCATGATCCAATGGGAATAAAGGAAAAACTCAACCCCAGCCATTCAGCCAGTGTAATTGGCTTGGTATTTGCAGAAAAATTAATGTCCCCAGGGTCTTCAAGAGTCACATCAAATCAACTGATTTTAGCCCTGCAGCGTATTGGTGCCTTCATGGTTAATATGTCACCAGTTTTGTGTTATGAGACAACAGTTTGGTTTGAGAAACTACACAAGGAGATGATCCAAAATAATAGTGAGGAAAAATCAGCAGTGGAGCTAATTAATCTAGCAATCAAGCTTTCTCACCTGAAAATCACAATGTGCTTTCTGGGGATCATTGGAGTCTTTGCAAACAATGGAGGTGACCAGTTATCGCTAGAAATCCTTTTGAAAGAGGGTTGGGAATTTCTCAAACTCCATTTTGAGGAATGGAGGAACTTGAATGTAAATGACAAGAATGAAAACCAGGTGAAGAGAAAGGATTTCAACAAACCTGACTGGAAAGACCCAATCTTATGGTTCCATTACCTAAGTCGCCTTTCAAGACATGCAGAACTGGCAGTTGATTCAATATATCATCTTATGAATAGATGGGATGATCAACAAACAACCTCAAAAATTAATGCAAAGCATTTGTCATGGTACCGTTCAGAGATCAAAGTCTTCCATGACTCTCACTTGAAATATATCCATGGTGGGTTTTATGGAAGAGGAGAGATTAGGAACATTGCGTTCAGGGGAGTAAAATTGTCTGGGAAATATACAATGTCACCTTGTGGATCAGAAGGAAGCTGGTACAAAATCTACAAGTTTCTATCCTATTCTGCACAGTTTCACTCATCTGTGGGATTTGATATGTGTCAAGAGGTCCACAATTTCTTTGTTTCCTTACTTGAACATATGATGAAGTTTCAAAATGGAATACTGAATGATGATATAACATATGCTGTAAAGATACCCGGTGCTAAAAAATTGTCATCACATAGGAAGCCTGCTGATGAAAATGTTGAAAAAATTGTGAAGGTCATCAGTTTGGCTGAGTACAGAGTGACTGTTGGTTTCATAGGGCTTGTAAGAGTCCTCTACCAGAATGAACTCCCAGTAGTTACACTCAGGTTGGTACTCAAGAGTGCATGGGAGTTCCTACAAGGGATATTCTCACAATGGGCAGACTTTCAATTTGAGAAGAATCTCCCTCAGAACCTCAATAGGCAGTGTTTGAATAAGCATAGGATTACATTAGATTACACTGATCCTAATGAGCTCTTCAATGTATTGTGGCAATTTCAAGTTGTTTCAAGAAACCCTGTGCCACTTCATTGCTTACCTCGTCTGCTCAAGTCTTGGAATAATGACTTAGCAAACTTGAAAAAGTTGCATCCAAATGATTACAATTTTGAAATTAAGGCTCTGCTTGGTGAGACACCATTGAGTTGGTCAAAACTCCTTGAGTAAGTTTACATTCTCTTTGATTTTGATTTAACAACACCACTGACAAGGATCATATCACAGAGACATGGAGGCTTTCACTGCCTGGCATATGAGCCAAGCAAAAAATCAATAGCTTCAGAAAGAAGAAGCCAAACCCCACTGGTGACAAGACCTCTAGCATGGAACATCTGATTCTTGCTTTCTATAGTTTTGTTCCAATTTTTATGCAAATTGATGATTTTCATTTCAAACAATAGCACCTAGGATTCCAACCCCCTGGAATATGATTCTTTGTCTCCAAGTTCACAGTGCACTTCCCATGAGAATAAATACTTGTTTTTTGTCCACCATATTCATAAGCTTCACTTAGCCTTTCTGAACTTTGCTTTTAGTTACCCAAGTTTACAATAAACTTGCCTTCACTGCCAATCAAGCTCTTGTGATCTCCTCCAAAGGAAATCACAGTTCTTAAAAATTTTATTAGCGATGTGCAGCCCTGCCAGCCAGGCTTTTGAAAGCTTTGACATTATAACATGCTGCATGACTTTATCAATCCAACAAGTTGTCCTCAAAATATATCCCCCAAATCAATGAGCAGTTGAAGAAATAACTTGATCAAGTCTATACTTTTCCAGAAGCATCAACATATTATCACATTCTCTACCTCTGCCTGTCAATCCTAATCTACCCGAGCACAATTGGAGTGCTCAAATGTAAAAAACACCCCATTTTGGGAGAAATTGTGAAGCAAAATATTTCAACAGTGATTCTGGTACAGAGGAACTGTGATTCTGATGCAGATCTATAGCAGCACACAAACTTGAACACCCAACCTAAAAACCCATGGACAAAACCCATGGCAACCCAATTGTTTTGGGGGTTTTGTCCATTGGTTTTCCGCTTCCCCATTGGACAAAACCCACAAAACAATCGGGCTGTCATGGGTTTTGCCCATGGGTTTTTAGGATGGGTTTTCATGTTTGTTTACCGCTAATACTCAAGGACACTTGTATTATCACGAATGTCCATGAATGTTGTTAAGTTCAAGTCTTTTTCCCTTCAAAAAATTTGGGGACACTTCAAACCTGAAGGATGAAATTTGGGAAGACATTTTTGAAGCATTGCTGATGCTAGCAGGCTTCTGTCTTGCACACTGCTCACTGAGCAGCTGTAAAAGCCAAACCACAGCCTTGCTCACAGTGCTTGCCTTTGCCAACTTGCCAGTTTTGGTGACCAAATTGACTTGTGTGTGTTGTAGCTTAGCACACTGGTTCTGGGCCACAAAATCCCTCAACCATCATCTTGTAAACTGGCACTTTACCACCCCTACTTGTCAAGCTTGCCTACAATACAAGTAATCACTGATATCTCAGTCTATCTCAGTCATCCTCTTGATTTGACCATATTTAATGAACTTCTTCCCCTTTTGATTGCCAATCTTAACAAAGGCACGACTTAGGATATGAGTCCATGATAGAGTTTTGAGCGGAGGAGGTATAAACCCATAACTCCAAACAGAGTTTTTTCACAGGGAAGAGTTGAGAGTGTACTACACACAACTCTAACTCTCCCTATACCTACTTCGACCAAAACTTTATTGATACAATCCGTTCTCACGGTTGGAGATTCTCAAAATCCACCCACCCACCCAGCTGGGCAGCAAGATCAGCCTGACGTCAGCGGTGAATTATACTGTGACACAAACAAGGCCAATTCCCGGGCCTGGGCTCCCCCGAACAAGCTTTGACCTCAGCCATAGTAATAGGCCAAGGTTGAAGATCAAAGATGAGCCAAGAAAACATATAAAACATGTTTTTGGCTCAGTTTATATATTAACAAATAAAGTTAATAAATAAACATATCTTACCTTTAGAGTTAGAAAACTCAGAGAATGGAATTGCATGAGTTGAGAGGAGTGTTCTGTACCCCCTTTGGCAGCCTTGAGCTCTGCCTACAGAGCCATGGACTGACAAAATCACAAGTAAATATATGTAGCTTGTCTAGAACATACAAATTACATCCCATGGCTCAGTGTCAAGACTCAATGGAAAATGTAAGAATGATATTCCAAAATTTCCAAGTGTGAATTTCAGCAAACAAAGAAGAAACTGCAAGTGAAAACCAATTATAAAAAAGTTTTGGGGCTGCAGCAAGGCAAATAGCCATTGTGACCCATTTTGTGCCACAGAGTTCCATACAATCTCCACTTGAATCTCTATGGTTGCCACCCCATTGTCACATCATGACAAAAATTACCTCTTTGTTAGTTTTCCCAAATTAGAGATACCTGAGTTTTACACAATTTTTTTGGACAATAGGTCTGGATGTTCAACAAGTGCCTTAAACAATTAAACTTGAAACCCCTCACTGTACTACAGATAGTCAGAATATGAGACAGGTATTTGTGAAGAAGGTGAGATTAACCTTGAGATGTTGTTTTAAAACTATATGCAAGGATTAAATCTTAGGTAGTATTGGCCTGTATCAAATAATGTGATAGGCTTTGAGACAAGTTTGATATTATCAGACACAACTGGAGCTTAGAAGAGCTTCACAAACAGGTTCAAAAGTCCTGCAGTCATGATCATTGTCACGATCGTCTTTTCATTTTATTTCCACTTTCCCCTTTTCAATAAATTTTCCTGGTATCACATTTTCCACTTCAACATACGTGTTGTGAAAAGTAGGTATGCATGCAAACCATTTTCAATAATTCTTGTGAACCATTAACTAATATTGGCCATTGCTTGCTTAGTCTTCATCAATATCAATAAACTACCTATCATCAGTGCCATAAATGGCTCACACAATTTCACAAAATATGATGTGGAAGATCATTTGGAAGACATTTCTATTGGTGAATTCAAACTCAGCACTTCAACCTAACATCACCCCATTGACTACTGAACAAAGGTTTGAAGAAGGGGGTATGGATCTTGGTGAAATTATTGTTCCAGAAGAGAATTGGTCTGACGTGAATACACTAACAAGTCAGGATCTCTTGCAATTACATTTAATAAAACAAGATGAAATCAACAAACATAGCACCCATTATGATTCAAGTCCTGGTGTATTACAAATGTATGATCAAAACAAACCTTTTTCTCATTTTGAAGAAGGATATCAAGGACATCAATCATCTCAACATGAAAATTTATACAGTAATCTTGATACATACTGGAATGCTCATAGTCACCTAGGAATGTTTTCACAACCTGCTTCACTAGATTCTTCTCCAGCAAACCCTCTGTGGGAAATAGAAAAAACCGTACAGCAAAGCAAAGATATGATCCATAAAACTCCAACTTCAAAAACAGACCTGTATGAACTTTTGGACTCAGATATAGAAACATTTAATCCCCATAAAAGGCCCAAATTCACAAGTGATAACTCTTGAGCTCTGGAACAGTCAGAGAAAGAGACAAAGGAAAGGTAATGTAAATTTCACGGACAAAAGCAAACAGAAACAGAGAAACAGAGAGAAATCCTACCTGGAACAGTCAGAGAAAGAGACAAAGGAAAGGTGAAGAGGAAGCACCTTTCCTTGACTGCTCCAGTAGGATTTATATAGTGAAAATTTTACATAACGGTTTTCACATGATGTAATATGTTTGTTTAGCACACACTTAGATTCTACGTATCATGGGTTAGTCTCACAGGACTTTTACATAAAGAATTTGAAGTCACGTAGGACTATCCCAACACCCCCCCTTGCGTACAACATGTACATCATTCATTCTTGAAGAAAGATAAAAAAAATATAAAAAGAGAAAGAAAGAGAGAAAGAAAAAAAATCAACATAAAAGAAAGAGCACAAGAATCAAACAACATAGGCTACTTGCTTCCAGATCCTGCAGAGAGATTTGACGAGGAAAAAAAGCTTCAGGAATTTCAAGACAGCCCTGATTTTTCAAACATGGCCCTCTACAGATTTTTGGATCCATTGAAAGTAAACTTCGATCACCATACAGGACTTGAAAATATGTTCTCCTCTATCATTGACAGCCAGGAATATTCTCTGCCTGGAAAAGGCAGGGTTGTTGAAATGGATATGGCTCAAAGTGTCACTCCTCAAGTTCAAAGCTGCCTGCAAGATTCAATATCAAAACAACCATATACTCTGAATGATATTATTATAAACCCTTCAAATATGGATCACAAAAGACAGTTTTTCAAGCAGAGCCAAGCTGCCCAGTATGAATCTTCAGCTTCACACACCAACCTCTATGGCTGTTCTGAGAAAAACCAATTCAACCTTCATCCCCATGATGAATTCAAACCCACTTGGACTACCATTGATGAAATCAATAGCCCAATGAATGAGGAAATTCCTAACTTTACCTCTGTATCAAAGGATTCAAGGTCACTTGCAGATTCAATTCAAGATCCATCCCCTACAGTGAACAATCTCCCAAGAGATTTTTGGATGGAAAAGTACAACATGGGTTTGGAAAATTTACACAGAAATTCTTACATTCATCTAGCTAATCTGGATGGAACATCATTACACAAAGGATTGACAAGAGAAAAGGAGATAGAAAATCCCACAAGTGTGCCACAGGAAGATTCCACATCATCAGATTTGATTGATATTCATATTCCTGAAGGACATGCCCATTTAATTTCAAGCAACTTAGGAACCGCACAACTTGAGGAGGCAGTCAATATACCACCAGACACGACAACATCCATACCAAAGAGCTCTACAAATATGGAAAAAGATCATTCAATGATAACAGAAAACAAGCTGGAACCAAGGCATTCAGCCAGTGTAATTGGCTTCAAATTTGCAGAAAAATCACCAATCACAGGCTTCTCAAGAGCCAGATCAAATCGATTGGTTCTAGCACTGCAACGGATTGGTGAATTCCTGGTGAATAGCTCATCAGCTTTGTGTTATGAGACAACAATTTGGTTTGAGAATCTACGCCAGGAGATGATCAAAAATAATTATGATCAGGAAGAATCAGCAGTTGATCTGATTGACCTAGCAATCAAGCTTTCTCACCTGAAAATCACAATGGGATTTCTGGGTCTCATTGGAGTCTTTGCAAACAATGGAGGTAACCAATACTCTTTAGAGATGCTGTTAAAAGAGGCTTGGGAATTTATTAAACTTCATTTTGAGCAATGGAGGAACTTGAATGTAAATGACAAGAACGAAAACCAGGCAAAGAGAAAGGATTTCAACCAAGATGACTGGAAAGACCCAATCTTATGGTTCCATTACCTAAGCCGCCTTGAACAACATTCAGACCTAGCAGTTGATTCAATGTACCATCTTATGGATAAATGGGATGATCAAAGAACAACCTCAAGAATTAATGCAAAGCCTTTGTTATGGTACTGTTCAGAGATCAAAACTTTTCATGACTCACACTTGAAACATATCCATGGTGGGTTTTATGGAAGAGGAGAGATAAGAAACATTGCATTCAAGGGTGTCAAATTGTCTGGAAAATATGCTGCGTCACCTGGTGCATCAAAGGAAGGAAGCTGGTACAAAATTTACAAGTTTCTATCCTATTCTGCACAGTTTCACTCATCTGTGGGATTTGATATGTGTCAAGAGGTCCACACTTTCTTTGTTTCCTTACTTGAACATATGACAAAGTTTCAAAAGGGAATACTGAATGATGATATAACATATGCTGTAAAGAGACCCAGGGCTAAAAAAGTGTCATCATATAGGAATCCTGCTGATGAAAATGTTGAGAAAATTGTCAAGGTCATCAGTATGGCTGAGTACAGAGTGACTGTTGGTTTCATAGGTCTTGTAAGAGTCCTCTACCAGAATGAACTCCCAGTAGTGACACTCAGCTTGGTACTCAAGAGTGCATGGGAGTTTCTAAAAGGGATATTCTCAAAATGGATGGACTTTCAATTTGAGAAAAATCTTTCTCTGAATCTCAATAGGCAGAGTTTGATTCAACATAGGATTACACTAGATTACACTAATTCTAATGACCTATTCAATGTGCTGTGGCAATTTCAAGATGTTTTACACAACCCTGTCCCAGTTCATTGCTTACCAAGTCTGTTCCAGTGTTGGAATAATCATTTGGAAAACTTGAAAAAGTTGCATCCAAAAGATTTCAATTTTGAAATCACAGATCTGCTCTATGGGCCACCATCAAGTTGGTCAAAACGTTTTGAGTGAGTTTTCTTCCTCTTTGATTTCCACCAATATTACTCCAACCCTATTGGTAACTCATCTTGGTATTTATCAACACTGCTGACAAGTATCAATCTCACAGAGACATGGAGGCTTTCACCACCTGGCACATGTCCCAAGCAAAAAATAATGCCATTGGAAGGAAGAAATAGAACCCCACTGGTGACAAAACCCCTAGGACTGGAAATATTGATTCCTATAGCTTGGTTTCAATTCAATTCAGAAAATAGAGCCTAGCATCCCCACTCCCTAGGAAAACACAGAATGATGATTCTTTGTCTCATTCTTACAGTGCCCATGCCATGACAATACCTACTGGTTTTTGGTGTAAATTGTAATTGAACATTTAGGGAAACCTTTAAAGATGTGAGCTTCCAGTTTACAACTAATGTTATTGAATATGTATGAAAATCAAAACAAAAAATATGCAAAAATTGAATCTACCCTTCAAAAGTGCTATGGTACCTACAAATTCAAACTTTCATAATTAACATTCTACATTTCTTAGTTTTTCAAAAGTGAGTTTGTTGGTGTCAATTGACTGAGTCAAATTAGAGAAATAGCAAACTTAATGACAGTCCACTTGTTTTTTTGGCTGTATTGGCCACGTTTGATGGCCACTACAGCCAAAAAATGAGCGGACTTCTGTTAAGTTTGGAGAAATAGGAAAAAATTTATCAGACATAAAGAAATTTACAAGAGACATACATATCACCATCAATTTGAAAAAATTTAATTGCCAAAATCTATCAGATGAATTGTTTTATTAGATTTATAGAGATTGGTCTATGTAATTATTTCTAGTCTACATACCAAGTCAAAAACCACATCCAGATACATAAAATAAACCCCCAAAAATAACAGAAAGAACATTTATTTTCAACACAACTGTAAATTTTTTGTTTCCCCACTTTGATTTAAACAGATTAAGAGCTTTTTCTTCAAATCTCATCTTTTTTTAAAACCTCAAAAACCTTTTGAAAGAATAAAACCTCACAAATGCTCAACCATTTTCTTCTTCTTTTACAGCCGTATTCATGATTGATGAACATTTGAAAGAAAAACTTTTTGAACAATCACAGCAAATTGTGAATACAGGTACAGCAAAGATAATTAATCACCGCAGTTTTTCTGTGATTATTCAAATAGTTTTTTCAAAACATTTGAAAAGTTTTTTTGAGTGTTCATCAATCATGAATACGGCTGTACCTCTCACCATAGTGTTTTTACCACTCAATTTAATCAATTCATTCCACTCTCTACTTAGTGATATCTATGAGTGGTCATAGATTTGTGATGTATACTTTGTATACGAATTCCCGCTAGAGTCATAATATGACTTTGTATTTCCATATCCAATACGTCATTGTAGAGTACCCTCTACGCGTTACTGGTTGTATCCTATACAACCAGAACCCCCTTTCCCGCGAGGGAGGTTTTGGTTGTGTTTGGGGGGGGCCTCTGCCAAAGGCTAGAGGGGGGTAGGACTACCAGGAACCGCAGATGGGGTGAGATCTTCCCCATAACTCGGGGCATCGTCCTGAGCCTGAGAAAAACCCCATCTACGGTGGCCTGAGTTAGGTAGCTCCCGACGGGCTAAAGACGCAAACTCCCCGGATAACAACACTCCATTGATTCAACATTTGATCAGCCACGATCATACCGCAAGTTCTTTCAACAAATTACTAGTACGTAACAACTCCTCGTCGTCATATTCCCTGATATAAAGCTTATATGCCTTCGATCTCCATCTACCCACACCCACGATTTCTTCCAATGGATGACCTAAATTCCACCTCAAGGACGCACCTCCTACTCTAAAGGAGTGGCCCGTAAGTCGTAATCCATTCCGTACCCAAACATCATTAAATATTCTCTGAGCTCGAGCCTTCGTCAACGTAATCCGTTTATCTCCACTAGGATATGAAAACAATGCATCGTCTTCTGTTGCGCCTGTCGCAGTAATAAGTCTCCTGATGGCTCCCACCGGGTCTAAAAGTGAACGTTGACTTTGACGATGAACCTCTTGGATTTCCCCCACTACGGCCGTCTTGGCTTCTCGAATTCTAAGCTTCAGAAACTTCCCTTGAGGATCCCATACGACGTCTTTCACAAAGACCTTATTCGCACTCGACGGCGCTTTCAACAACTCTCCCAGTCTGGCCATACCCCAGAACGCGGTCAACGCAACCGTATAAGCCACTTGATCCTCCAAACCTCCGTCTGACAAAACCTCCAAAACCTTAAATAAATGTCCTACTAATACCGGGTTCTTCTTTTCTTTAGGGTGCTTCAATAATTCCAACTTCTCCGCCGCTCGTAAGATAGCTTCCACCCTGGGTGTTGTTTTATGTGGATACTCGAAGTGGTGAAAAAGATGCCAGGCTTTAATGCCCGAAAGGCAAGTCCTCACTGTAGTTGACTTGATCGGCGCCGGTCCCTGGAGTGTGTTGTCCTCTGGTAAAGGAGGGCTTGCCCAGACAACAAATTCGCACAGAACGCCTGGATCGATCGGGAGTAGTAAGTTTCTTGGTATTTGAGAATCGAGTGCGAAAGCCATAAGCTTCGTAACTCCAGCATTGTAATGCTTTAGTGTCGTAGGTGCCCAGCTTCCATTTAGTAAGTACTGTTTCACTCGATCTTCTGATGTCGAGTCTAATCCATCAGGGCCTCGTAAGAATTCCATTTTACGATGTGTTGATAATTGATTTTTGAATTCCACAGGACGATTAAATTCCCTCAACCTCTCGTTTTCGAGGTATAGGTAACTAGTCAGGCAATTGTCGTAACACAAGGAACTCCGGCTCGGGACTCAATAGGGGCACTTAGGTCAAACTTGAAACGATCGAACTCTTAGACGAAAGGGCATAGAAAACACGGGGTTATTTCATTTCAAACACCTGTTTCACAATCAATCGCAGATCTGACGGAATCTCGATCTTCACACAATCACGGACATCTCTTTTTTCCTTTCCCCGTGACAGCAAATCAGCCAAGTTGTCACCAGATTTCACTTGATGAGCTACAATATCTGCTTGCAAAACCACTAACAGCTTCTGGATCTCTCGCCATTCTCCATTCACGGCTCTATCGCCCGACTTCTTTTTCTCCACAGCTGCTTGCGTTGTGGTATTATCGGTAAGTACCAAAAAGGATTTCCCACCTACCTCTTGGATATTACTGATCATGATCATTCCTAACCTTATAGCGACTGTCTCCGCCCAAGCAATGTTCCTCTTGACATGCAACGGCAACCAGTCATTCCATCCTTTCACCAACTCGAACTGTGCCCAACGATTACCAATCAACACTCCAATTCCCGTCATCGACGCATCACCCACCCAGTTTAAATCAATAGGTATCAGATCTGGGATAATCCGGTGCGGTTCGAAGTTCTTCAGTGCGTTTTGCCACTCCAGTAAGTCCTCCATCAGATAACCAGGTACCTTCCTTTTTGCCGCCTTGACCTGCCATTCTTTCTCCCACCTGTAAAAACTCGGCATGCAGCATTTTAAATTTGGTACAATATACGTTGTATTACCCAGTCTTCCTACCAGAATTTTGACCTCCTTCAATGAGAATGATTCTCCAGGTACTAAAAACTTGTCGACTTGCTTCTTCCTTTCCTCGAATTTGTCTTCTGGTAAGCGCACCGTCCTTTCTTTTGCGTTCCAAATGAATCCAATATACCTCTGCTCGTCAGCAAATTCGTGCACTTTCCCTTGATTCAAAGCCACTCCCATTTCATTACTTAAATTTACAATATCCTGAATCCTAACTGGGTTGTCCTCTTCTTTTATCAACAGATTATCATCAACCCATCTCAAAGCTGCTTTCAACCCAAACCGCTTCACCATAATCTTTTTCCATAAATCCGCAGGTCTCCCAAAAACACCACATCCAGCTACACCACCAAACTGGATCCTAGTGTCTAACCAAAGCTGATTATACAGGTCAAGAATAAAAAGGTATCTCCATTGAGTTATGTGTAAAGGAATCTGCCTATAGGCTTTTTCCCAGTCAAATATCGCCATCTTCCATTTTCCTTTCTCCTTAAACAACACTAACACCACCTTGAAATCATCCCAGGTTGTTCCATAGTCTTCTTTATCTACAAAGCTATTCACCGAAGGGGTATCGGGTTCATTACGTGGATACGACAAGTCGTTGATTATCCGAAAGGATCCGTCACCATTAATTACGCTGCCCATCGGGCTAGATCTGAAGAAACCCATCTTTTCGTACACTTCCTTGTGAGTAAAAGGACCGAATATCCTAAAGGCCCGTTTTTCCTTTGCCAAAGTGTTAGCAATTTTACTTTGAGCCACCAAAGCTGACTCATGATTCGCTGGCGTAAACCACTTTCTAGCTCCTAACGTATGCCTCGGGATCCCCTGATCGAAACCGATCTCACAACTCGTGATCACTTCTTCCGCATCCTCACCAATGTTCAACTCCTCTACAAGCTCTCTCCATCTAGGGATCACTAGATCGCATCTTACTGATTCACTAGGCCACCTGTCGTCAAAATTGAGACCTGAGTTCGTATAAGGTAGGAGTTTTACCAGTTTGTTGCTCTCATCTTCTCGCCCCTGTTGGCCAAGGGATTCAACAGAATCTCTCCTTCCAGGTCTTCTCCTCAAATACGGGCTCCTATCTCTGGGCAATTGTTCAACACTTCTGTCACAATCACCGTGGCAAATGGCAAAAGAACCACGAAAAGGTGTCAGAGTCAGTCATCCGATGAGAAACACACGAGTTCATTTCAAAACAACCGAGCATAAGAAACAACATCAGACTACGATCACACGCTGATATCCCACGCCTATGCACAGACACCTTAACAATCATGCTAGATCAAGAAACTCGGAACTCCATATTAGGGAGGGGGTGCGATATGGCCCGCAGTGGCCACTTTGATCACAAACACTTCTTTAACAGCAGAGTCACAACAAAGGAAACCGTAAGTAAATTCCTGTTTGGCTTACTTTGCCTTCCCATTCCCACCATAACGGTAATTTCTTCCATAACGATCATTTCCACCTTTCCGATCATCATTTCCTCTACGATCCTCACGACGCTCGTCTTGATGCCATGATCCACTCCCTTCAGTTCTCCGATTGTCTTCACGATTTCCCCCATTATTAACGGCGTAACCACCACCTCTTCCTCTTCCTCTGACATTTCTTCCGTTTCCTCTACAATCTTCCCACTCTCCGCAATTAACTCCTCCAGGCCCTTCATGGACTAACTGATTCAAGTGATTCCATGATCTAGCGTTGGGTTTCCTGGCGTTACTGTTTTTGTGATGAAAGAGAGGTGTGATAGGACGACTGTCAAGTCCGGAGAGTGGGTTGATGAACTCTTTGGCTTCACCCTTTGCATATGGGTTCGTTCCGGCAAAGGAAGGTAAGAAATCTTTTAATCGTTCTGTTTCGCGAAAGGCTTCTCTTTCGTACTTCTCGTTTCTGACGGCTGGGTTCGCAATCTTGCCATTTTTGTTTCTGAAGGTCATCACAGTGGTTCTGATGGCTATGTCATATCTAAAAGCCATTGGCCAATTAAAATTTTCACGCTGAATAGCGAAAACATTTTCTTTATGGACCATGAATCTATCCGCAAGTTGTCCGTGCTTATAATAACAAAGGTAGGCGACGAAAAGATCAAAGGCTATCACCCATTCTGAGAAGGTCATCTTCCATTTGACCGGCACTGGTAAGCCGATGTAAGTGTCTTCTAGCTTCTCCTTGGTCGATCTACTACGCAGAGTGTTTTGTAGGAGATCTTCCCGAAGCCACTGGGCGTTGAAAACGGACAAAGCGATGTAGCCCTTCATGGTGGTGAGTTTCTTCGCGAAATAATCTGACATCGCAACTAGGCCATTAGACTGGATTCCCTCATCTTCGTATTTCATTTTCTTCTCTGCAGTTTTACTAGAAGACTTGTCGTCATCGACCGTGGACAAGTCAACAAATTCTACCAACTTTGATTTCACATCGGTGGCTTTTGCCGTAGTGGACTTGGTTGGAGTCGTGGACTTCGCAGCAGAAGTAGCACGAGGAGCGGCAGTAGATGTAACCCAAGAGGTAACAGAAACCCCATTTGCAATGGTATTTGCAGCGGTGTCGGTACCGGTCAAGGACGATTTCGACATCACGGTGTAGTTGTTGGCGGCCAACCAAGAATGAAAGCCTCTGGGCGGACTTACTCCCACACCAGCGGTGGTATTTCTGCGGCTGGGCGAGCGCGCTGCTATTGTATCACGACAAAAACCAAAGGAAAAGGGAATCAATGTCCGTCCAAACTCGAACTTCTCCTTGAGAGGCAACATCCACCGATGGCTTCACAATTCGATTGTGGCATTGCATCTGCGGCAACACCCTAAGGTGGATGATTCAATTTCAAACATAGCTTACGTCTCGTTCCCACGCTAACATCATCTCTGGTTATCAAACCTGCTTCTACCATTCCCTTGCTTTGATTAGCGGCACCTTCTGCACCAGGTATAGCCACGTCAGCCGTGCTCGATGAAGTACCATTTGCCGTGGAGGCTGGATCTGTAGTATCTTCCGTACCATCCTTGGACTTCTCTCCAGCAGCCAATCTTCTTGCAGCAGTTGCCGCTCTGGTTGATGATGCGGTGCTTTTCTTCCCGCGACCTCTCCCCCTGCCTCTACTTACACTAGTGGAGGACGATAATGTTGGTGTCGATGCGGAGGTCGAGTCGATTTCTGGAGGGGGGGCTGAACTACCTCTTCCTGCCAATCTCTCGCTCGTTCGCTTTAACTGATTGTTAAAAGCCTCCAAGTTCTTCTCAATCCTAGCTGTATCTGGTGCTTCCGGTTCTGTCGACATGATTTTGGAGCAAAGAAAAAAAAATTAAGAAATTTGTTTCTGAATCTATTAGGCTAACGATTCTGATAGTTGAGGGTGAAGAGAATAGCCCTCTTGGTGAGTAGGTGCAAAATTGATCACTAAGATTGAGAAGATGTGGAGTGATAGCTTCGTCTTCCAAGCTATGGGTGTGAGACGTCTCGGAGGCAGAGTGAGAGTCAACACGTGGGAGAGATGGGAAAAACTGTGAAAAGATTTTCACATTGTTCCAAGTATGCGTCGAGCAAAAATGTTATGCCCTGTACAGGCACCATTTTCACTCGGTCCTGCCCCGAGCGATATCACCCCGTATTGTGGAAACCGGAGGTACCGTCGTGCCTTTGGGCACCACCTACCAATAATGAAAAGCTCTTCAAGGTTTACAAAATATCAATCAAATTCAAAACCCCTCACTCAAAAAACCATTAAACAATCAATCAAATTTTCATTTTCAACTATATTGTATATAAGAAAATATAAAAAAAACTTACTTCTTTTGTAAAAAAAATAGTTCTTTTTCAAGCTTAATTTTCTTTGGTAGTCTTCACTTCAAATCAATTTTCAAAAATTTAGTATACTTGTATATTTAGATAGGATAGGATAGTTATAGATAGATAGATCTCCAAACACTTTTTTTTCTTTTAAAAAGAATTTAATTAATGAGAAAAAAAATTAAAGAAAACAAAAACAAACAAACAAAATAATTCAAGGCAAAGAGAGAAAGCGATAGAGAAAAAGCAAAAAAAAACAAAAAAAAAACAATCACTACTTTCTCTCACATTTATCCAAACCAAAGTTCATTCAAAGTTTTCAATCAATTGAATCCAAATCAAATTCGATATCTTTTCCATTCAAATTGCCAAAAGTTTTAAGTAACAATCGAATTCCTAATCCCACCAAAGACCTTAACATTAATCGGATTTCCAATCAAATCAGTAATCACTTGAATCCTCTGTGACGATCTAGGTTTCAACAATTTCTTCATTGGGTTCTCAATAAACCGATCATCTAACAAAATCCAAACCGTATCAACCAAAGCTTTTAACCAATGAGTCGATGATTTTTGACCTTTCCCTTCACTTTCACTTCCTCCTGCTCCAGTTTGACAAATTTCGTTTAACCAATCTGAATGATCTGGTAAAATCCCATCAATATCATACGTATGTATCATTTCTTCTTGTTTAGTTTCAATCGAATACTGAATCTTAAGTCCAGGTAATTCTAATCTTTGACTATCGATTTTGATTCCTAAATAATCACTCGTTGGAATCAACGATTCATCTCCTTGATAAACATCTTTAATTAATCGTTGAATTAATCCAGTTTCGATACCTCCCAAAATTTCTTCAGCTGTCTCGTCTACCGATTTCGAATGGGATACAGCCACCGGTCCTTGTAAGATAGCTACCCTTTGTGGATCTTGATCAAAAACCGCATCAATATCTTCTGCTTGCCAAAGTGAATCTTTCTTAAACCCTACCAAACGAAAAACAAAAAAAATCTCTGAGTCCTCTAATCTTCAAAGTTTGAAATCCCGAATCAATCAACAAAACTCACAAATTCCAAAATTAGAATCTAAGACTGGAATAAATGGGACGGGTTTTTGACCAGGTCTTTGTGAAAGAGCCAAGAAATATGCAATATCTTCAGAAGCCAAGATTTGAGTTTTAGCTTCTGGATATCGATTAAAGAATCGAATCAAGAATTCTTGTGGTAAATCTAATTCTGAATAAGATTGAAGTTCTGATACTTTAGCCGCTCCATTCACTTCTGATAATCTTTCTTCAATTCTTCTTAACCCTATATAAAACCAAATCGAAAAGTTTGGTCAGTTTTTCCAAAAAAAAAAAAAAAAAAATTAGAATTCAAAGTGGAAAGGTTAATTACAATCTCCCACCAAGTTTCGAAGACTTGGATCAATCCATCTAGATTGATGTGAAACAAACATCAATCGAACCAATCGATTAACCGTTTCTTCATACGTCATGTCTCCTAATTCAGCTGGTTGTCCATCTTTCTCAGCAAACCAAGGTTTCTGGAAATCCGCATTCAATCTGGAAATAACATAATCTTTATGTGAATCCAACCAGGCTGCTCGTTTCTCACGTGGAAGTGCAAAGACAGTCCTTTTAAACCAAAGAGCAAATCATCAGTCTACAACCCTCATGATCTCATGTAGCTCAAAATGGATCATTAAATAAAACTTACTCATCAAATTCTTTCCACAGTTTAATACCTCGAGTAGCAATCTTATGAATCGGTTCACCGAGTTCGGAAGTAACGGTAATGATCCCACCAGTTTCACGTTCATAGGTGCCTTCCCACTTCTCATCAGTTACACCAGCAGCTTGAACAATCAATTGTTTCACTGAATCACTGGTAGCTGCTTCCTTAGCTACCATCATTCTACTGGCGAACAAAACTCCATCGAATGGCATCTTCTCAACTCCAAATTTCGTTTTTGACCATTCACCTGTCAAGTATGGATACACATCGGTCGCACTACCAAATCCTGAACCGACCACCAAGATCAAATTCTTCTGTGCTCGAATTGATGCATAAGTAGAGAGGATCGGTTGATGAAAATCTTCACAACTATGATGTCCTCCTGCTCTTCCACCTGTCCATTGACAGATCACAGGGAAATCGGGGTTCGAAGCAGCAATGTTGACGACTTGTCGAATTCCATCCACTGAACCAGGTTTAAAGCTAACATGTTTGATCCCAGCTTCACGTAATCCATCAATGATCTCTTTGGCTTTTTCTGTACTAGGAATTCCAGCTGCTACAACAAATCCTTCGATTGGAAGTCCTTCTTTTCGCATTTGAAGCCAGAGTGGAAATTGGAAGGCCCACTGCCTTTGGTTGATGTAAAGAGCATTGAGGGTGAAGCCCAAACCGGGTTTCTGAAGTTTAGATCGAATAGTATCGACCTTTGAACGTAAAGCTTTGGCATTGTAGTGTCCACCACCAGCTAGTTCGATGTGATAACCAGCGTTCATGACTCTGAACAGAAGAAACGTTGGTAAGTCAGTCGAGATATCGCTAGCAGTATAGATATGATCTATCTCGGAATTAACAACTCACGCAGCATTGAAATCAGCAGGCACTGTACAAGGTGTCATACCAGCAACCATGAGTGGTGGTTTGCTCAGTAGACGAGAAAAGGGGGTATCGATGTGAATTCGACCATCCCTGTAGATCGACGAAGTCAGTGAGATCAGAAAACAACTCGTCAAGAAGTGTAAAAGTCACTAACCGAGTCTTGACAAGTGTGATCTTGAACTTTTCAGACCATTTCTCCTCCTTCACCAATGTAGTAGACGCATATACCTCATTCATAGTCTTTGCGCCTTGACCAGAGACAGCCAAAGAAGCAAAGACCATTCGCATACCACATCCTTCGGTGTTACGTGCAATTAATGAACCAATACCTGACAAGTTACCCAAGCCGAAACTATATAGCAAACAACCCACAGGCTGAGGTCAGCTTCAATACAAGAGAGGTAGCAAATCAAAAAAGACTGACTCGACAATATGGGTGGTGTCAGAAGAAAATGCGCAAGCTTCTGTCCACCTGATCGGGCTAGTGAAGATTTGGTCCGCAAGACTTTTGAGCAAATCTTTACTTTCAGATCGAAGATCAGCTCCAGTTTCGGTATTAAACACTGGACAACCAAGTGTTTTCTTGTGCGAGTTCCACCAAGACACTTCATCTGGGCTTATCCCACCCTCTTCAACAGGTTTAAGCAAGTCTGCCGTACATCCTTGGAGGTAGTTCGAGTGATATGGCACGCCGATAGGTAAGAACCTCATGGAAAATACCGGGAGTCGTTTACTGAAGGGGACCTGGTGGGTTTCGAACCGAGGTATAAGTGAAAAGCGACTATGAAGGGTATGTATATGATGAGAACTTACCTTGGATTGATCTTGTCCAGGTTCTGCTTTACCCTTTCTCAAAGCAGAGACCAATCCGACCAAACTTCTCGGATTTCCAGTCACAACGAAAGCTTTCGGACCATTGAAAAGAGACACTTGAACTGATCCATGTGAACGAGGACTAGAAGATTCGTTGGAGGTGATAGAAGCATTGTTTTGAAGATGCGCATCAAGTTCTTCAATAGCTTTCTGTAAAGGTCCTAACGGTAAACCGGTGACAGCCAACATAGGTGTGGGTAATCCCTCTTGTTCGGCAGTGATGCTGGTCACCTTGGGTGGTAAAGAGATCGGAGGGAATGCGATTGAACCTCGTAATCCGATATGGAACAAAAGAGTAAGAGCTCGGATAGCAGATTGGTAAAAGTTGGGCCAGGTATCTTCAGAAGCAGGTAAACGACCTGCAACCAAGGCAGCTACCACCACACCTTGAGAATGGCCTGTGAGACCGCCCGAAAGTTGAGCGGAAAGCTCATTGGGACTGAGACCTTGTGTACGTCCAATAGTGATGTAATGAGCAAATTGGACTAATCCGATGAGAGGAAGTGAGATAGCACAAGTGGCTAGGTAAGAGACGGGTGGTTTGGTGTTCGGTTTGGTTAACCACTGCAGAAATCAAACATGTATCAGAACAAGTTATAAAGAAGAGATGTTAAATGAGATACTTACATCGAGGATATGAATGCCGTGATCTTTGTAAAGTGAATTACTGGCATTGGCCGATCGAGCAAGATTGATCAAAGGTCCATCGGCAGTTTGAAGGTATGGATGTAATAATGTAGGGTAAAGTGAATATAAATTCTGATATTCAGTCGAAACAAATTCAGGAGTCAAATTTGAGTTTGAAACATGGATTCAAGACTGAAAAAAAAAATGATCGAAACCAAGAGGAAGACATACCACTAGTTCATCCCAATACGTTTCATTCACACCTTGACCACCAAACACACCTACGACTTTCTTGCCCATTTCATCTTTCCATAATTTACCTACGATCGCCTTTGGCAAATCAGGATGAGACTCTAAACTGATTCTAGCAAGATAATAAGATCTAATGATTTGTTTACGAGCTTCTTCAGAACTAGTTTTAAGTTGAGCAAAAGAATGAGGATCAAGTTGATTAGATTTCAAAATGGTTTGATGAAAATGAGTTATAGCAGATAAAGTAAGTAATTGATCTGTAGAACGATTAGATGAGAATTCAAGGTAATGCGATAATAAGATCAGACTAGCTTCATCGATAGTTTTAGAAAGTTGATTTGATTTTTTATTTTCGATCTCAGCCTCATCTTCTTGTTCGTCTTCGTCTTGTTCTTGATTTTGAATGATTGAATTTAAAGGTGATTGAGATTGAAGTTCAAGCCAAAGATTAAAAGCTTCTCTAGAGATCTCAGCTGTAGTCCATTGAGACTGATGAGAAGGTACAGGGAATGAAACTCGAGCTGAGGTAGGTAAATGAGATAATAAGAAAGGTCTTGAAGATTGATCGATGGAAGTAGACATGGTATGATGAAGAGATCAAGAAGAAGAAGATATGATTGAGATTGGTTGATATGATTTGTTTTGTCGAGAAGTAGGTAAATAGGATCTTGATTGATGATTGGTTTTTGTGTTTTTGATTTTTTGTATTTTTTTTGATTTGATTGGGGTAGAAAAGATTTTGATTGGGAAAATTTAAAAAATCATAAATACACAATAATTAAATTGTCAAGATTTCAATTACACAATATCTTAACAGCCTTCACTTAACAATTCATTCATTCAAAACTGTTAAACTTCAAACAAGATCGATGGCTCAATGACAACTTCAAGCTGGGTATTGGATATCTTGATGATCAGTTACTTTATTATCAAACTGAAGATTTGGTAAAGCAACTCATGCGATGTCCAACGAGTTTGATGAGTTGAATTAAACCAAAACACTTTTCACTTCAGTCAACCTGATTTCCTTAAAACGAACAAAACGGGATCTGTTGGTAGGAAGATACTCTATGCTTTGACTCATAAGTTTGACTTCAGACTATCATCCTCCCTATTGGGTTTGCTCGGTATCAAATCGATTATTGGATGTTTTGGAATTGGACAGGATCCAGTGTTGGATTTGTTGGGGTACTACTCTTTACTAGCATATTAGCTTCTCGATATGTTTATACTGTAGTTATCTCCACATTATTTTGATGTTCGTCTTTCCCTCTTTCTGAACTTCATCTGCGCTTCATGATGCTTCCCCCAACCATACATACAACCTAACATATACTCTGGCTTTTCCGTCCGATCCTTTGGTGCGCTTTCCCCAACCAATCCCATTTGACTCGAAAAACCTAACGGACCAGAACGGACCTCTTTTACCGAGATCTGTTGTGTGGATCTACGCTATCGGATCGAACTCTCTACATCGCAACTTGTTCGGATCTCGCGTTCTTCCTCATGTGTTCGATCAGGCTGAATCAGGAGCTCCGCTTCATACCAGATGTTGCGTCACGCTTCAACGTCTTTCGAAGCCTGATCAAGATGTCCTTTAGGAGTTCATTCTCAACCCCTTTGCTTCGATCTGCTTTGGTCTTTTCTCTTCGGATACATAGGACTCATGATGTTTACCTATTGCATAGCACATCCGCAATGTCTTGGCAGTTGAGTTGACTGACTCCTGCATTGACTTGTGCACTGCAAGGAATGTAACCAAACACATTCTCCAGTACCACTTATATAAGTTGATTTCCAAAAATCATCAATCTCTGACCTTCATGTGATGTACGCGCTCTTGGTGTATTGAGTCATTTCAAACATTCTTTTTGATTCGGTACATCACATTTCGTCAATACAATACCCCCTCACATTGCATCGCCAACACTTCGAATTATGAGTCGGACCGCAAAACCCAAAGTCTTTTGATGAGGGGCTCAGTTAAGTCTTTTCGGATCCGAAAGCTCGGTCAAGAACACTTGTTTGAGCTATGTATCTGATCCCATGTCGGTGATTCTGAAGTGTGTTGTCTAGGGCTGAACGCTAAGTAATTTCTCTACAAAAAAAGAACCTCGATCAGGTTTTCTCGGAAAGATTGTATCCCTGATCCTATATATGTTTATGGCTGGTGACAGCAAGAAGGATGTAACCACGGACTGAATATTTTGTAACTACAACAACAAAGAAACCAATTTTATCATCAGTCTTACAAAAGTTGAAAAAAAACAAGACTTTTGAAAATGTGTTCCGCTGAGGATGAGTTCGAGTAACCTTCAACAAGACAACCTCAAGATTTTCTTGATTTTTTGTGTGAATGAGTTTTGCAACTTGTGGAACGATTTTTGAAAACATACTCAATTTATAAAGTGGTTCTTGCTTTCTTGCTGTCATCAACCGTAGGTGATTCTGAAGTGAGTACCGAACGCTGAGCAATTTCTCTACAAAAGAATTGTGTAGCTTTAACAAAAGAAGAACCTCAAGCTATCATAGTGTACATACATATTTAAGTATCAGCTTGAAGGTATTGAAGTCTCTACAAACTTATTCTGGTAGCTCAAAAACAAAGTTTGATTAGGCATGGAAGAGTGTATGAAACTCTGGACGCATTGGTACGTGAAAAGTTTGAATCCTTCCTTTATTGAGCTTTAATTGTTACTTAATCAAGCTCGCGCGCGCAGCCGTGCTCGTCCAAGTCGCACAAGCCTTACGCTTTCTCTGCCTTCTTCGACGTCGGTCCACGAGGTTTTTTTAAGTTAGCTTCCTCTCATTCGTTCAGAGTTCTCTTTATGCAAGAGATTGAAGAGATGTACTCTGATGTACTCCTTTACACACTGATGTATATTTATCTCTTCAATGCTTAAAATTAGATTACGTTAGGTCTCGTTGCTTTTGTTGCATGAAGATCTATGTATCAGGATATCAGGATACTTTATCGGATATCTTGGCTTCCATCACTTTCCACCATCGATAGCATAAATCCCTTGTCTTTTGCTTTCCATATCATCTTTAGTTCAGACTCATCCATCTACATACCTCGCTAGGATCAACACTTTCATCTCGATAAGCGTCTTCATCACGCGCCGGACCGAACTTACATCCAAACCACGCCCGATTCGACATCTTTTCTTGTGGGACATTTGTTTCTTCGCGTCTCGAATAGATACGAGGATGGGCCGAAAGTCATCTACGAAGCCATTGGCGAACAGGTTGACGATTGTCATAGTCGGTGGTAAATTTTTTGATTTTTTGTAACTACAACCCCAAAAATCGAACTCTTTGAAATTTTCGATGTGTTTGGATAAGCTTGGTCATGCTCCATATTTACATTCAACTTTGACACATGTGTGACTTGGATTTGTAGATGGTGGCGTTGGAAAGTCTAGCATGACGCTACGGTATATCAAGGACGAATATAATGACACGTGAGCTGAGGAGCAACGAGAGTCTTGTCATGTTTTAGATGTAGACAGTAACACTATTGACATAGAACACAATTTTTTCATGTTTTAGCTATGATCCCGTGAGTCTTGAGCGACCATTTCTGCAAGCGATCTGATGCTAACCTTGCGCTGGCGTACTCAAGACTATCGATGATAGCTTTCTATTCACAACAATGGTCGATAACGTTCAGTGGCAAATTGAAATTTTGGACACTGCTGGCCAGGAGGAATATCGGTACGCTATGATCCTCTTCAGCTCCATCGACCATACCTTCTAAGGAACCTCGACGGATCTTATTCTATTCTAATGGTCGAGTTAAATTGGTTTTGGTGTGACTTTGTCGTGGGCTTAGAGGATTGTGGGTGGAGCACGCTATCTCTCAAGGCGACGCTTTCGTAGTCACCTATGCTATCAACTCGATCGGATCTTTCAACGCTGTTCCAAGTTTTTTGGAGATTATCAAGAATGCAAAGAAAAATTCCACGAGTCAACTTCGCGACCCACCCGCGGTTTCCAACATGAGGCCAAAAGATTATCCTTTTCCATTTGTTGTCGCTGGAAACAAGTCTGACCTGACTGACTCGAGACAAGTAGCAGAAGATACAGGGTATAAACTGGCAGATGCAGCAGGCGGGATGTTTTTAGAGTGCTCGGCGAAAGAAAACGTAAGCAATTGATGAACTCTTGAACCGGAATTTTTTATGAAGCAAAAAGACTTGCTGCGATCTCGCGTATGTTTTCACTGATATTCAAGTTCACGTAGATCAACATACAGGAACTGTTTGCTGGACTTGTGCGATCAATTGTCTGGTTGCGTCAGAAGCAAAATGCCTTGGGCCGCGATCCAACGAACATGTAGTGAGTTTTTAGGAGTCGACCTTGTCATCACTGATATTGCACGAATCAGCCCTTGCCTGAGCCGACTTAGAGAGAAAATGCTAACACGAAGATCTGTTTCACTCATCCGAACGCAGCGAGCAATTCATACCCAATATAGGATATCAATCTTCCAAGGCAGTTCAATCCCAATCCGCCACCACGGAACTTCGGCTTACCGGCGAGGAGTCTGCAGGTTCTCAAAAAAAACAGACTGATGTTCAGAAAACATCGGGGGAATCGGAAGGACCTCCAAAGTGGCCTTGCAACTGCAATGTGGTGTGATGTCATCAACCTATGTCGTTTTCGAGAGCGTTTTGAGGGAGATCAAGTCGAAAACCTCACCAGAGGAGCATTGGAATGCCAGGTTTCGGGACACTGTATCGTCATGAGTTTATCCAAGTCATTCCTTCAAGGTACAAATAAAGAGGCGATCACAAACCTTGTTGTCGCGTGGGGCGTAGATCAGCTGTTTCACTTTGGGGGATATTGCAGGACTTCATTTAGTCACACAGATACTATTTCTTTCTTTAACTCTGACCCCTTGGAATCGTTTTTTGTGATTATGCTTTTCGTATTTCTATTTTTATGCAAGAACAAACTGCGTGTGCACCAAGACTGGATGTCATGTCATAAGTGCTACCTGTGTTGTATCACCAAGAACATTCAGCAGAGAAAGAGTACATTTATGGGATACAAACATCAAAATCCGGGGGCTTCCTAGCTTTTTTCCCAGTTACTCAACTTGAGGAAAACTGGGACAAAAGTCATAAACCCCAGATTTTGATTCACATCTAAACTTATCAAAGTCCCTGCCACCCAAGTAGTTGAGGGGGGTACTTATGACTAAAGTCCTACTTTTCAATTCCAACAGCAGGATTTTTGGGCCTTTTCCCTTGATCATCCATTGTGAGAGTCATAGACATCATAAAATGATGCTTGCAGTTTGAGAGGGGGTCTCTCTTCATACTATTACTCCTCATGTATTTGTCAGGATGTATTTTATTCATCAAACTCACTCAGAGGAGTTGTAAAAACTTGTAGCTGCAACACATAATCCAATAAAGGACCCCCAAGGTGTGCTCAAAACCCCAAAAACACAGTGTCCAAGAATCAAGATAGCTGTCAATCCACCTGCAGTGAAGATCTGAAACCGGCAAGAGGAGACACACAAGATGTTAAGGAAGCCATGCATGGCTGGATGAGCCATTTTATGAGGTCTGTGATCCTCATGATGCGTACAAACAAAACAATGGCCAAAAATTCTACTGTTGTGAGTCAAAAAGTAGGACTTTACACTACAAAAAAGTTAATCTTTACCGGGCGGAAAAGAAAACTACTGACATAGAAAAATCCTGAGGCAACAGGAAAAGAGCTAAAAATCTGGAAAAATATGCACCTTGTTCCTAGACATTGGGGCGTCATAATGAGTATTTTTTTGTATTTTACACACAAATATTGGTTAATGCACAGTCCCCTCCAAGTGGTTTACGTAATCATTCAAGTTCTGCAGCTGCGGGGCCAGGGCCTGTTGCGAACCTAATGATTACGAATCCTAGGCGTGGGGACGTGTACCAACAATAAAGGCTGAAAATCATCAAAAACCCACCTGTGACAATACCTGAAATTTGGCCCATGATTTTGAAGACAGGATTTTGAAATCTTCAAACATCAAGAACTTTTGGAGTTCTGGATCAAATCACTCAATTTAAAGTTCATAAACAAGGTGAGTCTTTCCTCTACATTTATTATTGTGACATCACATCTGTAGCTGGTCTGCAAAAGATCCTACAGAGCTATCCATGTAGAATTGTTTGAACAAATGTAGAGTGTTTACATGTCAAGATAACACCTTGCTGCCTTTATGAAGTGTAAAGGAAAATGGTTTAGCTTTTGAATGAACCAACAATCAAGTTATTTGGAGCAGAATTGCAAAAGTTATTGAAGTTTTTAGACCACAAAATATTGTTTTCATGATCATGACCCAAATTTCAGCTATTGTTACAGGCGGGTTTTTGATGATCTTCAGCCTTTATTGTTAGTACATTAACCAATATCTGTGCATAAAATACAAAAAAATACTCATCATGACGCCCCAACGTCTAGGAACAAGGTGCATATTTTTTCAGATTTTTAGCTATTTTCCTGTTGCCTCAGGATTTTTCTATGTCAGTAGTTTTCTTTTCCGCCTGGTAAAGATTACATTTTCTGTAGTGTTAGCTGCAAGTCTTGACTACTTGCGCAAAGGGACTTTGATACAGCTGTTCTGCAAATTTGTGTCATGGTGAAAACTTTTCTTTCATCCTTGATTTGACACCACTGGTCCAATACAGCCAATACAGGTGTGTACTTCATCCCAGTGCACATTATCTATTGGATTCGTAACCTAACCACAGTCCACCCTTTTTTTTACCAGCTGTGACCCCTCAGGCGTCACCTTGGAGGACCCATCCCCGACTTCTGATCTGGCCGTCATCCAAATCCACAATTCTGCTGGTCCGCCACATCACTTCTTTGACAATGGTGCTGCCACTTCTGATTGACGGCTGATTACCTGTTCTATTTGGGTGAGTCATTTTTGTCCCTTGACCTTGAGTTTTGTCCCTTCAGCTTCACCTTGGTTTTGTGAGCCACTGATTAGGTACCGCTTTTGATTCATGAGCTCCAGACATCCAAGTAAAGCATGCCGTGTGACCCGGTAAATATGATGTTGCCATCAAAGTCCTAGCCGTCCAATACCTCCGCAGGGAAAGTTGTTCTGATAAAAATTCTACATGACCTTGTAGCCTAGCATCATGGCCAGTCTGAATGGTGTGGAAACACTGAGACAGCTAATCCACCTGTAGTTTATATCATAAAATAGTGTAGCTAAAAACATGCCGCTAAGCTACAGCTAACATGAATAGTAGTCGGTGCGTAGTATTGAAGAATGGGAATGGGTCGGGAAAAAAGATTGGATAACTGAAGTAGCCAGATCACTCTACCACATCCATTCTTTGTAGACAAATTTTATATGATACTCTTCTCATAGAAGAATTTTACAAATGATGTCATTGAAGAATTGGATGCATAGGAAGATCATTTCCCTAATTCCCAAATTCAATATTGAAAAAATTATAATCAAAAATTATCATCTTTCTATTATCCTGGTTCATTATCCTGATTCTTTTTACTCCATCAAAAATATCATCAGCAATAAATTTATTTACCTCCCACCCGCCCTAGCAATATAAGTATTAACTATTGTATCTTAATTTCATTGTTTCTTCTCCCCACAGTTATAAAATTTGTAAGGTAAAAAGTAGAAAAAATCAGTTGTTTTAAGTTAGAGCACAAGTGTATTACAAGAAAAACCACCCTCTATAACTCGTACTTATTTAGTTTAGTCTCTCTGTTCAAGTTGTGGTTTTTTTCTATTTTGTCAGGCTTTATTACCCATGCTAATCAAGCCTGCCCTCTGCGGCCGTTTAGCGTGAACCAGATACAAAAAGTATCCAGATCAAAAAAGACCCATTCCTCAGCATGAATGAATTCCAGCTACCCTACGCAGAGTCCTGGGAAATCTCCAGCTAACCAAGTTTTGGCCCTGTAGTATAGCATAGAGGAACAAAAACCAGCTACAGTAGCTTGTAGTGTAGCAACACCGGACTTATTGCGCTGCTGCAATGTGCAGTGGCACGTTGCACAGCAAAACCTTTATGGCTTCACTGCAGCTGCCCAGCTGCGTTGCATGCTTCTGATTCTGGCTTTTAGAATATCCTGGTGCGCTGCAGACGTTGCTGGAGGTGTTGCCAAGCGGCTGTGCAAGGCTGCGGAGCATTGTGCTGCACGCCCATTGCAAGTACGCTGCCATACCGAGGATAAAACTGTGGGGCTTTTTCTTGCAGGTTCAGCCCCGTTAGGGTAACCTAACGGGGTCACCCTTGGAGTTTGAACTTTGTATCACTTCAAGTTCCACAAGTTCATACAATCCCGTAGATTATCCTAACCCACCATAAATCCACACAACTCACCATCATGTCTCAATCTAGATCCAGCTCAGTTTCAACTCAACCTCAGTCACCCACCAATACCCGAACGGCTCCGCACTAAATGGTGCGGGCGGAGCGATATCGTAGTGTTTTTTGGGTGCGCTATGCGCCCCGCATTTCATAGCGGTACCTCCGCACCACCATCCCGGGCCAGGGATCCGGGTAGCGCAGAAATCGCTGCGCGACCCGGGCAAGTTGGTCTTCCTCTGCTATATAGCGGAGGAACTGTACAGACCAAAGGGGTACAGGGCATACCACAGACCACCCATCCATCACCACTTCCATCTGACAAAACAATCATACAGGAGCCTTTTTGCGCAATGGATACCTATACCACATCTTTTACTACCCCCTGGCCTCCTGAACATTCCTATTCGACTGTGGTCAAGTTGTGGTTCAATGTCTTTCGATTTTTCATTATATATATCAGGTCAGTTTCACCTCGTTTGCAACCTAAACCCTTTCGATCACATATACTAAAGTCTTGTTATTATTTTATGATGCCGGTTTCGAAAAATTCATCGCAAAGCTCGGCTAGAAGTACTCTTCAAGTCCCAGGCAAGGTACCGATCAGAAGAACCCTTCGGCCTCCAAGTCCGGCTTGCACCCAGCCTGGCTTCATTGTCCCTCCAAAGGATTCACGCTCTTCTATTACCATATATCCAGAATCGGAGGACGAATCTCCTGGTCCTCTTTTGAATCGAGCTGCTTCTCCTCGGCCCTCACCTCCTTCTGATAAACAAACCAAAAATAAACCCAAAGCAAAACCCATTTGAAACGGGAAAGTGAGTTTCAAGATCTCAAGTTCTATTTTTGTTAATAGATGTAGCTGACGATGAATATTGTTTCCTTTATCCGTTTGCTAGTCTATCTCGTCCACTAGCAAACGTGTCAGATCTCGATCGCCAAGCTCACAAGGTACAGTCTCACCTCGACCATCTAAGAAAGCCAATGTCAAACAAGATGTAAGGTTACATCTCCATTCCTTCACTTTTCATGACTAATCTTGACCGATCTCCTGTGATCATCTCTTTAAATCTTTCCTAACTATGTATTGATTAACTGTACTGCTGTCAGCTCCCGAGCTCTTACACGTAAGAACCAAAGAGCTACAAATATTCTATAGGAAATAAAACACAAAAACTTATATTTCATTTCAAGACGTATAATAACCTCACCCTAATGAACACAACTTCCAGAGCTAGTTTCAAAGGCTGTAAGAGCTAAAAACTTCAATTAGTTGAACAATTAGTTGAAGAAGAACAAATATATAAAGAAATAATAATAATAAATAAATATTAATTAATTACACCTTTTTAAGACTTAGTATCAAAAGTCTATTCATATAGAAAAAAGAAGAAAAGAATAATATTCACTGGACCAGTGAAAGATTATAAACAATGACGTCCTAGTACCACATTAAAAGAGAACTAGGACGGAGATACCATCCCACTAACGAAAGAGAGACATAACGGAGTCAGCACGAGAACGACCATGCTATCTCGATAAGAAAGAGAAGTTCAAGAGAAGTTCATCCAGTCAAGAAGGATTGAATGGAAATAAAGAATAACTCACAAGCTAACAATGACCACGAGTTGAGATGAATAAGATTTCGAGGAACTCCCGGAAACGGAATAAGAAATCGAAGATGCCTTAGCACCTCGTCGGGCGGCGTAACTCCTTATAAAGCCGGGCAAAGCTGTCAAAAGTACGTGAGAAAATATAGAACACTATTCAGTGACTGCTCAAGATACTAGCAAGAAATGAGAGCAGCTTAAGAAACAAACCACATATTAACCAGAGGGATAAAAGGTATAAATACTCCTCCTCTGGACCAGAGAACGAAAAAGGGCACCTGACTATACCCCCATAACTTTCTATTTAGATTATCATCTAAGAAATAGAGATTTAGATACTTGTTTTGAATAGAGTTACTTTTAAGAGAAATTCCTAAAGAATAACTTTACCAGTAATTACCTCGAAATAAACCAAAGTCAGCGTCAACTTTCATTCCTAGCTTCTACTAAAACACCAGAGAAACCTACCAGTTGTGTAATCACCTGGTTAGTCCCTTTCTTTATTATCCCCTAGTCAAGGACCCAGATTCTGTGACATCCGTGTCAACAGAATCCCCGCAGATTCTTATCTCGGGCAGCTCAATAACTTTCAAAGTTTTGAGAGTAAACTACGGCTCAGGCTAGACCCGCCATCTTCTGTTAACTAAACAGTGGGCCTGTAGTTAAATTGCCTTCCCCAGGATCTATAGTTGTAATAACTTGACTGATTGAATTCTCTCCATCCTCTGATAGACCTTTTTGACAATAAGAAGCTTGATTATTCCCCGTAACCAGCGGAATAACTTGTCAGGACCTCCGTACGGGTTGATTGACTAGACCAATCTGTATGTCATTAAACTAGCCACCCTGACAACTGCTCTCTTAACTCAGCTGTTTGAGGTCCCTGAAGGCGTAAACTTGGATCAGGATTCCGAGGTTGAGATTGTTGTATCCAAGGAAGTTGGATACAATGAAGGTCGCTCCCTCAATGTAAAGAAGCTCCGTGAGTACTTCTTCCCACCTAAAGTAGGTTCTTCTTGTTCTTCAAATGTGCTTTTCTTCATCTCTCTTGCTGATTTTTGAATCCTTTATCTATATAGGGCTGCTCCTTCAAGTGTAGATGGTGTAACAACACCTACCTCAAGCAACCTACCTCATATTACACTCTTTGGGGACATCGAGATGGGAACAAATTCCGACCTGCCTGCACCATGCAAGATAAAGCTATCGCTTCCGGTGTCAAGCTTCCGCTCTCATATCAAGAAAACCTCGACAAGCAGAAAAAACTTTCCAAAGGCACATTGGATTCTTTTGTCAAGGGGCCAACTTTCACGGTCGACCTTCTCAACCTCATCCTTGTTGTCTGGATCGTACACCATGCTTTACCTTGGGCACAATTTGAGGATGTTGCCCTTCGGGTAGCATTCTACACTTCAAATTGAGGGGCTACAGTTTGTTCAACGTGTTGGGCATCAAAACAGGTGGTTCAATTGTTTTCGGCCTTGCATGACAAGGCCATCACCACTTTACAAGTAAAGTTTTTTCTTATCATGAATTGTGTAGTATTCATTCAACTGACTGTTCTTTTGATGTAGGAAAACGAAGGCCGCTTTTCTCTTGTCCATGATGTATGGACGACAAAAGGGAATAGGTATGCCTTCGTCGGTGCAACAGCTAACTACATTGATAGCAACTGGGAGTACAAGTCCACCCATCTCACCCTCAAGATGATCGGATGGCGGCATTTTGGGGTTCTCTTAGCAAAACCAATTGGCCGGTTTTTGATTAGGCACGGTCTTCATCATAAGATAAGTACACAACTCCTTTCCTTTCCTTTTGTTTTCATTTCTCTCTTTTTCTTTTTATTTTGATCATACATAGACTGATATCTTTTTTTGACGTTGGCTCCTACCTACATGTTGGCCCAAACGACCGACAGTGGAGGCAATAACAGCCCAATGGCCTCCGAGCTTCGGTCAATGTTCCTGCAAGCCGATGATCCAGCATCATGGGAAGCTTCAACTCACCATGTAAGATGCTATGCCCATAAAATGAACTAGCATATCAGCGGCGGGCGCCGCTCTTGACATGTCAAGTTCAGTTGTAGCTGCGCCTGGTTGTCAATCTGTTTGACACAATTTCACATAGAGCTTGCCTGTGGACATATTTGAAGTACATATTGTACCTGTTTCAATTCTCCAAGTTATGAAAAAAGTGCGAAAGTCACTCATTTACATTTCTCTAAATGAAGTAAGACCCAATGGGTTTGAGTTGCACATGATGTCTGAATCCCAGTCATCACTTTGCAATTGCACACTTTTTGGATACACCTTACTTCTTTGTTTTGTAATTTGGTCCTCAAATCTAATCAAGAGCTACCTGCTCAAGTTTGTGATGAAGACAATTGCTGGCTAAGAATCTCAGATCACTTGAAACTCAAATGTACCACTGAATCCTTCAAGATTTTGAATGCCTCACATTTTCAATTCACATAGCTATTCACAAATTCCACCATTTTAACACATTTAAACATTGTCTCAAACTTCTCACAAGTCCTCCAATAAAATTGAGCTTTGTTGAATCTCCTGAAGTACCACAGAGCATTGAAGATGTTGAAGAATGTTTTATCAGGGCCAATGATGATCCATGCCTCTGTTTGATAAATTCCAAGTTGTAAATCAAACCTGGATATACATACCTCTCAACTTCTGGTTTTGATTTTAAATGATTGTCAGATCACTTGGAAATATCTTTTGAAACAACAATTGTTGCATTGCAATTCTCTTGAGAAGACCTTCAAATTGAAAACTCTAACCATGTCAAATATTGATAAAGAACTAAATACATAGAAGAAAGTTGAAGTCTTCCTTTTCATTGAATAGTTCATGTTTTCATTTGCACATGTTCATTGAGTGTAAGATCACCAAATTTGTTATGTATGTTTAGGGTGATAGTAGTCTTCAAATGCAAATGCTGTTCCTTCAATTTGTGTGATAGTTCGAGAGTCATTTTGAAGTCTTGAGAGTATGAAGGTAGGAGTTCATGTTTTATTAGTAAACCACACGGGAGCAGTATGACAATTTCAATTAATGATTGATCATGCTATCTGTCTTTGATGAATAACAATCTTTTGGGATGATTAATTTCAGTTTATATTATCAATTGGCCACAATTTTGTTTGTCAATTGGTTTGTTTGATTCTGATGTTGACCTTTACCTTATTAGGTTGGGCTGTGTGATATCAGTTGTTGATATTGAGATTAGTAAATTCAATTCATTCCAATTTGCCATGATGTAATCCACAAAAGAGGTATGTATGTTAATTTGCTTAATCAGCTGATGACAATTATCAATCAATTACAATGGTGATCAACGGTTGAGTTCTTTGAGTTCCATGCCAATGCTTAATTGATTTGATGATTGATTCATGAGCTAGATGATATGAGATTGGTCCTCAATGTTGATGTTGTTGATCATTTGATTTGATTCGATTCAAGATAAACAGCTCAAGATCCATTTGATTTTTCGGGGCTTTTGATATCAGTATTCCATGACAAAGTAGATCGCTTACTGGAGATGTCTGTGTAATATTTGATATAAATCAACACCGGTTGGATTGTACCCAGAAATGAAAGCTGTGATAAAAAAGATCTGGCGTGAAAATCAACCAATCTGACAGGAACTCGATTTTTAGTTAGATTCAATCAGGTCTGTATTTGATAAGTCGACCACATATCATTTCATCAAGAGATTGATCTAGATAGTTTCAAATATCAGGTTAGTTGTCATTTTGAATTTTACAGGTTTGAACAATCAAAGCCATACCCAGAATCCCACAACTTTGAGGGTAGAATGAGAACAAAAAGCGGGAATCAAAGATACCTACGCCAGAAGACCTCAAAGCTGTTCGCCATTGTTCTTACCATAGATAGCGAATTTATCAACAATACCAATCAACCTTGGGTCACTAATACTTCTGACTGAGATGTTTAAACTTTTGACGAAAGAAAAGGGATGAGTGTGTTTACAAAAAATGATCAAGAAAGTCACAATTGAACTCATCTCACAACCACTTGTTTTGAGTTCGGCGTCTTGATCATTGAATCACTGCAGTATACATTAGCAACAGTTTCCTACTAAGCCAATCTCATTCCAACCAAAACTTTGATCGGATGATGGGAAGTCAGCTCAAGAGGCCATCACTCAAATCAAATTGGTCAAGGTCATAAACTCACTTTCTCATTTGTTTATCGGAGGAACATCTTTACCAAAACATGATGCATTCATCTTCATCTCGAGTATTCTTTTTCATAATTGTATATCGTTCAGTCATGGATCTTGATATCATTCCAAAAGGAGGGTCGAAAAGTTAGTAATTACTTCTTTTTCTACCCTATTTTTCCAAAAAACTTATGTACGACCAAAGTTCACTAACGTTAGGTCTTTGATCCGTTTTCTGTAACCTAATCGAAAGTCCAAAGACCTGTTTAAGGGGTTCGTTCTCGTCCTCTTACCAAATTTGATGCTGGTGATCTCATGATCTCATGATTGAATGTTTGGATCAGATCGATTGGTTTGTTCTTGATCGAGGAAGTTCAATTGTTGAGTATAAACTTAATTTTTTGACTATGTAACTTATTCGGAAATTCCTAGAAGAGAACCCCAAAGGAACCAATAAATAGTAAGAGGAACAGACAGAAGTTGAGAGAACTCAAAAAAATTAATCGGTCTAATTGTAAATTAGCTTGAGAAACTTGAAAAACTCGAGCTTGTTGATATTAATTGGATTTTGGGTTCCAATGGCTAAAACAGGTACCATTCGATTCGGAACTGGGTTTGACCTTTTAGCTAATTCCCATTTTCTTTTGTCTTGTAATTATTGAGGTCTTTGTTATGAATGAATTTGATCAGGCTGAACTAACTTAGGAAAGAAATAATATACAAAAAAACCACATCAACCAATCAATCAATCATTTTTTTGAAACTCGGGGGTTTTTGCTTGGTGACTTACATGAAATTCGCAAGCAGGATCTGATAAATTCCACACTTGATAAACTTTCATGATCTTTTTTCAATCAAAACTTGATGTTTAATTTTAGCTTGGATTGAATTCAATAAAGGTGAACGAATTACAGAGGTCGAAGTGGATGAAGCCTAGAAGAGGTCGAATAGAGGTTGAAGAATTGAACAGGGGTGATGGTTGACTTTGGGTGTTGTTGTTGCTGCGTTTCAGAGATGGCGTAGAATAGAAACGACGTTAGATGAGAAAATTCAAGCAAGACTGCTTGATACTGATTGGATGTGCGTAGTATTGAGATGTGACATCTTGATCAATCTGCATCACTTGAACAGAATCCCATCCTGAAACATGTATTTCGTTCATAGGCCTTGCTGATCTTACATCAAGTTCAAATTAATCCGATTCCCGTAGACAGGGCCAGCACTTGGCTTCCTCTTCACTTGATTTCACCACCTACACTCCGTGACCAAGAACCAAAAGAAAGCAGTTTATTAGTTAGCTTTTGTTTCCAAAGTTGAGATTGAAACATGCTTGAAATCGACAAATCCTTCTGGATCAAATCTCTAGATGAATGTCATTGAGAAGAGGCTATAGAGGCAGTTGATATGAATACATTTAATTCTGTTGAGACAATTGATCTAAGAATGGGTCAAAAATCCAAATTAAAGCAGAATTTCAGTACTTGATTTTCAAAACAGCAGATCTGAGGAAAGGCAAACAAAAACAAAACATACCTTTTGAAATCATACAGCCAAATGAACGGTCTAAAAATCATCAGTGGAGTAGAAAAGAATGTGTTTGGCAGTATTTGACTGTTGTTGAATTTCATTGCAAGTATTGAGGGACTATGTGTGAATATGATTGAAGATTGGATTGGCAGCTGAGGCTGAAACAAATTTGATGTATCCACTAATTGTTTCCGGATAGGAGGTGAAGAACAACCCACCTGATAGGTGATTGCATTTGAAAATCATGGTGAATGCAAATTGATTCACATTGATTGATTTCTGCCAGTGTGCAAAACTCAAATACAACACTAATGGCAGATTTTGTCAGGTTTTGTAAGCGAACCTGGTTTGCGTTTAATATTTATGATCTAGTTGTTGGGCATGGCCTCAAGGCTCTTGGACAAAAGGTAGGTCGGCAAAAACCCTCAACTCCACATGGGGTTCCTCTACCAATTCCTGGTGTTGAAGTCAACAACGGCGAAGACGACGTTGAATACGGTTCCGAATCAGACGAATCAGATGAGGATTTACTTGATGATCACGATGGTGTTGATGACGAGGAAGAAGACCAAGATGATGATGGATTGGGTTGTGAAGAGGATGATGTAGTTGCTTCAGCTCTTAAAAAGGTGAGCATCAATTTGCCTTTCTTCATTATTCTCACTATCCTCCATTGACTTTGCTGATGTTTGAATTTAATTCGATTTTTTTAAGTAGGTAGATGCAGTGTCTGGCCAAATCGCCAGCAGTGCAGCGCGTCGTAACAACCTCAAGAGTTGTGCAAGCCGGATGGGATACACCGGCCGCATGGTCAAAAGACCTTGCAAGACTAGATGGAATAGTCATTACAAAAGTCGGAAGATTGCTTGCGAGGCACAGGAGGTAAGGATTTTGTATTTACTTTTTTTTGCTTCCCTCTCGTGCTTTTATTATTCCACATAACTCACCAGGCTTGTGACAGGTCATCAATTTGATGATAGCTGCCGATCGCAAGGCCTGTTTTTTCAAGGGTGCCACTATATCCGCATCAGAATGGCATGCTGTCGAGTTAGTGAACAAAGTTGTGAAGGTAGTGCATTTTTCTTCCTTCATTTATCTCTTTATTATGATTACTAACACTTTGATTTAATCTAGACCTTCGTCGATGCCACGGCCAGAGTTGAGGGAAACGGGCCCACTGGATGTATTCTACTGGCAGAATACAAACGAGTCATCAGCGAGCCAAAACAACATCAAGTCAATTCTTTCTCCTTTCCAACCCTGGACAATGCTATCGACATAATGCTTAAATGGCTTGCTGAGTATCAACACGAGGCCGCAGAGTGTGAAGCTATAGTCTTGGAAACGGTCCTTAACCCCCGATTCCGACAAAAATTCTTTTCTCTTCATTATCCTGAATATGACCTATCCTCTAAGCTTTTGATTGGGGCAGCCTTCACTGACACCTTGGAAGCATCCGAAGGACGTGAGTCAACACCACCTCTTGAGGACCCGGAAGAACCTGCGGAGGTTGACACTTTTGATGTCTTTGGTGGGGCCAATGACCTTCCTACAAAGGCTTTCACCTTGGAGCTGGACGACTATTTGCAAGTCCAATTTTGAATTGAGAAAGACCAAACCCCACTTGAATGGTGGAAGGTTGGTGTTATCTTCTCTCTGTTTTCTTTTCATTAATAACAATCTGACATTATTCTTCTTTTCTGCAATCAACAGGTACATCATAAACATTTCCCAACCCTCGCCAAACTGGCCCGTGATTATCTTTCGGTCTCAGCCACCTCCTGCGCGTGCGAGCGGACGTTCTCGGCCGCTGCCGATATCTGTACTCCTTCAAGAGGAAGTATGCTGCCGAGAACCATGGAGCGCTTGGTTGGGGCTCAAGCCTGGTTAAAGGAAGGAATGATTCCTGAAGGTGCATTTGAAGAAGCAATAAGAGCTCTTCAAAGCTATATTGACAAAGATGCCAAGAAACAGCAAAAGAAGCGATAGTTGTGTCTTTGTTGATTTTCATCTAGATTTAAATTTCATCTTTTATATGTTTTTTTGTGTTCTTTTCTTTTGTTCTCCTTGATTCCTATAACACTTATAGTGAATCCTAACTCACTCTCCTACCTTACCCAGCACTAAATGCTTGGTAGGTACACATGGGTTATTTCTTTTTGAAATTCAGTCTTTTTTGTTGCTCTCAACTCAAATACCGCACATAGCGGCGCTATATGTCGGTTTGATAGCGGTTCAAACGCTACAACATTGTGAGATCTTTTTTTTTCAAAAAATAGCGCAGCCAGGGCGCCTTCGCTCATAGCGGAGGCTGCGCATCACAACGGGTATAGCCCAAAATCCGTTGCGTTGCGCAGCGGTTCGGGTATTGCACCCACCACTGAAAACACCACCATTGCCCCGCTTTGTTCCGCTATATTTCCAAATTTTACAAGCGGAGCAATCAAGCGCTATGATAAAACGCTAATTGCTCCGCTTTTTTTTTGAAGCGCTATGACTTCCGAGAGCGGTGCAATACTTTACATTGCTCCGCTCCGCTATGGACAAATCTCATGCTAAAAAGCGCATTAGAGCACGGTCACAAAGGGCGAAAAGCTGTAATTGGGGTTGTAAGCCATTTTGAATTACCCATGATGATTCTACTTATAATCAAAGGCAGAGTGGGGATGTCAAAGAAATAGAAAACGGAAGATGAAAGCAAAAAGCAAAAAACAAGAAAAAACTTGCATTTTTTAGCATTTGTAAATGCAGAAGAAAACAATGAAAGCAAATGGTGAGACTGAGAGAAACACCTTTGCCTCCATCAGGCTCAGGGTCACAAGTATTGATCCAAACTGCGTCAATGGGATTGATTCCAATCCATCAGATATACAGTACACAAACTTAACTGAGTGCATCTGCTCTTTTGTGGTGCAAGCTTCTTGCAAGCCTTGCAAGCCCGCGCCGCAAAAGAGCAGAGTTGGACTTAATTAAGTTAGTACAGTTTGCCCCCTTCACCTCCTTTGACGTGTCCAGCTTTGAGGTCAGAAAGGTATTCTCGTATCTTGTCCCAATTATCAGGAATGTCTACCCTCAAGTATGTCAGATGTCTATTTGCATAAGATCCATTACTACCCAAAAAAGAAAGATTGTGCTCAGGTCAGGATATATCTTAGTATGAATAGTTGTAGAGCTTCGGAGGTTGATTTTGAGACATCTCATTCACAAGGATATTTGGCCATAGAATTCCGGTAGAATTTGCACCAAGAGCTGCTTATGGAACTGATGCACGTAACCAAAAGGAAACTCAGTTTTCTCGCAACTTCGTAAGTTCAAGCGTGATCACTTACTTGTAGCTGGCTCGGTTTACCAATGCTCTTTGTCTGCAATAAATTCTGGGAACAAAAATTTATCGCGGGATCAGCACAGAGGTAGCTATAAGGTGTGATAAAGTATAGGAGAAAGTCTGAATTCATAAGCACACACCTGAATATGAATCTCCGAACACTACTACAATGGAGTAAACCACTTTGTGCCTATTGAAATGCTCAGCCGCCCTGAAGAAGTCAAACATAAATGTTGGTATGGTCACCTGAGTCTTGGTATCTATCAGGCTGAGGCCCATACTTACTTCGCAAAATGTGGTACAATAAAAATATCAGAAAAATGACCAAACAACAAGCCATAGTCAAGAGTCAAAAAAATTTACCAATTGGCATCATACTAAAGTGACTGTCACAACGCGCTATGGGGCGCTGTAGAACTTATAACCCAACAAGGGTTATACAGAGCTGGAAGAGGATAATCTACTAATAAAAATGACTAGTAGAAGTTGTCTAAGGACTGCTCTTCTAAAACAAGTCAATCAGAAAGAGAAACTGTTGACTTGAGTACTGATAAGGCACCAGAGAAATATAACTGATTTGATGGGAGAAAAGCACCTGATTTAATTAATCTCAACACCATTTTAGTGTTATTCCAGTCGAGTCAAAAGTAGAAAAATAATCTCAATATCTTTTTGATATTATTCCAGAATGACAGTGTCATATAAAGCACATAAAACAAATTTCTCCTCTGATGAAGGGCTGGTTT